CATAAACTAAACACATTCCTACATATTAGAGAAAAATGTACTGAAAGAGAAACTAGAAAAACTAACCCTTGCACAATAGCCTCAAAAACAATATAAAATACTTGGGAATCAATCTAAACAGAAGAGGTGAAAGACTTCTATAATGAAAACTACAGAACACTAATAAAAGAAACTGAAGACCTTAGAAGAAAGAAAGACCTCTTATACACTTGGATAGGCAGAAAAAATATTGTCAAAATAGTCATACTACCAAAAGTGTTATAGATTTAATGCAATTCCTATTAAAATCCCAACAATATTCTTCATAGAACTAGAAAAAGCAATCATGAAATTCATCTGGAAAAATGAGAGACCCAGAAGAGATTAAGCAATTTTTAGCAAGAGTAAACAGTAACAAAAACAGCATGGATTGGCACTAAAACAGACATGTAAACCACAAAGACAAACCTACATAAATACAGACATAAATCTCACACTAGACAAAGGAGCCAAAAACATATTGGAGAGAAAGAGCTTCTTCAACAAATGATCCTAGGAAAACCAGCAAAATGAAATTAAATCCTCTCTCTCACCTGGACTGAACTCAGTCTTCTCAAGGACTTAGCACTAGAATAGAAACCCTGTGCTAATAGAAAATAAAGTAGGCTCAAATATTTACCTACTTCCTTCCCTTTTTTTTAAATATGATAAACTATAAGTGAGAAGTTTAACAGCTTTCAGTGAGTTCTGAAAGAATTTCTAGTAAATCATTCAGCTTAGGGTGGATTTAGGAACACCTTAATGTTAGACTGCCAAGGCAGAATGACCATGACTCATTTTGTAACAAATAGTTGGGGTGGTAAAACTTTGTTTCTGGTGACTGATAATCCATGCAATGGAAATGCTGCTGCAGCTGAGATCACCTTCTCAAGGTAAGTTACCAATGAAATGTAGCAGCCTAAAAAACAAGGAGAGCAAAAGCATAATAATAAGGAAGCCATACAGATAATCTCTTGGTAATTGTTATCTGTAAGAGCTTAAAAATTGTATTTTAAAAATAACATATTTTGGGCTGGGGCTGCAGCTCAATGGCAGAGCACTTGCCTGGCATGTGTGAGGCACTGGGTTTATCCTTAGCACCACATAAAAATAAATGAAATAAAGACATTCTGTCCTTCTACAAGTACAAAAAAATCGTATTTTAAAAAAATACTTAAAAATTTTTTACTGGGGCAAATTCAGAATACTTTTTTTTTGTGGTAGGGAGAGTACTGGGGACTGAACTCAAGAGCACTCAACCACTTAGCCACATCCCCAGCCTTTTTTGTATTTCATTTAGAGATAGGGTCTCAAGTTGCATTTGTTGAGGCTGGTTTTGAACTCTTGAGTCTCCCAAGTTGCTAGGATTACAGGTGTACCTCCAGGCCCAATTTAGATTTCATCCTTTCTTAGATTTCAGTTTGAGCTTTGCCAGATAACCTCAGGACTGCCATCAACATGTAAAATAATAAGACAACAGATAGTAACTCTATGCATTTGTGTCACCAAAATGGAAGTCTGAGTAGAAGAGGCAGAACCAAAACTAGAGAAATCAAGATATAGATTAAGGGAATTTTATTATGTGGCTAGTATTGTCTACTCCCTAAGAAAACATCACTAAATGCATTGGGTGAATTACTTAGTGGCAGTATATACTAACACTGTAGGGTCAAAGAGTAAAGGTGGTTTGATGGAGACCTCCACAGCTCTTTATTGAACAATCACATAGCAGGTTGTTTATTTCCATCAGTTAGTTTTTGAGTAAAAGCCATTATAAATTTTGCTTACCTGGGGAAAGGAGACTGTTCTATCTTATCTACAGGGTGACTTCCCATATACAGCACGATATGCTCATATGCAAACAATCCTGGATTAGCTTTATTAGGATCTGATATTCATTTTGTGAATATGCCTCTTATTCAAGGCATGGTAAATTACCTGTACTTACATGTCCCTTTTTCCATGATATCCTATATAACCTTACTGATACAAAGTTGAGCAACAACTCAAGAAACTGTATGGGATATTGCTGCGACCTACACACCTGAACCCAAGGTACTGGAGATGGATGACAGGGGACTAAGAAACACACACACACATTAATGATAAAAAAAATGGGGTTAGGTGATGTACTGGGCTCTGATGGAGAAACAGAGTCAGAAGAGCTGGCCCAGCAAGTTTATTTATATAGGGTCTCATAAAAGACTGTAGAGGTATTGCTCTTTGGGCATATTCTGTGGCATCAAGGAAACCCATTGTTTGAAGTTTCTACTAAGCAAGGCAGGCTTGAAGGTTACAGCACTAGTGAAACATTGCAGAATCCTCTATCCTTGGAAGTTGGTATCTGAAATCTAGGTCAAGTTCTTAATGGCTCTGTGGCTAGCACAGAATCTTCTACAGTACAGGGCATCACAGTGCAACTGAGCCTTCTCAATCAGCATCCTGGAACCAAGAATATTGCCAGAGGGGCACAGCCTCTGTCACAAGAAAGTTTCAAAACCCATCATTCAGTCACTGGTCCCAACAGGATGTGGGTTAACTCCATTTCACTTTTTGGGTCTTATGGATGCTAAGAAAGTTAGAAATTCACAAAAATGGTAAGAGCAGAAGACAGGCATTTATGTCACCAAGTGGGAAATCTTCAGATGGATTAAAAAGAATGAAAAAGCGGGGGGGGGGGGGGCGGCATTAATCATTAGGGTGAAAAATGTCTTCATGTACTACTGTAGAGATTATATGAACCAATAGAAGGTAGTCTCAATGATCTCCTAATAGTAAGGGACCCTAACACAATTCACTCTACTTGCTACAGTTTGAAGGAATTTTGAAAGCAGATGTGGTGGTGCATGCCTGCAATCCCAGTGACCCAGCAGGCTTAGGAAGGAGGATACTAAGTCTGAGGCCAGCCTTGGAAATTAAACATGACTGACACATATAAGCAAATAAATGAACAAATGGACCAAGAAGCTTGTTTGACATGCCTGGGTTGATGGTCTGGCATGTGAACCATTGCTCTGAATAAGTAAAAAAATAGAGACTACAGAATGCTGATTTTCAAATCTGCAAATGACTTTTTTTTCTATTTAAATCTGAGAAATAAGACAACCAGTTTGCTATGAAGTGGGAAGGATCTCAATTCATTTTACTTACTGTGTTACTTTAGTTAGGTAGATTTTATATACATCTTGAATGAAATATATTAATGATATCCATGTCTAGAAACACTTTGTAGTTAGTTTCTATAATGCCACTAAAAAGGAGGCTTATTTGAATATGGGACTAAACAAAGGCAAGCTTGTCTGAACTAATAGTCAAAAAGGTGGTATCTGTTAAAACTTTCAGACCTTCTGATGTGCGCTATGGTTTGAATATGAGGTGTTCCCCCAAAGTTCTTGTGTTTATGTTTAGAGGTAAAATGACTGAATTGTTAACACTGTAACCTAATCAGTCCATCCTATTTTGAATGGGCTATCTAGGTTGTAACTATAAGCAGATGTACTGGCACTGGGGTCATGGCCTTAGTAAGGTACACTTTCTGCTTTATCTCCATCTCATTCATGGTTCCCATACAGGCAATTCCACCATGATGTGTTGTCTCACCTTGGGTCCAGAGCAACAGGCTTGATAAACTATGGATTGGGACCTCTGCAACCGTAAGCTCCAAGTAAACTTTTCCCATCTAAGTTGTTCTTATATGATCTTTTAGACACAGCAACAACAACAACAACAAAACACAAGAAGTGCCTGTAACATAAACATAGATAGGCTGGTATTTAGGACTTATAAATGTTATCTAGCAGCACTGGTTGGGATTTTGGGCAGGAAATTTCTGGGTATCATGATACAATATACGTTATTTGAAAAACAATTAATAGCTTATCTCGTCTAGGGGATTTATGCCTAGCCAGGACATAAAATAATTCTAAAACCTGAGATACCCTCTAGTATCTTGGATGATGTCAAGAAACATTCTTAATGAGAAAGAAAAGTGCTTAAAAGAGTTTCAATGTAACATGGAAAACTTTGAAAATATCTGAGGGAACTGCTGAATTCCACTATTTTTCTAAGAACAATTTCCTATGAACAGTTCTCCATTCAACAGCAAAGAGTTGATTTACAGATGGCAGTTTCATAATGGACAGGTAATGTCCTGTTTAGCACATCACCAGAGACCAGCAATGAAGAGTATTTAAAAAAGAAAAATATAAATCAGCTGTATGTTTGAACTGCATGCTGTTATTCCAGTGCTGGAAAATTAACATGCAACAGTGATTTACATTAAGTCCCCATTTTTTTTCTCCCCAAACCATAGGTGATGGTCAATGGCCTATCCTTTTGGACAATGGAAAATGGATTCCCACCTGTAACACAACCCTATGGCAATTTAAGAAGGAAATTAAAATAGGACATTTTGATAGCATCAGAACACTCCAGGACTGGGAGGTATTTGGAATTAGCCCATATACATCACAGTGCATTTGCTTGAGTTGGATACATTATGGGAGTACTGAAGCAATACAGACATGGGCTGACTGTAGATATATTGCTTTGAACTCTTTGAGTCAGAAAATATCAAAAACAATCTGCAGTATAGAAAAGAGACAAAGATTGCTGATGATTAGACACATAACTGAACATAACTGGATCACAAAGGACCAAAGTCAGTGGCTCTTTGAAGACAGAAAGAAACTTAATGTATATTACATAGTTACAGAGTAAGAAAAATCAACTATATAAAAATGTGCAGAGAGTTCAAGATAGACTATATTAGCAAATTTAAAAAAGTGTTAATATTTCTTTCTCCAAATCCTGAGACTAATGGGTCAAAAAATAAATCTTTATATATATATATATAAAAACTTAATGTGTCTAAAATAATTTAATGTTATGCCAAGGCATATAATGCCCCAAATTAATTTTAACGTGTAGTCTTTAAGAATACAACCTAGTAACAAGAAACAAAAACACACCACAGCACAAAATTCTTCTTAAATTCTATTTGGAAATTCAGCAAAATAAATTCTATAAAACAAAACAGCAAAATATTTAAACAGAAAAGGATGGCCTGTATCTGCTGCAGGAATATTTGGGTTTTAGACAGCTTCCAAAATATTACATACATTCAAAAGCTAGCAATTCTCCTTTAAATATGACAATAAGAATTTGTTGGAACTTCTAAACAAAAGTTTATTCTAAAATGGTACCTCTTAAGTTTGCGTCTTAATCAAACCCCATATCTAACAATAATTTGGAATGGAAAAAGAACTAGAACCATTTTACTTTGAAGTAAAATTGAGACTGACTAAAAATCAGCCAGGCATCTTGGTTATGATAGTACTGAATAGTAATGTGAATTCTGATGATGTACACAGTTCGTTAGCTGGGATCCAGCAGAAGCAAAACCTAAGAAATTCTACCAAAAAACAAAATAAGATATATAAAATACAGTCTCTCCTATTATGTTCCACATATTCCAGCATGAAAAAATTGGCATATATTTTCAATTTTACAGTTCCTATTAGATATTCTTTATCCCATCAAGAAATGGAACTACCAAATATTAAATGTGAAGAACATTCATTGTGCAACTAAAAACTGCTTTATTGTACCCTTTTTTTCTGTTTTATGTTTATTCTAAGGATAAGAAATAAAATGTTTAAGCAATATAGATGTGATTTTGGGACAAATGATCTCATTCAAGAAATTTTGTCTCTATTGGCAATGCAACCTGGTATGAAGCCAAGCTAACAGTTACAGTATAACTATAGCTTTAAAATAATTAACCTAATACCAGATTAAAAAGGTGGTGTAAAATTTTTGGAAACAATGTTACATCACCAGTTTTTCATCTCAACCGGAAGGGCACCTACTAGTGTTATATTCCAGTAAATAAAGAATTATCAGGAAATTATATAAACAGGCTCTTTTACTACCCCCTACCACTTTTGTTTCATAAAGGAACTGATTTAACTGCCAGGAAGTAGGAAATACTGGTTGCAGAATGCAGCAGATAAACAAGAAAATGAACTATAATGTTTTTCAATATTTCTGACTCTTCATCAAAAAAGTGTTTTGCTTTAGAACTAAAAGTCAAACATACATATACTATATACATCTTTTCCATTTACATATCAGCAATCATTTATTATAAAACATTCCGAATGTTCTGTTTGTAGGTGCTTACATCTGTCAGCAAATTTCTACAAATGAGATAGCAAATAGAATCTTTTTGTCATGTTATTTTAGAACAGTTTTTCTACTTTTAAATATTTAATGAGGCACAGAAAAATTTGGACTGTAAGTCCAGACTACATGATATTAAAGGAGTCAGTAAACTGGTGCATTTCACTGATCCTTTGTTTGAGGTGACGATACTTCTTCACCGCCTTCATAATTTTCTTGTACTCGGCCACTTTTATGAGGGTTGTTCAAGTGATGTGCAGCTGGACCTGTATACGGCTGTCCATGTACATTATTCTAAGAAGGCAAAAGAGACCTGCACATCAAATTTTCACATATTACAATTGAAATGTTAATAATGGGCTAAAATTTGACTAAAGTATAATTGAATTTAAACTTAGGAATTATTTTTTAAAAAATTCTCAAAGTAGTTAAAAAGAACTTATAAATTGATTCATATATTGTGTGGTCCCCCTGGATCAACTGTATCATTTGGAATCTTGTTAGAAGTGAAAATTCCTGAGATCTACCACAGACCTACCAAACCAGAAATCCTGGTTTATGAGATCCAGCAATCTATCTTTACCAAATGCCCTTTATTATATGCCCATTAAATTTAAGAGATGCTGCCTTTCAAGAACTAAATTATTCATATTTGTGGCTTAATGTTAGTATAGTCCTTCCAAAAGATCATATTGGCAATCCTTAGTATACATATAACAAACAGAAAGGTCACATAGTGCTAGAATTACACAAAAAGCTTGTGAACTCTGTCCAGAAGAGAGTTTAAAAAAGGGGGGAGGCAATAGAATGGAATTATTAACACTATTATTATTTTTTGTGGTACTGGGGATAGAATAGCTAGAACACAGGGCCTTGTATATGCAATGCAAGTACTCTACCAACTGTATCCCCAGTCCTAGAATGAAATTATTTTTATAGTATAGTTTTATGTATTAATGATTGGTAATTGTGGTTCTGTTTGTTTTAATGGCCTTTTTCAAAGAAAAATTTCACATAAAATTTCTTCATCTGTATTTTTCCTTTTTTCACCACCTGCTCACCAGCAAAGTACCTGCTAAAAATAAATTATTGATTTTAAAAAATGTTTCATTGCCACTAATTTTTTTTTTTTTTTTTTTTTTTTGGTACTGGGGATTGAGCTCAAAGAGTTCTCACCCCTTTTTATTTTTAGGCAGAGTCTTGCTAAGTTAACTTAGGATCTCACTAAGTTGCTGAAAATGGCTTCAAACTTATCATTTTATTTTTGCCTAAACCACGAGAATTACTGGAATTATAGGCAAGCACCACCATGCCTGACCTGCTACTGAATCTTGAGGCTAAATAATCAGGATACTTTTTCTTTTAATGTTCCTTCAAAATTTAATTTTGATATGAGATTTTTACATAATTTTATTAACTACAATTATAGCATAAGGCCCTAAGGATACCTAGCTAATAAGGAAATATTATAGAAGTAAGATGAACTATGCTACAATATGATAATTCTAGCTATTCTTAGTACAGCTGTTCCAGGTAACTTATAAATTTATAGCCAGAGCTGTCAGAAATATTTAAGAAAAAAGCAGAAGATCCTTCATAATATGAAACATAAAAATTGGTTTAGGGATATAAAATTTTCATTTTACCTGTTGATACTGAGATCCAGGTGAATGAGGATACAGTGCTGCATCTTCTGGTGGAGATGACTCATGCTCATCTGGGGCATCTTGGTCATCTGGTTCCTAATTTTAAAAGGATATTAAGAATTTGATTATGAAAGTAACTTCAACTGTATTTTTAACCTCCTTTTAAGGTCTCAAGACTAAAAAAGAAAAAAAAAAGTATAAAAGTACATTATTTTTGTTACTAGAGGTATTTTACAGCCCCCCCCCCCCCCCCCCCCCCCCGCCGCCACACACACCCCCGGTGGCAGATTTCTTTTTGGAACTTAACCCAAGAGTGCTTAAAAATTTTTAATTTTTGACATAGGGTCTTGATGAGTTACTGAGATTGGTCTTGAACTTGTGATCCTTTTTGCCTCAGCCTCCTCAGTCCCTGGGATTATAGGTGTGAACCACTGTGCCCAAGATATAATAATTGATAAGAAAAACAAAGGGGTGGTGAAATTCTTCCAAATGTTAAGAGTAAGTCAGTAATTAATGCTAACCATTAAAACAAATAAAACCACAATTACCAATTGTTAATACATAAATACTAAACTAAAAAAAAAAAAAAATCACTTTTTTTCCCCCTTCCATTCTATTGTCATTTTTTACCTCTTCTGGACAAAGTTCACAAGATTTTCTAAGTGTCACTCTAGCACTATGTGACCTTTCTAAAAAATAACCATTTGAGGTCTCATTGCTTTGTACTGGTGGAGACCAATTGTTGTAAGTGTACTGAGGATTGCCAGTATATGGTCTTCTTTCAAGTTCATCTCCAAGCCACTCCACTGCCCAGGTCCACTTTCTCTTAAGGTCTCCATTACCCTTAAAATAAATAAATAAATAAATAAATAAATAAATAAATAAATAAATTCAACTTATTGAAACTAATTTTTCAAAATCAAGTTAAAATGGCAATTCCCAAATTTTCATAATTATTATCTTTTAAAATGTGGATGTGGCATTATACCAATTTATAATGAATAATTCTTTGTTTTTTTTTTTTGGTACCAGGGGGGTTATCAACTGAGCCATATCCCCAGACCTTTATTTTAGGGCCTTGCAAAATTGCTAAGGCTGGCTTTGAACTGGTGATTCTCCTATACAACCTTGCCCGGGTTGAAAGAATTCTTACCTGTAAAATTTGGTAAGCAACAGGACAACTGTTAAAGAGAGCTACCATACACTTTATACACTGATATGCTCTTTTTTGATAGTGATTCTTAGAGTGCTGGATTGTATCAAACAGCCCATCACGGTCATTTGGAATTCCTTTAAGTGCATTGTGAATTCTAAAAACAAAACAAAACAAAAAAACCCAGATATAAATAAATTTTAGGTGCTTTCTAGTCACTATTCAGTATATGATGTAATTATATAATCCAATTTCCTAAATGAATAGTATCAATAAACTTATTTAACAGAAGGAAAAAAGTCCAGAGAGGTTAAATAGCTTTGTCAACATTATAGAATTAAAAAGTCGTGGAGCTCATTCTGTTACATTAAACATTTTTTTTTTCAATAATAGTGACTAAACCCAGTTGCTAATCCTTTTTTATAATAAATTTAAGTGTAAAAGTGAGTTAAGGGCAATAGTCCACTATTTTTATTAGTTAAATCACATTTCTTTAAGAATACTTCAGGTGAGAATAACTGATTAGTTGGCTCATTTTTGTAAGACTATATTTCAGAATTTAAAGTTACAATCCACTGACTGAAAAAAGTGTAATAATTTGATATATTAAACCAATCTTTAATACATATATAATAGGTAAAGCAGATTTTTTTCCACTGACAATGGCAGAATTTGATTTAGTAATGATCTATTACATCATTTAATTTCTAAACTGTTATAGAAAACTTTGGGCAATTATGACTCTCCTCAATAGTAATTTAAAATATTAATTATACGCAAAAGCACACTTTCTTTGGAGTCATTACCTGGACAGAAAGTAAACAGACAAAAATTCGATTTTATACACTGTGTCTTAGTTAGTAGAAATCATTAGATTCTAATAAAAAGACAATTTTCCTTTTTAGCCAAGATATTCACAGTATGTATCTTTATTTGGAAAATTCAACTTTCAAATATAATTTCTTTCAGACAAAAAAAATAACATGTTCAATGTGCAGTGGTAAATGCCTGTAATCCCAATGAAGCCGAGACAGCCCAGCCTTGGTAACTTACTGAGATCCAGTCTCAAAAAACAAACAACAAAAAATGAAGACTATAAATATAGTTTAGGGGTAGAGTACCCCTAGGTTAAATTCCTAGTACCACAAAACACCAAAAACAAGGTTTCTTAAGATACTTGTAGTAATACTATATTCTATTTTATCATTTGGTCTTAATAATGACGTGATTCTTAATATTTTTTGTCAAATTTTTTCTTTATTTTTGGTACTAGGAATTGAAGCCAGGCATGGTTAACCAGAGCCACAATCCCAGCCCTTTTTTTGCATTATTCAGAGACAGTGTCTCACTGAGTTGCTGAGGTTGGCCTTGAACTAGCAATCCTCCTGCCTCAGCTTGCCCAGCTACTGGGATCACTGGTGTGTGTCACTTACCCTGGTATGACAAATGCTTTCATGTGTAATTTTGACCAATATTACCTTTATGTTTCTGGACATAGCAAATGATTTCTAATACCTCATGAATACTGTTAATTAAATAAAATAAATGTTATTTATGCACAACAGTTCAAGCAATACTTCATGCATTCTCTATTGATTTTGAAGATGAAAGTTTACTATTTTCCAAAATAATTTAGTTTTTATTTACTTTTTGGTACCACAGTAAGTATGTAGATAATATTATATTACATTATATTGTCTTATATTTAGAATATCCAAAAATCTCTACCAGACTGCCAAAGCTAATAAACAAATCAGCAAAGTAGCAAGTTATAAAATCAACATACAAAAATTATTAGCTTTCTTACATACCAACAAATGACTTTGAACATCAACAAAGAAATCAGAAAATCAATCCATTTATAATAGTCTCAAACAAACAAAACAAAAAACCCCACAAAATCCCTAACACCCTCAAAACAAAATCAACCAAAACCAAGAACCAAAAACACAAAAACACAAAACCCAGGAAAAATCTAACCAAAGAGATGAAAATCTCTGTAATAAAAATTTTAGAATATTGAAGAAGGAAGACTGAAGAAGATGGAAAGATCTCCCATGTTCATTGACTGGCAGAATCAATATGGTAAAATGGCCATACTACCAAAAGGCAATATACTGATCACGTGTAATCCCCATCAAAATATTAACAACATTCCTCACAGAACTAGGGGGGAAAAATGTCTCAAAATTCATTTGAAAGAATAAAAGACCCAGAAGATCCAAATTCAATTGAAATAAAAGACCCAGAAGAGTCAAAGCAACTCAGTAAAAACAAACAAACAAATTAAAAAAAATGCTAGAGGCCTCACAAAAACTGATTTCAAATTATAATACAGAGGTATAGTAATTAAAAATGGATGGTATGGCACAAAATAGAAGACAGATACAAACTCACTCAGATACAATCATTTGATCCTTCATAAAGCAGCCAAAAAACAAACATTAAAGAAAAGGACTTTTAAACAAAGGTGTTGGGAAACTGGTTTTCAAATCAACTAAAAATGGGTCAAAGACACAAATATTAAGACTAGAAACTAAACAACTCTCAGAAGAAATGCAGGGTCAATACTCCAGCATACAGAAACAGGCAACTCTCTCAACAGGACCCCTACAGCTCAGGAAATAATGACAGCAAGAATACACACAGTAATAAATGCTGGGAGGATATGGATTAAAAGGAACACTTTTACTGGGATTGTAAATTAGTACAATCACTAAGACTAGAAACTAAACAACTCTCAGAAGAAATGCAGGGTCAATACTCCAGCATAGAGAAACAGGCAACTCTCTCAACAGGACCCCTACAGCTCAGGAAATAATGACAGCAAGAATACACACAGTAATAAATGCTGGGAGGATATGGATTAAAAGGAACACTTTTACACTATTGCTGGGATTGTAAATTAGTACAATCACTGTGGAAATCAGTATGGAAGTTCCTCAAAAGACTAGGCATGGAACTATCATGGGGCTGGACTGAGCTATAATACTTCTGTCTTGTTCAGGGGCATAAACAGCACTTCCAGAATAGAAAAAAGACCCAGAGTTCAACCCCCATTCTCAAGACACTGAAAGAGCTCCCAAAACTGAAACCATATTTGCTAACTGGCATTTGCACTTATTTCTACAACTTGGGAGAGATAATTAATGCTGGTAGCAAGAGTATCCACCTGTGAGTCTGCCAGGAATCCTCAATCAGTAAAATTTGCAAAAGTAGATCCAAATATGGCCGAAGTTCATAAGTATATGAATAGGCAACCTAAAAATAGGTAAAACATAGTAAATATAAATACTTAAAGGAGTATGAATAAATTACATACAAATGAAAGTTAATATTTATTTAACCTGCCAGAGAAGTTCACTGAGAACAGCAGATGAGAACTGAGGATTCTCCCAGGAGCAGAACCGAAGTAACTTAATGGTCTCCTCTGAGTTACTGCAGTCTTCAATAATTTTCTTCACATAACTTATTCTCACAAATAAAATATCTGCCACATTCTGCTGAATTGGCATTATAGGTTGTGATAAATTAGCATCACCAAAAGGGTTGGGAAGGGGGGGATTACCTAGGAAAGATTTGACATTAATGAAAAGCCAACAGACTTGTCCACAAAATCATAATACTAAATTTATTATTTCAAAAAAATAACTCTTAACTTAAGCCTCCTAGGCATAGTAACAAAACTCACAAGACCACATATTACAAGATAATAAAATGTAAAATTGTAAAAATTAATCTTGAGAATTACTTTCAGTCAAGAAGTGTTCATAACGAACATTATTTTAAAACTACTATAAAGAATGGAACATTCTACTTTACCATTGATTGAAGACTGGGTTCTTGATGAAACACTGCAACAGCGTATCAGCTGAGACACTACTGAGTATAATTTGCCTAATTCAGCATATTGATATTTGATTGGAGGACCTGGTCCTTCATCTAAAGATACAAGCATAAAGGTGGCAGGTACGTTCAATTTCAGAAGCTGTGTCTTTTCCGCAATACCTATGAAAAAGGGTACAAATAAGGTGTTAAAAAATATTAGGAAGGACAGGGATTAAGTAATTAAAAGGTAATTATCATAGCTTCTCATAATTTTATAACTACAGCTATCGTCTGTTTAGAATGTAGCAATATAGAAAGAATGTAGAAAATTAAGATTAAATGTTATCACTGTGAAATGACAACAGCTCTGGCATTCCAATTATAGAGGTACTCAGGAAAATGTACTTTCTAGCATCTTAGAGAGGTTAGAATGGTCTAACCTAAATTCTCTAGCACTTCTCATCCTCCTAAGGAAAGTCAGAAACTAAATTTCCAATCTGTTTATCTAAGCTAAGTGCTTGGGGTATAAAATGCCTATATTTGTTGTTTCTACATTTCTTATTTTCTAATATGGATGTACATTTTGTTTTTATCTTAACCTTTGATGCCTGAAGCTAAAAGAGGTCTCAAATATTTAGGTTCCCCTTCATAACACTATTTTTCCTTGATCTTCTTCCTTACCAGTTTTTAAGAATATATATCTGAGTGAGATCATGTGAAGCTTGTCTCTTTGAGTCTTGTTAATTTCACATAACATGATATTCTCCATTTTCATCCATTTTATTACAAATGGCCATTTCATTCTTTTTTTTATGTCTGTATTCCACTGTTTGTGTATTTGTTGTTATACACTACACTTTACATAATATCTGTTTATGAACAATGCTTTAAGAGAACTATAGATTTGACATACTGTTTTTTTTTTTAAAGTTGGACATAACCAGTAGCAGGATTATGGGATCACACCTAGTACACAGAAGGATTAACAGCTAACTACCTTAGTAGTAATTCTTGCATGTGCCCATATACACATATACTGAGTTACATCCCCACATCTTTTTATTTTGAGTCAGGGTCTAAGTTGCTGAGGTTGGCTTAGAACTTGCAACCCTTCTGTCTCAACACTGGAGTTTCTGGGATGAGATCAGTTGTATTTTGAGGAACCTCTGTACTATTTTCCACATGGTTTATCATTTTTTGAATTTTTTTGAATTGGCACTGTAATTCATTTTCTGAAAAAATATAACCTTTTTAAGGGAAATAGGCTATTTAAGCACACACCACCCTTACTGTGAATGTGAATATTCATTATTTATCACAAACATATTAATATATTTGGCCACAGGGTACTGTGGATATTACACAATGTATTACAAACATACCACTTCACTTTTGTCAAACCAAGAAATGAAACCCTAAAACATGTCTGGTCCTATGTACTTAACATTAAGATATCAAAGTATTCCTGGCAGGTGAAACTACAATTAGATTTTATTATAGACCATGATGTGTGGCTTATGAACAGGGAATATTTAAAATGATAGCTGTACAGAATATAAGTTTTTTGAGTGCTCAGCCTGGATATTTTTACATTTGAAATAAAAACTTCAAGGTAAAGACTTCATGCCTGGTTGTATGAAAGTACCAACTGCCTAGTACTGATGATTAAACCCAGGTGGTTTGCCACCAAGCAACATTCTTATACCTTTTAAAATTTTATTTGGACACATGACCTTGTAAAGTTGCCCAGGCTAGCCTTCAACTTGTGATTTTCCTGCTTTACCTTATTGGTTTGCTGGATAATTAGACATGTGTCAAAGTGTTTGGCTTACTACTTCAATTCTTGAGGATATGATTTTTAAATTTTTTTTTTTTAAATTTGTGATTTACAATTTTTTTAAAAAAACTTGTTCTGATCTGGGGTTGTGGCTTAGCGGTAGAGTGCTTGCCTGGCATGCTCGAGGCCCTGGATTCAATCCTCAACACCATATAAAAATAAATAAATAAACAAAATAAAGGTATTGTGTCTAACCAAAAAATAAATATTAAAAAAACCCCAACTTGTTCTAATTATAAATGATAGCAAAATGCATTTCGATTCATTGTATACAAATGGAACATAACTTTCATTTCTCTAGTTGTACACGGTATAGAGTTGTGCCATCTAGAATGATGATGTTTATCTCATTCCTAAACCTAATTTGTGAGGAAGTGATTTCTAAACATGACAAGTTCACAACTATTGAAGATATTTTATAAACCAGTAATACCTTACCCTAACTCTAAGGATTTTCAGTTGGTGTGGGATGTGGCCTGGGTAGTTAATATTTTTCAAAAAAGCAGTATTAGGAGATGTAAACATAAATCAGACATAGAATCTGACCTTAAAGACTGTTAGGGACAAAAGGGTTAAGTGCTTAAGTTATTTTATAATAGAAGATGAGAAATTTCATTTAAAACGTTATAGTCTAGAGGTGTAGCTCAATGGTAGAGTGCTTGCCTAACATGTGAGAAGCACTGGGTTCTATTCTCAGCACTTCATATAAATAAATAAAATATAAAGGTCCATTCGACAACTAAAAAACAGAAAAACAAACTTCAAAACTTATACAAATTTGCAGACAGCCACACTCAAGCAAATTCCATCTCATCATCTGATTAAAATCTTTTTTTCATTTAATATATAAATATAAAACAAATTGAAAGTTATGAAAAGTTCTTACCTAAATTGGCATACATTACAAACAAATTGAAATATTGTTGTAAATGACGTCCATGTTCTGAAACTTCCCTTCTCAGGAGATTTAATACTGCTTTTAGTAAGTGGTCACTCAAGCTCAAGTTATCAGATTTCTATGAATAATAAACTATCAGTTATTTTTATCAGCAACTGCATATATAAACTGTATAGTTTTATTTGCATAAAAAGAACCATGTTCATAAATACTGTAAAAGTTTCATGAAATAAATTATTAAATATAATTGCTTTGTGAGAAAAAAGAACTGCAATAAAGATCCTTTATAATGTTTAAATTGTAAAGATAAAAATGCGTGTTATAATTTTTGCATTCAAGATACTTAACAAATTTTGTAATTATTAATTATGTTATTATAAATCAGCATACAGGCCTTAAAATTTGCTAAATAACTACAAGTGACTCATAGAAACTTCTCTTCATCTTTTCAGATTAATGATCACTATTTTCACTATCATAAAATAATTTTTAGGAACCACAGTATCATAACATTTATGTGTAGACACATTTCTGCATGGTAAATATGTCATACACAGGCACATAAATATGCTTCTTTACACCTGTTTAAAGAAAAACTTACTTTCAAGTATTTAATTAGAAAGAAAGTATGCAGTTACCTGACTACAACGTGTCCCTGGCGATGCAAAAGGTGAAGGAGAAGAACCATCTTGCAAGGAAAAATGTGCAATAAATACTATAAGTTTTGCAAACACACCCCTCACTTCTGCACTAGGGCACTCCAGAAGGTATTCAGAGAAACGATTTGATACATTAAAAAGAACATTATGAGCAAACCAAAAACGAACATTCTTGCTGTGACGAAGAAGAATGCACAAAGCATCATACCTAAAATAGAAACATCTATGATTATGAATTTTTATTAATATGCTTATTTTGATTGCTATAACAAAGACAAAGGGTTCTCTGAACCAAATAATGATCATGACTGGTTATAGTACAAATATGAAACCAGATGACTATCTATTTCCATGTTACAAAATGAATTCAGGAGTCTCTGCAAATATTTTCATCTTTTAACGTGAATGATGCTGAAAGAGTTGTTAAATCAAGGAGCTATAATAAAAACTCCTCTATACTATTAAAATCAGCAACAACTGAAGAATATAGCAATTTAAATATCTACCTTTTTAATGCTAAGCAAGAATTTTACTTAGTGAAGATAAACTTAATATTTTCATGATGAACAATACTGAAGATATAAAACAAATTAACAAAAGAAAACCACATTTTCAGTAATATGGCATATTTAGATTAGACATTTTTAATAAGATTTTTCTTAGCATCATTGTATCTTGAACTAAAAGACCCATATTATAAAAAAATAAATCAGTATACTAAATAAATTCAAGTACAATATGAACAAATCTAAAGCCATGTACCAGTCACTGGCAGGGCCACGAACTATTATCTTGGTATGAAATCCAGTGGTAAAGAGGAATCTAGCAGCAAGTTGAATGCTAATCATAGTTATTTCTTCTGCTTCAGGTAACAAGTAATCTTGTCCTTTAAATAAACAGTGCACATGCAATCAAACAGACTTTATTTTCAGGTTCCAGGAGTAATGCTTAGTGATTATTTTAATACCTCACTAAAACACGTCTTTAAAAATCAAACAAATGCTGAGTCAAAATAATTGTTTCAGTAAATAAAAGCACCTCTACTTTCTCCAACACAAAGCCTCACTTTTTTTAAAAAATATTTTTTTTTAGCTATAGATGGACATATCTTTACTTATTTTTACGTGGTGCTGATGATTGGAACCCAGTTCCTGATACATGTGAGGCAGTTGCTCTACTATTGAGCTACAGCCCCAGACCTTAAAGTCTCACTTTTCAAAGGTAAGATATTTTAAAATTTTAATTTAAAAATAGCTTGAACTGAAAATGCTGATACGTTCACATGAATTAAGGTTAACAGGCATATTAAAAAAAATAAAGAAAATGAAGAAAATATTTAAAGAGAGATTGATGTCTGACAAGAAATTCTAAAAATAAGTTAAGAATTATTTTTTAATAAGAAACTAATTTCAAGAAACTTACCTGGAGCAGGATTTAAGTAAAGAGCATTACATGTAAGCAATTTTTTCACAAACTGAAAATATTCTAAACTATACTGCATTTGATTATGCATAAACTGCACATTTTGTTTCCATACGCTTTTCTCAATGGCTGGTGACATAATAATCTGATGGGATCTAGTGACAGATAACTCTGAAATGTATCTTATCATCTTATCATCTTCATCAACTGTGTCCATTCGCTCATAAAAAAGTATATAAGCATTCCACCACCGTTTCTGCCGTCTGTATGACATACACTTCATCATATGATCAAATACTTCTCCCATGTATTCTCCACCAAAGCATTGATTCTTCATTTCTTCATCATCATCCATTTTACATTCTGTTACATCTCCATCATCAAATTTATACCAGTGATCTCTCTCACCATCTTTACCATTCCTTTGAATGATGTAAGAATAATAATGTCCACCGCTTGCTTGACCACTGTGTACAAGCACACCTACAAGTCTGTATTTTGTGTTTCTTGTATTCTCACTTTCTGACTGCTCCTTCTGTCCAATCAACTGACTCTCTGAGTTTATGTTATCGCCTTCCAGCTTTGCAACACCTGCTACTGTGTAAGGTTCCATATCCAGTTCTCGGGGAAATTCAAAATAATCATTGAATTTGATTGCACATTCTCTCTCCCAATCATAGTCAAATCGTTTCAATTGGATAGCAAGAACAGGAGGCAATTTTTTGATTAGCAAGCGTTTTACTGTATCAACCTGCAATTAGTAAACAATATAAATGCAAAGATGGAAAGAATCTGTTAAACTACATAAAAACATGATATTTTCACAATATTTCATTACCAAAATAACACAGGGCAATTATAGAATAATTTTTAAATAATGTTTACCAAGCCTAAAAACATGTAAATAACCTCAGTTTTTTACAATTTGCAAAAACTAGTAAGTAAAACACTATTGGCTACCTGGTTCTATTATTATTATTTTTTTTAAGAGAGAGAGCGAGAGAGAGAGAGCGAGAGAATTTTTTAATATTTATGTATTTATAACTTTTTGGTATTTATGTTTTAGTTTTCGGCAGACACAACATCTTTGTTTGTATGTGGTGCTGAGGATCGAACCTGGGTCACACGCATGCCAGGTCAGCGCGCTACCGCTTGAGCCACATCCCCAGCCCCTCTATTGTTTTCTAATGATTACTTTTTTTAATATATATTTTTTAGTTGTATGTGGACACAATATTTTTATTTATTTTTATGTGGTGCTGAGTTTCAAACTCAGTTCCTCAAACATGCAATGCAAGTGATCTACCACTAAGCTACAACCCCAGCCCCTCTAATAATCACTTTAATATTTACTTTTATACTAATAAGTAGAATTGCTGTAAGTAATGATAACAGCAATTATTACATGACTTATAAGTCATGTAATACACAGCTATTCATGTATTAATGGCTTTAATCCTTATTAGCCTTTGAAAAAAGTACTATTACTTTAAAGAATGCAGATTAAGCCAAGTTTAATGGCATACACAGGTAATTCCAGTGACTTGGCTGAGACAGGAGGATCCCAAGTTTGATGCTAGCCTCGACAAATTAGCAAGGCCTTCAGCAATTTAGTGTATCAAAATAAAAAGCCAAAAGGGCTGGGGACGCAGTTCAGTATAAAGCTCCCCTGGATTAAATTTCCAGTCCCAAAATGAAAAAGAAGAAAAAAAAAATTGCAAATTAAAGATAGCCAAAAATAAGAAGAAACTGACTAACTGTCAGAGTTGTGGGTAAATAGGCAATATGGCTTTATAAAATATAACCCAATTAATGTTTAAAGCCAAAACAATACAGGCAACTTGGAGATGAGAAAGCATGACAGCTGAGAAAAAGACTTATCTGTCACTTACTGTAATGTATTTTTAAAAACATGTTATCATTTATTATACAGAGTTTTCAAAAATAAAACTAGTTGGCTGAGTCTAAAAATCAATTGATCTGGTTGATCAAGTTCAAGCAGCTTTAAAAATTCTATTGCAACAAGATGAAATTAGTAAAATTTCTGAAATAGAAGGGTAATTTAGAATGTAACATAATATTTTTAGCATTAACTCTTTAGGTTTAAGTTCAACAGTGACCTATTTCAGAGCAGAGATGAAAACAATCTTGTTAAAGTACATAAAAACATGATATCTTTTACAATATTCTTTTGCTGACACAGCTTTAAAAGAATTATTGTGGGGCTGGGGATGTGGCTCAAGCAGTAACGCGCTCGCCTGGTATGTGCGGGATGCTGGGTTCAACCCTCAGCACCACTTAAAAATAAATGAAAGAAAGAGAGAGAGAGAGAGAGAGAGAGAGAGAGAGAGAGAGAGAGAGAGAGAGAAAGTAAGAAAGATAGATAGATGTTGTGTCCACTGAAAACTAAAAATGTATTAAAAAAAAAAAAAGTATTGTGGCTCTTCTAACCATAATACTTAAGTAGAAATGGAGCGGTTATCAAATTTTGAGATTGAGGACAAGCACCTCTGAATTTTCCCAGTTCTAGCAACGTAATCATTATTTTGAAAATTGTACAATACTTACCTTAAAAAAAATTATGAATCGTTGATGAATTTTTTGAATTTTATTTATTTATTGGTATGTGGTGCTGACAATTGAACCCAGTGCCTCACACATGCTAGGCAAGTGCTTGACAACTAAGCCACAATCCCAGCCAATACTTACCTTTTTATCACATTTTTCACAACAATATGCATTTGCACCTTCCAATAAATCTCCTTTGATATACTGTTCCAAAGAATCAAGAAGATTTTGGTGATTTCTAATGTCAACATTCAAAGTTGTAAAAGATTCTTCACATTCGTACCTAAAGGTGTTATTTAAAAAATGATCAAAAGGATTATTCTTTACATTTCTAACAGTCATCTTTAGTTGAGGTGATGAAAAATAATTTTGCAGTACTTACTGCATAATGTCAAATCAATCAGTCATACAATGTTATAAATGAGTAGGAATTATCTTTTATTAGTCATTTTATTTTGTACCGAACACTATTTGATTCTTTTATGCTTATCTTCACATTAATTAAATACATGCTAGAGGGCTGGCTAAAGAGCTAGGGATGTGGCTTGGTAGAGGGCTTACCTTGCATGCACGAAACATTGGGTTCAATCCCTAGCACTACAAAACAAAAACAAAACGAAGATACATCTCTATGCTCCCTTTAAAGAAGGAAACTGGAGCTACAAAGTTTGAGCTTCCCCCTAACGTGGGATGGAAAGCACACTGTCATCCAGGCCCTCTTGTTCTATCTCTTCCAGGCTGTGTCTGTCGCTGTCCAGCTTTTTCATCCTCCTAGGCGGTGTCCTGGGTTCAGTACCAGGGGATGCTGAAGGGTCCAGTGCTGCTTTTGTTTTTGGAAGTGCATCTATCTGGATTCCAGTACAGGGAGTGTTGGATACCAAATACAGGACCTCTGCTTGCTAAGCAAAGACTATATCCTAGTCACATGGGCTCCAGCTTGATTCCTGTGGTTGACTACAGCACAGAGGACAGCTGAAGCTCAAAGGACATCTTTTTAAAGCAAATTGTAAACAGATGTTTCTGAAAACAAATTGTAAACTGATGTTTCTGAAACCTTCCAGATTTTTCCTAGAAGAAGATATGTCTGAGAAAAGAGATTATATCACCAAATAAGATTGGAAGGTTCTACTAAGATGAAATTTCATGAGTGAGGTTCTGTGGGAAGATGTTGCTTATGACAAATGGGAATATAATTTTGGGGAGGATGAAGATGAGTATGGGAGTCTGAAAAGACAAGATGCCAGAACACTGGAAGGCAGAAACAGCCTTTTAAGCCCAAAGCTGCCAGAAGAATACAACAGAGGGGCAATGCTGCCTTTTGGTTTTATGTTCATGAACACATGTTGCATAGCCAGAGCATTTGAAATTTCTACCACTTATAAACCAGACAGACTTGGTAATCATTTAACCTGTGACCTTGTCAAAGAAAATGTAATGAGGGCTGTATCACAAAGGGGAGAGATCAAGTTCAACTCTGAGTATAAGAACAAGACAACTGTAGAACCATGGAGTGTGGAAATAGAAAATTACTAAAATGAGACCTAAAGAATGGGGCACTGTTGCTAAAGTGGCTTAACAAGTCTCTTGATAAAACAGGCTTAGGCATCAAAGGTGAAGTATACAGTACTGGCTCAGATGTCAAGCAAGGGGGTTCTATCTATACTTGACTTAGCAGAATGTATACTAAAACTGGATACAGAAGCCCAAGGTGGGGTCTGATTAAGAAAAAGGCTCAGAAGAATCTAAATTTGGTTAAGGAATATTGCAGGTCTAATTTTCTTATCTGTTAAGGGTGTGTGTGTGTGTGTGTGTGTGTGTAGGCGGCACCAAGCAGGTCCCACAATCCTTCAGAGGACTGTGGAATAAAGTCAGCTGGAAGTTATCAAGAAAATCCTATAATGCTCAAGAAATGTTTAGTGAGGATGTCAGGATGCTTTGTGTTCCCAGTTGGGTAGCACTTAGAACAATGTGCATAGCTACAACTCTGGAAGACCCCAAATGCACCTCTTGTCTAAGAGATCTTTCCTCTCTCTTTCTATATCCTGGGCAGTGACTTCACTGGGAGCTGTCAGGTGATGTGAGCAAAAGGAGGGGATTTGCAGAAGTGAACATAGATTTAGGAATAAGTTCTGACAAGAATGTTGTTGCAGTGGTCAAATCACTGTAGCTGGGCCTTGCGTTGGGCAGTCTCTTCTGTAACAGAAGCTGGAAGAAGTTTGTCTCCATGATAAGTAGTTTTGATGCAAGGGGGAAAAAAAGTTTTATTAGAATAATAATAATCTTTTGTGGCCAGGGGGGAATCATATAGCAATGTGACAGTTACTCAGGGACCTACTCTGATACAATGTTTAGGTGATTCTACTGTAATGGTATGACTGTCATGGAATGCACTGATACAAATCTAGATGGTAGAGGACAATCACTGACATGTCCTTTTGAGGGAATTAAGAGAAATGGCACACTGTTGATAGCAAACTTTTAAAATATTTTTTGTTAAAGCAGGAGGAGTATATTCTAAAACAATGATAAAAGCATACTGAACATGAAATGAAACACAAAAGAGTAAGAAAAGATAATGAAACTAGGGTGAGAGAAAGCTGGTAGACAATTTTGATTTCATTTATGAGGTGCAGTGGTCATTTGAAATGAGTTTTGTCTAGCCTCACTGTTTCCTGTATTTCTGTTGTATCATCCCTAAAGCAGAGGAAGATAGTAAAACACTTGTCTCCAAGTGTTCCCTTTCTGTTTCCAAAATTCTAAGAACAATAACAAGAGCCTTGTCTAGAAAAAAAAAAAAAAAAAGACATATATTATTTTGAAGAACACTGGCTTGCTTTTGTGCACACTGGGAACCAGGGCAAGATGTATACCAGGAGAGCTGCTCCTTGAAAGACTGGTCATATAAACAAACTTAAGCTAAACTAACCTTAGCTAATGCTGATGATGCCACTGCTTCTGCAGAATAACATACAAAAACATATATATCTACATATATATAAAGTTCCCATCCTAGATTGGAACTGAAGGCAATCTGGAAAGGCTGAGTCATGTGGCCAGTTGGCTATCACTGTACCATGAGAAGAGAGGTGCTGTCAACTGTCACACTTTTTGGAGCAGACACTAATCTCTTGTAAATTTCCCCCAACAAATCATGTACCTCCCATTCTGTCTCCAGGGACTTATCTTTGACTTTTCTGCAACATACCCCATCCACCTGGCACAAATGGACTTATGCAAGACAAGCTGTTCAAACAGAATTCATGATAAGTTTAAGACTCATCAAGTTCGGAACACGGTTATTCTAGACTTTTTGTTTGTTTGGTAGTGGGAATTGAACCCAGGGACATTCTAGAACTGAGCTACATCTCCAGCTGCTTTCATGTTTCTTAAAAAGTCGTTTTAGACTACTATTATTACTAAGGGTGAATTTTTAAGTGTTTTTCAATTTTTGTACAAGAAGCTTTTCTAACAAGTTCAAACAATATAGTCTATATTGCTTCTAGTATATGGTTCTAGTTATAAAAAGAAGTCCAGATTAAACAACATGAGAATGAGTCAGCAGTCCAAACTCTGGTAATATTTTACAACAGTGACCCAAAATTTGTGATGACACATATGATAAAATCAGAATATGAGATAGGAAGAATACATTCTCAACCATTAAATTCATTTATCAAAAAGAGATGAGTAAAGTACAGGAGATATATTTAGGTCACAGACCTTAATATTTATAAATTTTTAGTCAGGAGAAACAGGATAGAAACAAAAATAAAATCACTTATATAAATGAGTTATGCAAATTGCAGTATGATCAGATATCTGCCTTCATAAGAAGAAAAAAAAGAAATCCTGAACAATATATATATTCCAGAAAAATTAAAATATTCTAAAACCACAATGCCCTTTAATATAAGACAACTTGGGACTTGTATATATATCTAACAAGAAGTTTAGAGAGCATGTGTACTTTTGAATTTTGGATATTTTGACTAAACAGAATAAAGTATTAATTTCCAATTACTTTTAAAAGATGAAAAACTGAAGACTAAAAGAAACAGGTTATCAAAAAGTGATATACTTGTATTTCTAAAATTATGTAAAAGTTTTCAAAGGACTGAAAGTTGGCTAAGTGAAATGAATGCCTCTCAACTTGTGAGTGAACAGCACTATGAAATGATGAAAAAATTTCCTTTATGTAGTTATCACTTTTTGCTATATTAGTTCTTACCTTCAAAAGGACCTGCTTTACTAAATGTTTATATTTAACATGGTTGAGAAAATTTTCTTTTTTGGTACCAGGAATTGAACCTTGGGGTGCTTAACCATTGAGCCACATATCCAGCCCTCTTTTGTATTTTCTTTAGACACAAGGTCTTTCTGAGTTGTTGAGGCTGGCTTTGAACTTGTGACTCTTCTGCCTTAGTCTCCTGAGGAGCTGGAATTATAGGTGTGTGCCACCATGTACCACTGAAAATATTATAGTATTTTGGTGAGAAAAAAATTTCAAATCAACATTACATCAAGTACAAGTTTTGAAGTAAAACATTCAAATGATAATCATCCATTAACGACCTTTCTGAACTAAACCAATGGCTTTTTCTTTTTATTAGGAACCTAAAATTTCCTTTTTGATTATATCAAAGCCAAAATATAGTCCTTCCTACTAAATCATTTGATATGAAAATATACCTGAAATATTTCAAGAACAAGAACTGATGATGACTTAAAAATACATTTAGAAGACACATTAATATATTTCAACAGTAAATTATATTAGAACAAAGAAGGTCTTTTTCAACAGTATTTGTAGGCTTTCCTAAAATACCATTTTACGTGTTGGGATGACAGAGCAAGGGTAAGAATGCATGAGGAAACAATGAAACACTAAAAATATTCCTTGGGAGAAAATTCAATAAAAATGTGGGAAATTGCAAACGCATATAAATCCTTCACAGTCCTAGGCATTTGGCAATAATTAGTATACTCCAAAATACAAGTGAAAATTTTATTTACACTATTAAAAAAGACCAATATGCACACACTGAAAACACAGCAACTTACCTATGTGGACAGCCTTGGCAGATCTTCTGATCAGCAAAGGAACCTCCTAGGACTTTACTCAACATAGCTGGATGTCCTAAAGCTTTTAAAGCTTCATCCAAACTATCCACCAAAGAATTAAAAAATTCTAAGGCATCATGCTGCTCACGAAGATTAACAGGTTCCCCCCAAAGCCTATTAAATAAATGGAATAAAACAAGGAATAAGAGTCCCAAAATTTCATCTTCATAACAAAATAACGATGACAGAAACATAATCTAAAAGTTTATTTTTTACATAAGGGAAGATAAAATAAACCAATGCAAATTTTATAGTAAAGATATTGGAAATAAAGCTCATAATAAAAATAATTGCAGAGTTAATGAATTATTGTAAAACTCTTGGTGTAACTCAGATTGATGATAGAATATTTGTTTTATGAGATACAGTATTTCATATATTTTTTAATTCAAGTAGTATCATTTTCAAGTCAGAGAAACCCAACATATGATGATACTAGAGTTATTTTTCCTCACAATTCTGTGTTTATTCTTTGTGTGATTCAGTAAAATAGTCATAACACTTTATCCCTAAAGCATTTTTCCAAGTGAAAAGAGAAAAAGAAAGGGCTAGGGCATTTGCTTAGCATGTGTGAGAGTCACTGTGTTCGATTCTCAGCACCACATAAAATATACAACTAAAAAATAAAAAAAGGAAAAAGAAAAAGTTGACCATTTTGTTAGAATAAATGTATTTTCAAGACTATAAGTGATTCTACATTTTATGTGAATCAGTTCTGAGAAAATTAAATATCAACTGTGTACACACAAAATGAGATATTGTGGCACATGCTTGGGATCTCAGATATTCACAAGGCTTACAGGTTTGACGTTAGCCTTGGAAACTTAGTGAGACCTTTTCTCAAAGTATTGAGAAGAGGGCTGGGATTGTGGCTCAGTAGTACAGCGCTTGCCTAGCATGTGTGAGATGCTGGGTTCAATCCTCAGCAAAAATAAAATAAAGGTATGTGTCCAACAAAAACTAAAGAAGAAGAAGGAGGGGGGAGGAGGGGAGAGGAGGGGGGAGGAGGGGAGAGGAGGAGGGGGAGGGAAGACAGGGGGAGGGGGAATGGGAGGGGAGGGGGAATGGGAGGGGAGGGAGGGGGACGAGAAGGAGGAGGGGGAGGGGAGGAGGGGGAGGGGAGGAGGGGGAGGAGGGGAGGACGTTAATATCTATATCGAAATAAAATAAAATAAAAAATAACTTAAAAAACCCCAAAGGCTTGGTTGATGTAGCATAGTGGGTTCAATTCCCTAGTAATACCAAACAATCACAACCACCACCAAAATAAGAACTACTATTGGCAAAAAAGATGATGTAGTGGAAAGTACCAAGAATATCTACTTTAACATTATTCATACCACACCTGGAGAATGTATTATTTTTAGCAAATGTATGGCAATTTTCTGAATTTGCCATTGAGCTACATTGTCTTATTCATCCACATCAGGGTGAATTTTCACAATTTAAAAAGATTTCACTACACTAAAAATTCATTTTAAATTTATACAGACTAAAATGGGTGTGATGGTGCATGCCTACAATCCCAGAGGCAGGAGAATTGCGAGTTCAAAGCCAGCCTCAGCAAAAACAAGGTGCTAAAAGCAACTTAAGAGAGACCCCCTTTCTTTCTCAAAAAAAAAAAAAAAAAAAAAAAAAAAAAGACCATTCTTGCGGGAAACAGGATGTTAAATTTTACAATGGTAGAAGTTATTCAACCACCAAACAATATTACAACATAAGTCCTAATATTAGCTTTTGTAGTCAGACACTTCTATCATTAATTCCTGTCAACTACTTATTTGTTGTCCAGATAAGTAGATTTTTCTATGAGTCTAAGGGAGGCAGGCAGTATGGGTAGCTTAGGGAGGTTGTTTTAAATGAAAACTAAACAGAAACCCCCCCCAAACTTAAAACTAAGATTTTCTGAGTTGCATCTGAGATGTAGTTCATCTTTTCAGATCGTGCTTTTATAATTGTTAAGAGTTTGTAAAGACTGTTACCTCTAACTCTTTCATGTAGTTCTTTTCCTACCAGACTATTTCCCCTCTCATACATGTAATGATAGTTAGCTCCAGAATACTCAACAGAAATTAAAGGTGACTTAATTTTTGCAGCTTTTTTACTATAAACAATATTTTCAGTTTACCTCAATTCTACGCAATCTCTCCAGAAGTAAGGAATGTCACTAGTTTCTCTGTCAATGTTCTACCTTGCATTATAGCCTAAAATCTTCAAGTTAGTAGCTCCTGTAGAATTCTTACGTTTCCTATCTCACAGATGTTAGTCACTCTTTTTCTTTTCTTTCTGATAGACCAGGTAGATCATAAGGTCATAATTTATTTGAAGTAAGAATTTGCAAAATTTATTATCTAAATGCTCTTGGAATCAATTCCCCACAGATCTGAGCAAAAAGTGAACTTCTTAACCAGTTTCCCCACTGGCAGGTTCTAGCAAAACTATATATGTATTGCAATTATCAGGATCAGTACTGATACCAGTGTAAGCTTCAATCACATTCAGATTTCTTGAGTCTAGTTTATACCATTTTTGTGTATGTGCTTGTAAACAATTATCATGGGTATGTCTGTTTCTATTATGACAGTCAAGATATAGAACATTTACAGTATCATCAGGATCTATTAAGTTTTATATTTATACCCACAGAGCTGGGGGGATGGTGCTGGGTGGCTCAGTGGCAGAGTTCTTGCCAAGCGTATGTGAGGTACTAGGTTTGATTCTTAGTAATACATATAAATAAATAAAGGTCCATCAGCAACTAAATATAAAATTTTAAAAGAAAGAAAAAATAGAGCTGGGGATAAGGCTCAATGGTTGAGTGCCCCGAGTTCAATCCCTGGCATCCCCCCCTGCCCCCCCAAAATAATAGTTTTATAAATCATAAAATGTTACTATGGCCATTTTAATATCAATTCAGCCTATCCTAGAACATGAGAGATCTTTCCGTATTCTGAAATCTTCAATTTCTTTCTTCAGTGTTCTATAGTTTTCATTGTAGACATCTTTTGCCAGTTTTGTTATATTGATTTCTAAATATTTTATTTCTTTGTTTAGACACTGTAGAACCTAGTATTTAACTACTGAGACATATCCCTAATCCCTTTTTTATAAAGACAGGGTCTCAGGTTTCTCTGAGTTGCTTAGGGGCTCAGAAGTTGCTAAGGCTGGCTTTGAATTTGAGATTCTCCTACCTCAGCTTCCTGAGCTTCTGGGATTACTGGTGTGAACCACTGCACTTAGTGTATTTTATTCAATAACTAGATAACTAGATAACTGAGGATGCATCAGATAAAAAAAATCCTTTAGGTAAGGAGGTAAGGATCCATTAAGGGTCACATGTAAAAACAAGGGAAATACAGGATCCAAAAAAAAGGATCATTATGTTTCTGTGTTTAAAGATATGCTTTAAAAAAGAGGTAATTCTGTTAGAAGAGCTCAATTGTTACACCAGAGCTCTCATTTTCTGATAATAAACAGGAATGGATAGTGGGGCTTAGTGGGATGGACATACTCAAGGTATAGAAGGGGGCTCCGGGGAGGAGTCTAATAAGGACATTGAAGAGAACAGGGATTTGAGAGCAATGGATATTTTAGATATATTCTTTTTTTTTTAATATTTATTTTTTAGTTGTAGTTAGACACAATGCCTTTTATTTATTTATTTATTTATATGTGGTGCTGAGGATCGAACCCAGGGCCTTGCACATACTAGGCAAATGCTCTATCACTGAGCCCCAACCCCAGCCCAATATGTATCCTGTTTTTGAAGATATGATCCTAATAATTCTAGCCAGAGGCTTTGTTGAGCCCATTCCTTTAAAAACTCTTAAAAAAACTTAAGGTACAAATTCTATATATGGCCCCAGAGCTCCATTTGTACAGAGCTTATTAGAATCTCTTGCCAATGAAGTTTAATTCCCAATGACTGGCTCACACTAGCTAAGATCTGCTTATCAGGGAGTGATTAAAAAATCTAAATGGACAGAACTTAGTACAAAAAAGGGTGACAGAATCAAGCTTATGATGTTAGTATCATTTATAAAATGATGATTGGAACTGGACAATTTGCTGACACAATTCTCCAGCTGAATTCTGATATACAGGTCTACCTGCAAATAAATGTAGCTGCTAAAAAAAAAAAAAAGACTTGGAGAGAGGGGCTAGGGTTGTGGCTCAGAGGGAGAGCACTTATCTAGAATGCATGAGGCACTGGGTTCGATCCTCAGCAACACATACATATAAAATAAAGATATTGTGTTCACCTATAACTAAAAAATGAATATTAAAAAAAAGGAAAAAGAAAAAAAAGAAAAAAAGACTCGAGAGAGTTGCCAAATAAGGGAGAACAGACTACGGGCAGCACTAACATTAAACAGGGTCCTGATGAACCTTACACACATTTTGTGGTACAGCTATATCAAGCTATTAGTGAAGTGATTAAAGAAACAGATGCTGACAATTTAGTGGTTAAAGTGGCTGTTAAAAATGCTAAGAAAACCTGTCAGGAGCTCATCCACCGTTATAATGAGAAAGAAATGGTTACTGATTTTGTATGTCTCTGTACTGAAACTGGGAGCATGTATGTTCAAAGAGTAACTTTGGCTAAACCCTAAAAAATACCTGGTAGCTTGAAAGAATAAAATTCTAAAAGGTATATTTTACTTGTGGACAGAGTGGGCATTTAGCCAGAGACTGAGGAAAGCTACATGGCCAAAATACAAAGGCAAGCCAAACCAGGCCTGTGTCCTTGTTGCCACAGTGGTAAACACTGGGACAAATGAACACAGATCTCAAATGAATACACATGGATAATATTTGCCTCTTCAGAAGGGAAACAAAAGGCAGGCCAGCCCTGGCCCTGTCAAACTGTGGGGACACTGTCACTTACTCCAGAGCAGACAAAATTCTGCCAAACCTTTCTTCCCACCATCTAGGACCTGTATAGGGCTGCTATGATTAGTGCGGCAAATTAGCAGGTTCTGGTGAGGGGCGATGGGAGATTGAAAGAAATAAGATTCACAAACACAGATCTTAAAGATTGAACAGCTGGGGTCAGGTAGAGTGCTGCTCTCTGATGGAGAAGCGGGTCTAAAGAATTACATCAGCAATCTACATACTATAGCTGCAATGTGCAATGTTAGGAACATTGTGCAGTTCTCAAGAAAGTCCATTGATTAAAAGTTACTAATTCCAGGGCAGATTAAGGAGAAGTGGAACAGGTGAAACATTGTGATTATTTTAGCAAGGAAACTCCTTCACTCCTAGGAGCTGTGTGCCTGAGAATAAGGTTGAAGTTGATAAGACTCTAGCATGAAGGACATTCCCATTGCAACTGGGCATCCTACGCCTTTGCACAGAAACTTTCAGAGTCATCAAATATCCACAGCAGTAAACTTATCAGGAATCCCAATCTCAGACACTGGTCTCCCAATCTCTGTCACCACTCTCCACACAGGGCCCCAGCAGGATGTGCAGAATTAAACCTCCACCCTACTGCCAGGAATGTACTGATACCCAAAATAGGCCAACACCCATTGGTATTTATGGCCATTTGCCTTCTGGCACAGTAGGACTTATATTGGAACAGAGAAGGCTAACTGTGAAGGGATTTCAAGTACTGCCAGGAGTAATGATCCAGATTTTACAGGAGAACTAAAAATCACCAATTCCATCGTTCAAGAACTTCCAGAAAATAATTTAGTTCCATTTCTTCTTTTGCCTTATTGATCAACAAGAAAAATTTCTATCACAAATACTTAGAGGTGGTCAAGAATTTGGCTCATCAGATAAGACATATTGGGAATAATTAGTAAGGAAAGATAATTAGTAAGGAAATAATTAGGAAGGAAGAACGCTTTCAATTTGAGCTTAAAATAAACAACCAAAAAAAAAATTTCAAGGTATTATAGACCCTGTGGCAGATGTATCTGTTATTCCATAGTATGCTGGCCTAAAAATTGGTCTTTACATAGAGTCTATACGAATTTGGAAGGCTTAGATAATATTTCTCAATCTGTACAAAGTGCTCAGTATCTTCGATAGAAAGTCTCAGAAGGAAACAAGAGACATTTCAATCATTATAGTCTTAAAAGTTTGCAGTACATTTATAGGGTTGTGATATAGTAACGAGTCCTTTTACTAATGAGTCCTAGATCTGTGGTCACTTCTCAAATGTTTGATCAAAGATTTATTCCCAAAGGATTCAGCAAAAATCAACAAGGAAGGTATTCTCCAGTGGCACAATCTTCTCAATAAGAAAAATATGGATTAGGATATACTTCTAATCATCCTTTCAATAGGATGATTAGGATGTATCTTTTCAATAGGATGATTAGGAGTATGTCTTTGACCCATAAGACAGCAGAAAAACTAACTGGACATTAAATGACCCCATCTAGGTTAATCAATGGCCCCTTATTGGGGGGAAGCTTCAACCAACTCATATAGTAGACCAAGAAAAGCTATAAGCTGGTCATACTGAATCTACTTTCAGTCCTTGAAACATTCTAATTTCTGTAATTAAGGAAAAAATCTGGTAATTGATGGATTCTCTAGTCTCAGCATCCTTCTTTCATAGCTATTCCATTTGATTATCCTTTAACTGTTACAGATTTAAAGGATTGTTTTTTCATTAAACCTTCACATCCAGCTACTTGTAAGTGCTTTACATTTAGCATTCCATCTATTAACTTTAAGGAGCCAACTAAAATATACTGTTGGAAGATGTTACCACAGTGTATGGCTAATAGTCCTATTTTATGTTAAACTTTTTGTAGCTCAAACAATAGCTCTTGTGCAAAAACAGTACTCTAATGCATATTTATTCATTATATGAATGACATATTTTGGCCCATCCTGATTCAGGTATACTTTTACAAATGTATGCTCACTTAGTGTTTTTGTCACTATGGGCTTGTGTTTACCATTGAAAAGGTACAAAACCACCTCTCCTTTTTTAGGAAGTTTAATTGAAGAACGTAAAACTTGTCAACAAAATGTACAGATTAGAACTGATGTCTTATGTTCTCTCAATGATTTTCAAAAGTTAATGAAAGATATTAAATAGTTAAGGTCTAGCTTACAATTATCTAATACAGATTTGAGCACTTTTCTGATATTTTATGTGTGGATCCCTTTCAGGCCTGTGCTCAACAGCTTGCTGCAGAAACAAAGGTGGTGTTAATAAAAGCTGAAACTGTCACTAAGATTGCACAACTACTAAAATTAATTCAAAGGAGCCTACACGTTTTTTCCTTTAGGAGCTATATGGTAGTCTTTAGGAGTTATCAAATGGCTTCATCTTGCTCTTTACTCAAACATCTTTAATCCCATTTCATGATCTTGTTTCTCAGCTTAGTAAAGGTGGAAATCCAGTTCTACAGAGCCTTCTCTTATTGTAGTACTGTTTTCAGTCCAATAAGGATGGCTATAACAAGTGGCTTCTGTTGATTTTTCTGCCAAGTAGAAAATCATTATCCTCATAATAGGCTTTATTCAGTTTGCTAGAGTGTCTTATTTTTCCAAAAATAGTATGCACCCAGCCAATACCTGAGGCACTTACAGTATTGATGGCTCCAGTACAGGTTAGGCTGGTTACTATAGTATTGCTAACACTAAAGTGGTACAAACTTCTTACATATCTGCACAAAGAGCCGAGTTTCAAGCTCCCATTTGTGCTCTGTTCCAAGATGATAGTGTATGGGGAGCCAAGATAGCCAAACTCACTCGCCCTTGGGATATAACTAAATATATTAAGATGTTTTTAAAAATGGAACTCCCCAATGATAGAACTGGGTGCCTTTCCTAAATGGATAGTGTATGCCAACACTTGGCCAGTATGTCATAACGTCTATAGTAGTAATGAATATATTTTGGATTGGTCTTACAGAGTTGATGAGGGACACCTAAATCAAAAATCTATGATCCCTGGAGAATTTATAAGTAATGTTCTGACCTTTAGTGGTGGTGGAATACAAAGAAACCTTTAGAGGCTTGACAACCTCCCTACTACCTGATCTGTGAATAAACATTGTCTTGTTGTGGCCTGTTTTAATTTCCAGAAATATGAAAAGTAAACAGGACAACAAAAATCATTATGTAATTGTTATAAACTGTAAAGTGACTAAATGCATTATGAGATAACAGAGATCAGGGATACTTGTGTTATAATAACCTTCGTTTATTTTTGACTACAGCTAATATTTGAGAGCCCTGGAATTCTGATACTGGAGTTCAAGTCTTATAATAGACTCATTCCCAGATAGGAGAAACCAGCATGCTCTTTAAGTCTTGTTATAACTGGAGATTCAGCTTGATATCTGCTTTAGTCTCTATCATGACTGCTGCTATATCCTTATCCAAAGGCATACAAAATGCTCAATTTGTTACTGACTTGGCTAAATTTAAATTTAAAGCTTGGCTGCCATGCTAACTGCAGATATACTTGGGTCACAGCTTCTCAATGGAATTGGGAGAAAATTATAAATCACTTAATGGGCATTTGGTAAGGAAACAATGAGCCTGGATCTAATACGTTATACCATCATAGCCAAGATATTCAAGAAAGTCAAATTGACTCTGTGGATCACACATGGCTTGCTAAACAAATACTTAATGATCTAAATGGTTTTACTCTTTGGAATATGTTGTGATACAGTTTTGGATGCCAAATCTTCTGAGGAGAAATCTAATGACTCCAAGTTTTAACCCATCACTTGCATTTAAAAAATAAAAAAGGAACAGATGTGGAGAGTGGTGACAGAGACCAGGAGAGCAGTGACTTGAGACTGGGGGTTTCTGAAGACTTCATGGCTGTGGTGTACCTGCTGCGTGGGACTGTGCAAGGGCACAGGATACCTAGTTGGCATGGTAATACCCCACCTGAAGAGGCTATGTGCAAGAGTCTTATCAGCTTCGACCTTGATCTCAGGTACACAGCTCCAGGGTACAGAAGAATTCTCATGCTAGATAACCACAATGTTTCTTAAGCTCTGGTATTCCTGAACCTACCCGCTTAACAGTAACTTTCAACAATGGGCCTCCTTGAGAGCAGCATAAAGCTCTTAACAGTGCACACTGCAACTGTGGAAAAGCTGCATAGATGTTTCTAATTACGTAACTTTCCTGAGTACAAAGAATAATGCTTGCAAAGACTTTAACCTGATAATGAGTCATATATAAATAAAGATTGCTGGAATAACTCTTCAGATCTGCTTGTCCATCAGAGAGCACACCTCCATCTGATCCCAGCTATTTATGTTGACATCTGTGAGTCTTTCTTTTCTAATCCCCCATCAGCCCTTACTGGTACCATGCTTGGTTGTGTAAGACACGGCAAATTTGGCATAACCCTTCTTCCAAAAAAAAAAAAAAAAAAAAAAAAAAAAAAGAATGAAGATGTAGCTCAGTGGAAAAGTTCTCCTGGGTTCATTCCCTAGTATCAAAACAAAACCCAAACAAATAAATGACAAACTACATAGAAAATACATTTGATATCTGCTTCAATTCAGAATAAAATTAAATCAAGGAGAAAACCTATATTCTCTTTTGTAGTTCAAAGTTTAACAAAATACAAAACAAGTGATATGTTAAGAGAGTAAAAGCACTTAAGCCTTTCCAGTTGGGACAATAGTAAAGAAAAATTGACTAAAAAGTACAGCTAGAGGACTACCATTATTTAAACATTAAATAAATATATGTTCTAACATATCTTTTAGAAGTTTAAAGTGAGTGCATTAGTTTTATAAAACTAAAGTGATCATTCACCCATTATTTACCTGAATTGTTTCCAAAATCCTCTGGGCACATAGTATTGTAGTTGGGAAGCAGCCAAATGACCAAAGATGACCTGAAGGTGTCGTAAGACACCAATATTATACTCTTTCCTATCTTCTGTCTTACTTAATACTGGTTTGTCTTCAAACTGATGAGGATATCCAAATACATCATCTCGGGGATCAACATTAATCTACAGACCAAAAACATCACTGATGAGCTAATTTAACTTTAAAAGTAGAGGAATAAGTTTAAAGAAATACCAAATGGTAAACGACTTGCATTATTCTGTATTTCTTCTTTCTAAATTAATCTTTCAATTTAGAATACTAGTGTTTTTTTAATAGGTCATAAAAAATTTTACAGGTGAGTTAGAAAATAATAATAAAATAATATTATTAAAGTTTCACTGGAGGTAGTAACATTTGTTCAAGTACACTGGAATAGTGAAAAATAAGTTCACTGACTTAAGTAACTTCTGGGGAGTAACTTATTCTATCTTTTTAAGATTCAATATCTTCTTATGGGAACTATTCTTCATGGTTAGTATGAAATAATTAGACACACAACCAGAATTATTAACATTCAATAAATATAGCCATAAATAAATGTTAATAAATAAATAACCATAAATAAATATAGGGTTGCTGTAGTAATAGTAGAATGAATAGTAATAGTTGCTGTAGTAATTATCTGACAAAAAGTATTTCTAAAAGTCATAATCTCAATGTAGCGAAAGAGTATAATTTATTTGTTTTGGAGAAGACTGAAGATCTTTCTGTTTTCTTTGTATTTGAAGTTTACTATAATAGAGAAATGAATAGTTCCTTTCCTTGAGAAGCTCACAGTCTAGGAATTAGTAAATACAGACAATCCTACTGAAAGAAAGAGCAGATAACATAAAGATGAAATATTATCACATTTTTTTGCCTGATTTATTTTTTCTATGTGATTAGCCATCTTTATATTTAACTCAATACCTTTAGCAGGATGGTATGCACAACCAAATTTCACCAGTGTGGTTCTTTTCTAGATTGTATACCCCACAGATACTAAAATGGTAAACTTAATCAGACCTTACTGCTGGTTGGGTATGCTTTATTAGATTCTAGAAGATGGAGGCAGGTGTATGATTCAGAAACTTCCTAAATGATGGATTATTATCTGACAAACTATTTCTGATCACTGAAGGAAAAAAACTTTAGAAATGGGGAAAGAAATATTACCACTATTGTCATAATTTGACCCATACTTAGTTCTTTTTTAAAAATTTTATTTATTACATTTTTTCCAGTTATTGATAGACCGGAGAATCAAACCCAGTGTCTCATACATGTCAGGCAAGTATTCTACCACTGAGTCACAATCCCAGCCCTCCACACTTAGTTCTTATTGGCATATATGCAAGAAAAAGTGAAAGGCAGTTAATTTGTCTTCCATAATTCACATATTTAACAGCCATGTCTTAGTATATATACCCTGATCTGCCACTAAAACTTCACTTTTCTTTGGCTTTATGTACCCTGAAAAAGTCTGATAAGTAGCCTCATTAGAATAGACACAGTAACTTTAAAAATTAAAAGAATGAAAATGTAATTTAATAGTCAATTTAATAGTCAAACACTTAAACAGGACTCACAAAACATGGTTATATTAACTGTGCTTGCTTGAAAGACAAACAGAAAACTGACAAAAATTGCTAACTATGGAGTTTTAAGTCTATTACATAATGAGCACTGTAATACACTAGGCAGTGGCTCAGAGATTCTAGCACTACCATCAAATAGTTAAAAATAATTAAAATTTACCTCAATGTCCTGCTTCTCATCCCCGAGCATATCATCATCTATATCACTACCTGTGCCTTCAACAGTAAGAATACTGTTCCTAATGGAAGGAATCATGTATAACTGCTGAATCACAGAATTCATATAACAAGTTGCACCAGCATTTTTGAGCCCCACAAATCCTTCTGGTGGCCGAGGTCCAACAGGCGGCAGATATTCCCACTCAGTAAGTGCTTCACAAGCTGAAAGAAGTAAAAAAAACAAGATGCTTATAACGTGAAAATAATGTTTCTGTCTGCTTGCAGATCCACTGGGTTAACTAATATTAGCAAAAATTTCGACCACTAAAGGTACTTCGCAATAGTACTGTTTATCCTTTAATAACATGAGCAAGTGTTATAGATCCTTACTGCAGACCTCTGGAGTTAATATCATTTATAGACATCATGTAAACAATAATATATAGTATAATATTAAAATTTTATAAAATTTAAAAATTAATATTAAAATTTGATGTGTTAACTATACCATTGGCTTTATTTATTTAATTTTTATATACTTGGCCCTTAAGATACTTCTGAACTTTTAAAATAATCAGAACATTATAGTTTTCTTAGTTTTAATTCAACCCAAGATCACTTAGGTTCAGACTCATAAAAAGTATGTCTCACATGAGCATTTAGATCTTTCTTTATTAAGTATTAAGAAAATAACAAATGCTTTGTCTATAACCACAATTTTATTGTGAAGAGCCAATGAGGCAATGATATTTAATATAATGTTAAGAACTATAAATCACTTATATTCCCCTCTGCCTGGCTTAAAACCAAAAACAACATAAATATTAATAACAGAATATACAGTTTAAGACTACATTCAACAGCAAGTGGTGTAGCAAGTAGAATAGGACCTGCATGTACTGATATATGTATTACTAATGAAAAGAAATCCAAAAAATAAAAATCCCAAAGTTAAAGAGCACTTTTCACAATATTCTCAGAGATGACGGGAAATCTAAAAAAGACACAACCTATATACAATTTCCTTCAACAGAAAAAAAAATTCTGAACCACAAATATGGTATTATAGAAGTCAGTAATTTTTAGCTTATATTTTCTTTATACACTTGAAAAATACAATCATGTAAATATATCAGCTAACTAAACAAAAAATGCAGAGGTTTTTATTTTTATTAAAAACAACAAAAACAGAAAAAACCACTATACAGAGTAAAGTGCTTATCTAGGGTACTTGAGTTGCTAGATTAGTTTGATCCCAACCACTGAAAAATGATACAAAACAAAAGAGATCAACAACAACCAAACAACAAAAGAATTTCTTCCCTGGAGAGTCCATAGGACATATAAAGATATCATTTTAAGGGCTGGGGCTCAGTTGGTAGAGAGCTTGCCTGGCATGCACAAGGTCCAGTATTCAATCCTCAGCACCACTCCCCACCCCACCACACAGAGAAAGAATATATATATATATTTTAAGCAATAAGTTTACCTAGAAATTCCTAAAATATCAACAAAATCTTTCTTATGCTCTAAAAGACAGTAGAGCAAAGGCAATTTCTGGTGTTCTACTAACATTCAAATTGATTATATTTATAAGCCTTAATTATCTCTTTAAATCAAACAGATTTTATATTCTTTTTTGTTCTGGTATTGTATATACAACAGACTTTCTTTTTGAATTTTAATTCTTTTCTTTTTTAATATTTATTTTTTAGTTGTAGTTAGACACATACCTCTACATTATTATTTCTAAAAATTTTATTTATTTATTTACTTAAGTTGTTGATGGGCCTTTATTTTATTCATTTATTCACATATGGTGCTGAGAATTGAATCCAGTGCCTCACACATGCTAGGCAAGTGCTCTACCACTGAGTCACAACCCCAGCCCCTATTTGTTTATTTTTATGTGGTGCTGAAGATCATTGAACCCAGGGCCTAGCATACGCTAAGCAAGCGCTCTACTGCTGAGCCACAACCCTGCCCGCAACTGTCTTTATTTTAAATTGTAAAATACTGACAATCAATACACAGCTTTTACAATTTACTTACTGGTTATTGCTGTTCCTATGTAATACATTTCAGTCAAACAGTCTACTATCTGTTTGAGATTTCTTACACAACCAACAGCTAATGCTACAAGGAGTTCAAAACCAGCATTGATAGTAGATGGTGAACTACACACTGGAACAGTCTGTTCTGCTGGTAGTTCTCCATTTCTCATATATTGCAAATAAGCTTTGGATGCAGGAAAAATGAAATCATCAATCAATTCCTAAGGAGTTAGAAGAGATATCACATTATTAAAAAATTACTATTTATACATATTCTATATAAAAATAAAATACATATAGATTTGAAAAACTATGCCTCTTGGAGGAAAATGCTTTCATGATTATTTGAAATGAATAACATCTCAAAGAATTTTTGGATTTGCTATTAAAATTCTCATTAGAAATCTACTGAATATAATTAATGAAAAAAAAAGTGTAAAGTTGAGAACTGACTGAAAATGAGATAATAAATATACCTTTAATCAGATAGGAATTGTTTATTTTAAATTAAAAAGTGCATTTAAAATTATACTTTTCCCTTGAATAATAAAATCTAAAAAAAAATCAAGAAATACAATATAAACAATTATCAGTTTTGGGAGATAGACATTTTTCTCAATTTGAAATGTGATAGAGTAGAAATTCAGATCTATTGTCAAATGTGGTAGAAGTCCTGTATTCCCAGTTATTCAAGTAGTGAAGGAGGAGGATCACAAGCTTGATCAGCCTGAAAAATGTATCAAGATCCTGTCTCAACAGAAATAAACAACAATAAAAAAAATGTGACTCAGTGATGAAGTGCTTGCATACCTGAATGAGGCCTCAGGTTTGATCCTTAGGACTTGGGCAGGGAGCAGACTATTATATTTATCAAATAGCAAAAGAAGTCTAAAGTTATGTTTTAAAAAAATGTAGTAAAGCTCTTACTGAGAAAGTTTTGCTGATGTTTCAAAGGTCGTTAACAGTGTAGCACCAAAATTTAGAACTTACTTTAACAAGATTAGCACCTCCTTTTTCACAACCAACATAATACTTTCTCTCAGGAGTTTGAAAGGCTAGTAATTCTTTTGTTACTCCAAGATGGCCTTCCAAAATAGGTTCTTCAATGCCCGTTTCACCTGTGTTTTTAACATTATCCTGCCAAAAGAAAAATATCACAAGCCTAAATTAAAAGATGTACACAGGACAGGAGAACAGAGTCACAAAAAAAAAAAAAAAAAAAAAAAAAAAGACTTGAAAGGAATGAGACTGTATATATTATTTCCCAAACCTTTCCATTCAGTTTGCTAATATTTTTAATTTGGGAGGGTGGCGGTACTAGGGATTGAACCCAGGGGCACTTAACCACTGAGCCACATATCCCCAGCCCTATTTTATATTTTATTTAGAGACAGGGTCTCACTGAATTGCTTAACACTTTGCTTTGCTGAGGCTAGCTTTGAACTTGCCATCCTCATGCCTCAGCCTCCGGAGCTGCTATAATTATAGGCGTGAGCCACTGTGCCCAGCAACATTTTTAAATTTTATAAATGAAGGGAAAGGAAAATTACTATGGTACCTTGTAGTTTGAGGCCAGGATTACTACTTAACATCCTACAGTGCAAAGGCAGCTTGATATAAAAAAGGAATATAATATAACATAATATAATTTCACAAATTATACTCTATTAAAACAATGTTCAAATGTCAGGTGTTAAACAAAAATTGACTTAAAAAAATTTACATAATTTGCAAAATAAAATAAGTCCCAAAGTATTAAAACAAGAATTTTATCAACATTCTAAGCAAGGCATTTAGGCAAAATTGAGCATTCTATAAATCATGTATTATAAATTTATAAATAAAAATTAGGCATTTTGTTACTATTTTTCTATTCAATAAATACAGAAACTATAAGCCTTCTTTAAAAAGACAGATGATTTACCAGTCATAAAATAATCTAAATATTATATAACTTACTCTAATCCTTTTGAGCCAATCAATTTCATTGTTGAGAAGAATTTCAGCATTGGGCACATTAATATTGCTGTTGTAAGCATAACTGAGAAGATGCCGTAGAAGTGTGAAATAATCACCTGAGTATTTACCTCTCTCTCTTGCTGTACTCTGAAACATTAAATTAAAACAGCATGAGCCTATGCTCACAATCCACATAATTTTTTTAGAACTAAAGAAAACTGAAAATTAAGTGACAATATGTAAACTACTCTATAAATTTTACCTTTACCAAAAAAAAAAAAAAAAAAAAAAAAGACTTCATTAATCTTGGGCTGGGGTTGTGGTTTAGTGGAATGACTTGCCTAGCATGCGTGAGGCAAAAGGTTTGATCCTAAGCACTACACTTAAAAAAAAAAAAAAGAAAAGAATAATAATTAAAAACATTAATTCCCTATTTTAAAAGGAAGATTTTTAATCTTGATTTTTCTAAATCTAATAAATACCACATTTATAATTTTGAGTATTTCTTAAGTTTACAAATGAATCATATTGAAAGGTTCGCTTAAAAACATCTCACCCCCAAAATGGTAAAGAGTAGGGTAATGAAGAAAAGTAGAGGTCTTTGTCCCATGCAACATCTGGTACACATTAAAAAGAACTGCTCCTGTGCCAACTGACGGACAGTTCTGAAATAAAAAGAATTAAAAACTATTTTTGTATTTAAACATATTACTTCAGGAATAATGACAAAATAATTCCCATATGTTATATCTTAACAGTGAAAGCAAAATTAAGTATAACCCAGTGTAGCTAAAGTTATCTATGATACTGTGTCTACTGCCAACCAAATTAGTTCTTAGCAACAGAAGATGAAGTTAAGGTTTGTGTCAGGGAGTTAAATCTCAATTATTATCCACAAGATTGGGAACATAACTACTTATAGTATGATCTTCGCGTGTGATTTTTCAGCTTTTAATACTCACTGTGACTCAGTGGTAAAAGTGGAACATGTCAAGAACAAGCTGGATGAAAAATACAAGCATCTTGTCTTGTGGGATCCATCTTAACAATTCTCTTGGAACAATGTGGAAATGCCTCTTTAGCTACTATACAAAACACATGCAATAAGTGCTGTACATCTTTGGTCTCTGCAGAATTTCCTACTTAGTTATTTATTTATTTGTATTAGGGGATTTAACTCAGGATTACTTAACCACTGAGTCACACCCCCAGCTCTGTTTTATATTTTATTTTGAGACTAGGTCTTGTTAACTTCTTAGGGCCTTGCTAAGTTGCTGAGGTTGGTTCTGAATTTGCAATCCTCCTACCTCCGCATCCTGAGTCACTGGGATTTCAGGTGTATAGTAAGTACTACATCTGATCAGATATGCTCTGCTGCAAAAGACCTAGGGAAAGTCAATGTAGCTAAATTTATCTATCAGTGTTTCTCAAAACATGGTGTCAGACCAGTGATCTGTGATTACATCACCTGAGAATATGTAAGATACACAAATTCCCAGGCCTCCTTCCAATCTTCTTGAATCATGAATGATGGGCGAGAAGCCCAGGAATCTGAACTTCAATGAGACAAATGCAATGATTCTGTACACCAAGTTTAAAAACCAAACATTACATTGCAGAATTCTTTTTTGAGAAGCACTGAATCAACACCACATGAATACTACTTTAAAATATTTAAAAATGTTACGTATTAATCTTAGTTGACAGCTTAAGACTTAAGTATCTGTCAGAGGGGACACTCAGTCATCGCCAAGTTAGTAAGTATTATTTATTTTGTTTATAAACAAGGACTATCATTGGTCACAAAAATTTAGGAAATGACTTATTGTTCTGCAATTATAATAAAATGTAAATTAATATCAGTTTTAAACATAATTAATAAAGCAGAACTGCTGCTGTGTATAAACCAAACCATTCCAATGCAAATCAGCTAATAAAGACTAGACTCCAACAAACAAACTCTTTAGCAGCAATTCTTTTGCCTGAATATCCTGGTTTCCACAAATAATGTCAGATAATTATAATATGTTAAGTCTGCCAATACTTTAACTGCATGCTGTGTTCAGAAATCCTCTTGGATTTAACCTCATAAGCAGGTTGAACTACAGATATATACCTTACTGTGACATTTTTGACTTAGGTAATGTAAGAATGGTATCATTACTCTAGCAAAAGCCTATGGTTCCAATGTGAGAACTAATCTCTGATTTTAGGAAGAGCAAAGGAGACCGTATTTGCAAATTTTGTGTTTGTATTCTAGCGTTTTTTTTTTTTTTGGTAGGGCGGGGGACGTGAAGATTCATGAAGAAATGATGAAACATCTATCTTTTCTTGTCTAACTTAGTACCTGCTATTGGTTAAAAATATTGGAAACTGGTCAAAAAGAATTTAGCAAAAGTGAGGATTACAACCAAAGAAAAAGAAACTGGAGATACTAGGGAATCAGGGCATTCAAAAGCAGTCAAATACATAGTTATGGTGGTAAAAACCTGTAATCTCATTCTATTTGGGATGCTTAAAGCAAGAGGATTTCAAATTTTAGGCTAGCCTTGGCAAATTAAACAAACTCGCTAAAATGAAATATGAAAATGTCTGGGCAGTACAGCTCAATGGAAAGGTACGACTGGGTTCAACTACAAGTACCAAGGTGGGTAAAATTCAGCCAAATATACTGAAAATTTAGGAAAATCCATAAGGACAGCTTAAAAAAAGTTGTACAAGAAAACCTTAGTCTTTCACAGCAAACTTATACAGAGCCTCAGTGTGAACAGAGGTGAAGGCTAACATAAAAGGGGAAAATGATACTATTTCAGTAAGTGGTGATTAGCAAAATAAATATTCATATAGAAGGATGAAATTAGCTATTTTCCTCTCATATAAAAATCAACTCACAGGGGTTGGGGTGTGGCTCAATGGTAGAATACTTGCCTAGCATGTGTGAGGCACTGGGTTCGATTCCCAGCATCACAAATAAGTAAATAAAAAGGTCAATCAGCAACTAAAAAAAAAAAAAATCAGCTCACAATTGATTAATATAGCTTTATAACAGTGGTCTAAGTGATGATTTTTTTGTGATGGTCCCCCATCCTGTGAACAGTTTCTCAAAAGTAAAGGCAACAAAAACAAAAGTAGACAAATGAAATTGCAGCAAATAAAAAGGTTCTATATAATGCAAAGGAAATAAGAAAAAAACATGCAGAAAGAACAGGAAAAAAAAAAACTGCACATAATATAATATAAAGGGTTAATATCTCTACTATATAAAAGAATCCAAAACAACTTAGTAGAAATAAAACTAATAAACCTATTGAAAAATGGTGCAAAGACATTTCTCAGAAGACAACATACAAATTGCTGACAGATACATGAGAAAATGCTTGATTTCACTATTTATCAGGGAAATACATATTAAAACCACAGTCAGGTCTTAACTTATACCTTTAAATGGCTATTAAAGTCTTGGAAAGGATGTGGAGTAAGGGAATTTTTAACACAGTGTTGGTGGAAATGTAAATTAGTAGGACCATTACAAAAAACTTGAAGATTTTAAAAAAAATTAAAAATAAGAACTGCTACATCATTCAGTATGCTTATTGTGGTTATATATCAAAACAAAATAAAATCAACTTGCCAAAGAGTTACCTGTACTCTTTCATTAACTGTAGTATTATTCACAATAAGCCAAAAAATGTAACCAACCTAAGGGTCCACTGACAGAAAGAAAAAAAAAAAGGTAAAATAAGGTACATATTTGCAACAGAATACATTAAGACACAAAAGAAGGGCACTTTGTCATTTCTGACAACATGGATGAAAGTGGAGAATATTATGGTAAGTGGAATAAGTCAGAAACACAATTATGGATACCACATAACCTCACTTTTACAAGGAATCTTTTAAAAAGTTGATTTAACAGAAGCAGAGAGAAGAACAATGGCTGCCAAAGGCTTGGTGGTTATTGGAAGTGAGACTGGGGCAACGATGTAGAGTTTTGGTCAGAGAATGTATAATCATAGTTAGGAGAAACATTTTTAAAAATGTCCTGAATAGGCAAACAGAAACAAAAAGTACATAAATGATTGTCTGGAGCTGGGAGTTATGAGGGAGAGTGAGCAGAATGAGAGTAAAGAGAAGCTGGGAATGACTGCTAAAGATTATATTGTTTTTTCTGTGATGAAAATGTGCTAAGATGTTTACCCAACTCTCTGTGCATGTTACAAATCATTGGACTATATACCTTGACTATTTAAAAAAAAAATTTTTCAATAAGAATAAATAAAATTTAGACCCCAAATCACCTCATTGTTACAAGTAAGGACACTGAATCACTAATCAAAATCTGATAAAAGGGGCTGGGGTTGTGGCTCGGTGGTAGAGCACTCACCTAGCATGAGTGAGGCACCCAGTTTGTCCTTAGCACCACATAGATACATAAATAAAACTATTTGTGTTCACCTAAAACTAAAAAATATTAAAAAAAAAAAAAGTGACAAGGAAAATCCCAGGGTTGAAAGGTGAACTCTACCAAATGTTTAAAGAATTAAAAAAAGAACATGAAAGAGTATTTTACAATGTATAAGGACCAACATTATTTTGAAAACAAAACCAGGCAAAGAACTATAAGGAAAACCACTACTGCTGGGTGTGGTGATGCATACCTGTAATTCCACTGGCTTTGGATTCTGAGGCATGAGATCACAAGTTCAAAGCTAGCCTCAGCATTTTAGTGAGGCCCTAAGCAACTCAAAATAAACTATTAAAAAAGGGTTGGGAATGTAACTCTGTGGGAAAAGTGGTTAAAGGGTGATTAAGCACCCCTGGGTTCAATTCCTAGTACCAAAATGAAAACAAACAAACAGAAATCATCACCTAAGAAAATAAATACAAAAATCCTCAGCAAACTATTAGTAACCAAATTCAACTGCATATCAAAAGTGTAATAGCCCACAAAGTGTAATGTATTCCAAAAAATGTCAGAGCGGTTAAACATATAAGTCAATTTTAATTTTAACATGTAAATACAATGAAGGAAATTAACTATGTGATAATCTAAATTGATTCAAGACACTCTAAAGACCTAATAAAGACAATTAGACCTAATAAAGACAATTAATAAAGAAGAATAAAAGGAAACTTTCTCAATATGATAAATATCATATATGAGAAACCTACAGTTAATATAACTCAATGATAAAAACGTATCGTAAATCAGGAACATAATCATGCATGCACTTATCACTTCTATTCAACCTAGCAAAGCAATTAGAAAAAAAAAAAAAAAAAAGAGGGGGGGAAGAGTGGGGAGGTGACGTAAAACTGTTCCAAAAAAAAGTAAGCAAGAAAATATTTCAGTTGTAAGTAACAGACAATTGAATCAAGAAAACTTTAATAATTCACAAGTCAATACAATTGTAGGGTATAAAATCAATATGCACATAAACAGTTCTATTTCTATACATATACTGGCAATGAACATCACAAAAGAAAATTAAGACAATAATTCTATCTACAGTAGCAACCAAAATAATGCAAATTTAGAAATAATTCAATAATGGAGGCAAAAATATTAAAGGAAGTAAGACCTCAGTTAATGAGAAGCTATTCCATGTTCATGTATTGACACTCTTTTAAAATAATGCTGTGGGAAAACTCACTATTTACTGGAATTGGAGTTGAATCCTTACTCACACCATTCAAAAAAACCCCCAAACTCCAGATAAAATGCAAAAGTATAGTATTAAATACTTAGAAAATAAACTACAAATAAATAATTTTTACTCTGGAATTGGCAATGATTTCTAATCATAAGACAACAAAAGCATAGGCAAACAAGGAGGGAAAATCAGATTTCACCAAAATTCAAAACTTTACCACATGAAGACACTATTAAGAAAGCACAAAGACAACTGGCAGGATGGAATAAAGTATTTGTAAATTATATATCCAAGAAGAGATTAATATACAGAATAGAGAATTGCTAAAACTCAAGAACAGAAAAATGTGCAGAGGTCTTAAAGAATGTATAAATGAACTGAGAAGATGCTTATTACCACTAACCATTAAGGAAATGCAAATAAAAACTACAATTAGATACCATCATTATCAGAAGTAAAGAGAATGCAGAGAAACTGAAGAGAAAGTAGAGAAAAAATCTTAGGAATTTGACAGTGGGCATATAAATGGAGAAGACACAAAATCACAATTCAGTAGAGCCTCAAAAAAGTTAAACAATAAGATCATATTACCCAGTAAATTGACTTTTAGGCATAAACTCAAAAGACCTAAGAATAGGACTAAGTCAGAGACCTGCAAACACAGCAATTTTCATAGCAACATTATTTATAGTAGTTCAAATGTAGAAATCATTCAAAATTCCACCAACGAGTCAACACAGATCTAGTATGCACATGCAATGAATTATTCAGCCTTAAGTATGAATTAAATTCTGACATACTCTGCAACATGAATGAAATAAATTTATTTTTGTACTGAAATGAACACAGGGGCATTTTACCACTGAATGACATCCCAGCCTTTTAAATTTATTTTTATTTTGAAATAGGGTGTTGCTAAGTTGCCCTGGCTGGCCTCAAACCTGTGAGCCTCCTTTGTCACCCTCTTGAGTTGCAGAGATCGTAGGCATGTGCCAGTATGTCTAGCATAAATAAACTTTGAAAATACCATAATATAAACTAATTCATAGACAAATAATGGGGTAGTAGAGAAAAATGACAGTAATTGCTTCAAAGAATTAGTCTGTTGTGGTGAAAATTTTCAAATATATATAACACTAATGATGGCCTAACAATGTAAATATATTTAAAGTCACCCCACTGTTCATTTAAATGAAATGAAAATGAGCCAAGTTTGGTGGCAACCTGCCTGTAAATCCCAACAACTTGGAGGTTGAGGCAGACGGATCACAAGTTTGAGAACAACCTTAATTAAGCTAGCCTTTAGACAATTTAGTGAGACCCTGATTCAAAATTTAAAAATAAAAAGGGTTATGGATGTGGGTCAAAATTAAATAATAAAGTGGGTTATGGATGTGGGTCTGAGTTCAACTCTCTGGTACTCCTTCTCCCCTTTACAAAAAAGTGACAGTGCAAATTTTTTGTTACAGATAATTATATATCCTACTACATTAAAACAAACAGTAAAAAACAAAGTAAAAAAACCACAAAAAACAAACCCAATACTGCTTGACCTAAAACTAGTTTAGGTAAAAAGAACATGTTAGATAAAAATTCTCCTATATACCAAAAAAATTATGTTTAAATAAAAAAGATTTTTTCATTTTCTTCAAAATATCAATCTACTTAAAGTCAGCTTTTCTCTAAAACAAAACAAAACAAAGGACACTTACTTGCTAGGACAGTGTAATAATAAGTCAGTGATGAATGTCTGCCAGGCCTTTTCTTTACTAAGTGCATCCAAGGCTGTTGGAATTAAAGCAAAACACAATGTCATCACTTCCAATGCTTCACAGCAAACCTGTTCATCTTCCAAGACTGGCTCACTGCTTGTACTGGTCATCTGTAAAATTATAATGAGGAATAAGTAACTTATTAGATATGTTTAATAAAAAAATTCTCAAAACTAGTTAGCATTTAAAATTACTCCATAATGAACATCTGGTCTCAGACCAATTATGTACTTGTTCTTCTGCATGATTGGTATACTTCTGTTTTAGTCATAATTCCTCCTAAAGAATCACTTTTCACTCCACTTTCTTTTTACCAATTCTATTGTCTACCCTAACTAGAATATAATTTTATTAAAAAAGCAATCAATATTCTCAAAGTCAACAGAAGACATGTGTAACGTAAGATGTACTCGTATACATAGGTAGCAGTTTTTAGTTTACCTCTGTCAATCAAAATGTAATCAATACACAAAGAGGAAGCCACACAATAAGGTCATTTTAAAGGAATTTATCTCAATGGTAAAGAGCTTGCCTAGCATGCTGAAGAATCCGAAGCACCACAAAATGAAAAACAAAACAGCTATCAGAAGGTGCTAAAAGTGTAAAGTATCAATATCAAAGAGCTCAATAGTCTTATTTTTGAAGTAATTTGTTTAGTAAAAAAGTAATTTGCAGGGATTGAGAATGTGGTTATAAAGATGGAATTCTTGAGTTTGGGTCTTTGTACCAACAAATCCTTGTGCACAAAAACACACACTGAGAAAATTCAATTAACTGGTGAAAAATTAGGATAATATTTAAATGATGAACTCCTTCCTAAGTTTGAGTCATTTAAACGAAGCAACAGAAACAACAAAATATTTGCGTGTGTGTGTGTATATATATACATATACATACACACACACACACACACACACACACATATATACATTTGAATGTCATGATCCCAAATCTACTATTATAAAAATATTACATAGGAAAAAATGGCCAAGAATAAAGTGACTGACAAAAAGTTAATAAATTCATTGCAGTACAGATACACCTGTTTTTAGAGTAAGATGCCTTTTGGCAGTATCCTGAATATTTTATTTTCAAAATAAATGATTCCTCATTTTATCTATAGATAGTAGTTAATCTGAAATAATTAGATATATGTTACTTGGTCTTTGAATATGACAGACTGGATGAAAATTTAATTCCATGCACAATTAAGTAATATTTACTCAAAAGGAAAGTATTTTTTATTATAATTCTTACCATCTCATAAATTTTAGTTATTTCTTCATTCGGGCTAAATACTAGCTCTAATGCTCCACATCCTGATGCCCAGATAATTTTTTGTATACCTCTAATTACACAAGTATCAGGCATATATCTTGAGGCCTATAAGAAAATGAATATTACTGACAGAATAGAAGAGTATAATAATACAAAAAAAAAAAAAAAAAAAAAAAGCAGTAGGAATGGTTGTAAAAGAACTAAATGTTAGACTGCCTTTCTGGTCCAATGTTGCCTTGATCCCAGTTTTTGGTGTCTTTATATCAAGTTGTATAATACGACTTCTATACAAAGAAAAGATATGTTTAACAGCAACACCCAGAAAGAAGACTTCAAGTTAAAATCTGAGATAGTTGTTCTGTATTTTACATAAGACTTTAAAATATAGAAAATACATATAAAATATATTTTACAGAAAATATAAAAAATAATTTTATATATAGAAAAATAGAAAATATAGAAACATTTTACAATTAGAAAAATATATAGAAATATAGAAAAAAATATTAGATTACCAACCCATTCTACTTAGGTATCTACCTAAAAGACACAAAAACACATACCTACAGAAGCACTGTCATTTATTTCATAACAACTTTATTTCCAATAGCGAAGAACAAGACCAATATAAATGTTCATCCATAGATGAATGGATTAAAATGTGAATCATAAAAACTGAATAAATTGTAGCACATAAAACAACTTGGAAACTTTTCAAAATCATGCTGATTTGAGTGAACCAAATAAAAAGGAGAACAGAATATATAATCTGATTTATATAAAAGTTAAGAGAATAAGTACTTATCTACACTGACAAAAAGGTCAGTAGTTGCAGAAGCCAGGGCCAGATGGATGTAAAATATTTAGGTCACAATAAAACTTTTGGAACAAACAGAAATATTGTCTTCTTTGAATATCAAAAGTTTAGGCATTTATCAAAAGTATTCAGGAACGTAGATCTTTCAAAGTTTGATACTAACCTCATCTGATATTTGCTGAGCAAGACGTATGGGTACATTTCTAAGCATGCACTCAGATGATGGATTGGGAATACTCTGAAGGGCACCTTGTAGTACCACAGCTTGATCATGAGTAACTTGGTTAATCTAAAATAAATCAATTATTTACTTCAAAAAAGAACTTGTTCTTAACAAAAGCCCATAAACATTCATATACTTTTCAACTATTACCATTTTCTCAGTATATAATTCCTTTACAGATGGTGGGTAAAATTCATGGTGGTTTACATAAAAAGCACTTTAGACTGCTAAATTCTTAGATTTCCTTTATACTTTCAGAGTTAACAACATCTGAATATTCTAGTTTTAGATGAACACACATACACTTTTTTTTTTTTTTTTGGCATTGGGGACTGAACAAAGAAGTACATTACCAATAAGCTATATCCCTAGTCCTTTTCATCTTTTATTTGACACAGGGTCTTGCCAAGTCCCTTAGGTCCTTGATAAGTTGCTGAGCCGGCTTCAAACTTGTAAAACCTCTTTCCTCAGCCTCTGAAGATGCATGCACTACCAAGATGAATATGAGCTCATCCTACACAGGAGCTCGCTTTCCCTTACATGGTGTTAAGAGTTGTTATTTTGAATAAACATTTAAGGTGCTTCTGGGCAGATCTTTCTCCCAGCCTCCTACTTTTAAAGGATGACTATCATGTCAAAATGGAGAAAATTAGTTATAAACTTGTATCCTTTTCTATCTTCCTTTTTTAGTCTTTAAAAGGTTTCTATTTTTGTTCAAAGCTAATTTGTTACCTGCACACTAATGCTTGTTCCATAGACATGACAAAATTGCTCACAGCTTAACGTGCCTGTCTGCTTATGCACCATTTCTTTCACTGTAGAGTTCAAACCCCAACACCCCCTCCCTAAATAAATTAATAAAAAAATAAAATAAAAAACAAACAAAACTTGAATTTCTTAAAAAATTTGAGTTTGGAAAGGTGTTAAATAAAATTTTATCTGTTATGTAGGTACTGTTTATTTTAATCCAACAACACATATTTGAAGATGTATTTGCCAAATGCTACGACAGAGGAACTAAAATGGCAGAGGTAAGAAAATAGAGATATACAGTATGCTTTACTGAGTTAAAATCTCAGCTCACTGTTATTATTTTGGGCCAAGATATTTAAACATTTTATGTCTTATTTTTCCTTAGAAAACAAAAATGTTAGTGACCACCAAATATGGCTATATCAGTATTTCAATGAGATAAGCCTGGTACTAATACATAAGAACTCAATATATTTTGACTATTATTTTCCAAATTCTAACTTTCACAAACTTAGGAACAATTTAGGTTCACAATGTATCTCTAACAATACCTGACATATGGTAGATGAATAATATTGAAAAAATAAAATGTTACATATGAAATTTTAAAGCCAATAACTCAATTTTACTAATATAATTAAGGTTATTATTTATATTAGCAAAGAATTGTAACACTTGTTCTTTTTTTAAATTTTTTTTTTTTAGTTATAGATGGACATGATATCTTTATTTATTTTTATGTGGTGCTGAGAATTGAACCCAGTGTCTTACATGTGCGAGGCAGACACTCAACTACTGAGCTAAAGCCCTGTAACACTTGTTCGTACACTGAAATTTATCTTGTGAGATTATTATTAATGTACTATTATTCTCCAATTCAACTCATTAATCTGAGATGAAGAAATAGAAATGCTCTGAAGGACAAAAATAACGGCTTTTATTTTAGAATTGGTTGAACTGGTGTTGTCTATTCAAAAACTGAAAAGGAACTATGCATAAATATGTAAAAAAAATTTAAGTCATATTAATAAAATCTTTTACTCATTTTCTAGGTTCAATAACTATAAAATGGCTAAATTTGTCAACTCTCTCTTTAACACCTCAGAATTACTTAAAAAAAAAAAAAAATCCCTGACATAATATATGAAATGTTGTAACATAAGCCTTTTAAATAAAGCCACATATTACACTCCAGTAAGATTCATGATTACTTCAAAATCCTAAATACCTAGTTACTACTTAAATCTACAGGTTATGCAATTGCTGAGTTTATTTTTAAAAATTAAATACGAAAATAAATTTCAAAAAATTTCTTAAAATTTATTACCAGTGTTATAGGTTCTGCACCATCTACAACTGGCTGACAAGCTTCTGCTACAGCTCGAACATGGCCATAGCCAATGGCAGTTAGTAATAGTTTTGCAATTTTAAGGGCATTGAAGTAAGCACCCCTACGAGTTTCTGTATCTGTATTTGGTAAGAAGTTATTTCTTATTAGCATACTCAGTACAAGGGGTAAGCCACCACTTTTCAAGAAGTGAAACTGAAAATCTGAAGACATATCAGTCAGAGGCGCACCAGCAGGCATTAACAAGGCATAAACTACCTGGAGGGGGGAAAAAAAAAGAAATTAAAGGTTGTCCAAAAAAAAAAAATCTCATATTGTACATTTCTCTTCTCAGCATTGCTAAGAAATTCTTGACTAAATATTTTCTTTATAATCTTTTACATGCTCTTAATTTTATGATACATTATAAAAATTATTTTTGTAAAACAAACAAACCTCTGTTAGGTATAGAACTTGGGAGGCAGAAGGACCAAAGAAAAGGGAGTCAAGAGATGGACCAATGTTGCTTTCTCCAAGATTTGCACAGTTCAAACAAACAGCTCTTAATTTTTCTATAGTTGTGCTATCTGCAAATAAAAGACAAACTAAAGTTAAAATTTACATTTGATATTTTAAAGAATATTACCTTAAATATAACATAATAACAATAAACTTAAATTGAGGTATAGGATTAAATATAAGACATTACTACATGTGAACTGATTCAAGATCAACTAGGACTATTTAATCACCAATCCCAAACACGAAGGAAACGGTTTCCTATTTAGAAATCTCAGTATGTTCTCTTTTTTCTTTTGAGACAGAAACAAAACACAACAAAAGAATATACACAGAGAACACACTGAAAGAGAAATTTGTTTTTCTTAATGCATAAACATAAGCTCCTCTCTCAAACATTCAATAGTAAAAGAAAAATAACTCCAATTAAAAATCAGCAAAGAATATTAAGACATTTCTACAAAGAAGCTGTATGAATCACTAAGCAAGCAAGTGAAAAATTGATCTATATCATCAGCCATCAAAGAATCACACATTAAAACCACATGAGATGCAACTTCATCACCAAAGACATGGGATTTAAAACAAAAAAAAAAGTAACAGGTTTTAGTGAAGATATAAGAAACCGAAACTCTCATATCTTACTAGTAGAAATATAAAATGGTGCATCAACTTTGGAACAGTTTGGCACTTCCTCCACTAAGTCAATCACAGAAGTACTGTTACTCAGTAATTTTTCACCCTGTTATACAGCCAAGAAAATGCAAACACAGTTCCACACCAAAACTCCATACTAAAATCCTAAAAAAATATTGTTTATAAAAATTAAAAAGTAGAAAAAACTGAGATGTCAACTAAGACATAAATGGATAAATACATGGTAAATAAGAATTAAGTGTCACTCAGTTTTAAGAAGGTAGAAAATTCTGACAGATTCTACAACAGGAATGAACCTGGAGAGTACTGCACTAAGTGAAATACCCAGTTACAACAGTAAAGAAACTATAATCTTGATTTCATTTATATAAAATATATTAAGTAATAAAACTTGCAGAAAAGGAAGGAGAATGGTGATCATTAAGGATGTATAAGAAAAGGGTTTATTGTTAGGAGATACTGAGTTTTTTTATTGGAGATTGCTGCATAATAATATGACTACACTTATCAGTATGTGTAATGGGTTAGAAATGAGTTGTCTTCCAAAAGGTGTGACCTAATATGTGAATTAATCCACTGATGGATTAACTGGGTTTTAACTGTAGGCAGGTAGGGTGTAGCTGGAGAAGTAGGTTCTGCCTCATCTCAGGCTCACAACTATGGAGTCCGCCAAGCGGGGACTCTACATCTTAAACTATGAGCCAAAACATACTTTTCCTTCTCCAATTGTTCTTGTCAGATCTTTTGGTCACAGTAAAGGAAAAGCTGACTAAAACAGCAGTGAACTGTACATTTATAAATGTATTCTGAAGGGCTGGGGATGTGGCTCAAGCGCTCGCCTGGCATGTGTGCGGCCCGGGTTCGATCCTCAGCACCACATACACACAAAGATGTTGTGTCCGCTGAAAACTAAAAAATAAATATTAAAATTCTCTCTCTCTCCCTCTCTCTTTAAAAAAAAAAATGTATCCTGAGATTTCTTTTGCAGTTCTAGAGATCAAACCTATAGCCTCACACATGCCATGCCAAGAAAGTACTCTACCACTGAAGAACTGTACACTTTTTTCAGAATAATCAGATACGGTGGTAATTTTATACAAGATTTTATTACAGTTTTTTTAAAAAACATTATCTTGTAATAATCAAAATTCAACTTGGGTAGTCATAGTTGTTTTTTTTTTTTTTAAAGTAGGAACCTAGGGAGTTACCATTGAGCCACTTTCCTATCTTTTTTTAAATTTTATATTTGCTCAGGACATATCTAAATTGCTGAGGCTGGCTTTGAACCTACATTATTCCTGCCTAGCCTCCCCACTGCTGGGATTACAGGCCATTATGTAGAGCTGCTCTGTTTTTAAAAGCCAAAAAAAAAAAAAAGAAAGAGAGAGCTGGGGACATAGCTCAGCTGGTAATGAACAAGGCCCTGGGTTCAATTCCTCCCCACTCTGGCCCCCACAAAACACACCAAAAAACAAAACAAAACAACAACAACAAAATAAAAAAAACTCTTTGGTATTTTTCATAATATCCTGAAAATCACAGCCACTGGGTCAGGAGAGTCCTGTTTTTCTTTTGCAAGCTGAGCAATAAACCAATCTTTTCTTTTTTCTCAAAACTGTGTCTTCCTTGTTGGATTGCCATAGGGGACAAGGTAGACTGGGATAAAGGACAGTCAGTGTAGATAATGAATTAATGACTAGGTCAGGAAGCTGAAGACTGATTCAAAGAGAAATAAAATGCTACTATCTCCAGAGCACTACCTCTTCCTCCAACCTTGGCCAAGGTCACCTATCTTTAGGGAATTGTTTCTCCCAGAAAGAACTTGCTAATGAATTCCCCCTGGCCAGATCTCTTCCTGCCCTTTTACCCATCAAGTAGGCAGGGTGGTAGAAACCTAAAGTCTTTTAAAAGGGGCAAGTCACCCCCATTCCCTATGTATTCCCTATGTATGGTACGAGTCTCTCTCTATTTTATCTTTTAAATAAAACTTTTTACTCTTGCCTCAACATTTCTTGGATGTTCAATCTTCACCACCAGGGAAATGGGGACAGATCCTGAATTTCAAGACTAATTTCTGAGGACTGAGCTTTAGGGAAAAAAATTAGTTTCCTGGGTAACAGCAGCGCACGCTTCACTCTTCTTGGGTAGGCCTGACTCTCCAAGGAACTCTACTTCCATGCTCATAATGCAAAATAGCTGATCAACTTACTGAGAGTCATACTGGAGAGTTAGGAGACAGTGTGTCTGCGTTGGGTAGAACAGAGGAGCTACTCCTGTGAGTAAAGGGAGGGACTGTAGGACTGTCCTAATAGGTGCTGAAACTCCTTTTGCTTTGGGGAACTCCCACCTCTTCTCCCTGCATAGTACAGGTGGCTCCCATCATGGTCTACTTTGAGGGAAAAAAAAAAACTGAATAAGTCATGACACCTATGGCCATCTGCATGATCCCTGCCCTATGTAAGCCTTGTCTGGGGTTCCTGATGGAAAACAAGGAGTTTGTATTACTTTTCCCTCTTTTGGCAGGAACACCTTGGAAAGGAGCCCATATTTTCCACAGAAATGGGATATGGGGAAATTTAGTAGTGGTGCACTTCATGCTTTAGGTATAGCTCTTGCTGCTTTGTCACTGCAACTTATTTTTAAAATGGTGTTACTTTTTCTTCCTCTCCCCCTTCTCCAACCTAATCTCAGGGAAACAGGATTACATTTCTTCCCTACTTTAATCAGATTTTTCTGTTACCAAGTACTCACACACCATAGGAACAAAGTAACCAGACTTTGGGTATGGTTAGAAGATCTCAGAAATGACTCTCTCTCAACAACTGATTACAATTCCAGCAGAGAACACATGGAAAGTAGCATTTTGAATCAGCTCTAAAAATAGCCCCATTCCTCTGCAGATAGGCAGAATCACAGCCTTTGGGACTGAAGTTCTTGTATTTTTCCTTTGCTGGCAAAGCAATAAACCTTCCTTCTCCCTTTTTAAAACAAAAAACAAACGAACAAAAAAACAACTCATGTTCTTAGGAAGCACATGGATATTGTAGTAAAAATATGTAGGTTAAAAGGCACGGGCGTCTATCACATTCTCCAAATGTTAGAAAAACCTTATGGAGATAGAGTGCAGAAGCCAGAGAGCTGAAGCACAGAAACCCTTTTTATTCTAATTGTAGAGAATCAGATGTGTCTGTGTTACTATTACTGTCCTTGATGGAGTCTGCCTGCAAACGGGATATTCTGTCAAGGTATAGACAGGTAACAGCAGACATGCTTGAAAACGAGGTGTCTGCTGTCCTTGGGAGGACTTGCCTGCAAACGGGATGTTCTGCCAAGTGGGCTAGGAGGGCGCTGAGAAAAATTTTATTATCTGTTCTTAACAAGAGCAAAGCTAGGCATGTTCCAGGCTGAGAGTAGATTAGCCATGAGAAGCGGGTCACTTCTGATTAGAAAGTAAAACTTCTGTGTGCTATGTTTAATTAGCTGAAAGACCTGATTTATTGCTGTTGGAAGGCTGCCTTCTTTGTTCACAATACTATAAAAAGATTGCTTGTACACAATAAAGGACTTTTTTTTCTGCTGCTGCTTTGCTTGCTCTGCTTCTTCTTTCTTTCTCATGCTGACCTGCAAGTGAATTACTGCAACACTAATTTTAAAAAATTAAAAGCCTTACATTGCTCTGGTCCCAAGGCAGGTATATTTTCTTTAATTGTAGTCCCTCTGATTCAGAGGATCTAATTTCATTCCCTACTTTATCTTAATAATGTTAAACCATAAATTTCTCTATTTCTTATATGTTTAATATCTTCCAAATTAGGATTTAGTTACACTGAGATACCTGTCTGGGATATAGCAAGTTTTCTCCAATAACAGTATTCTGTTTGTAATGTCTGTTTAATATTTTTGTGAAAGGACAGATGAGTAACTGCAGCTAACGCCTTAGCTAAATAAAGGAAAGGGCTTTTATGCAGGGAAAAGACTGCCACAGAAGTTAGGGGATTAAACAAATAATTAAATAATTTAATTAAAATATGGAACCAGTTTCCCCATTGCTACAGAAAAAAGTGAAAAGAAGCTGGGCACCATTGCACACCTGCAGCTCAGGAGGCTGAGACAGGAGGATCGTGAGTTCAAAGTCAGCCTCAGCAAAAGCTAGGTGCTAAGCAACTCAAGGAGCCCTGTCTCATGGGCTGGGATGTGGCTCAGTGGCCAAGTGCCCCTGGGTTCAATCCTAGATATCCAAAAAAAATAAAAAAATAAAAAAAATAAAAACTCAAAGTTTCACAATAGTGAAACTGGAAATTCTATTATGTGCTCATGATTTTTATATACCTATACAAATTTTCATAGTACACACAGAAGAAAATATGTGTGACTGGGTATGCTTACACACCTATGCTATCTGTATCTTGAGGGATGAGAGAGGCATCACATCTCAAGTAAGGAAAACGCGGAGATCAAATTTTGGCTTTAAATTACATTTTATACATGAAGAAATCAGTGCTTGGGAAAATGGCTAATTCAGATGTGTCGTCGGAAACAGACTCATCTGTTGGTTAAGAAATAGAAAACCATTTAATGATAGCAATGGCATTAAATTTTGTTGAATCCAAGAGGGGAAAAAATGTCCAGAGAAAATAAATTTGTTTCAAATGTTAACTTTTTGGCAAGAACAACTGCTCAAAGATCTGATTACTGTGGGAGCAATACAACAATTAAAAAGAAGTACATTGGAAATAGTACATATAGACATAATTAATGCTACTAAAATATACACTTACATTAGGTACAATAATATTACCTCATGTGACATAAAGTAAATCATATAATATACATACGAATCTATCGCCACAATAAAAGAAAATAATAAAAACAGGGCATATGATTCTGAGTGATTCTCCTTGGCCCATGATGAGTTCACAGACATTAATAATGCTGCTCAGAAGTCATGCTGACCCAAGAGTTAAGTTTAAAGCATTTGAATAATGGGGCTCTGGAATACTGTGAGTAGAACAAAAATATTTTCAAAGAAATTGAGAAAACACTTGCGTGGGTTCTCTCTTGTCCAGCCAGAAGTCTACAAAACAAGATAGAGGAGAAAGTGGCTATGGAGTTGTTAATCAAGATCTCTGGAGACTAATCAGGAAGCAGGTCTGATTTTATTGCGTAGTTACCATGGTATATATATTCAGGCAGTAGCTAAGGAGATTATAGGCAGCCACCAATACAATTTCTGGCCAACGGTCCTTGCAGCGACCAGTCGAGGAGTGGGCCATGGAGCAAGCACAAGAACTGCAACACATGGCCTCACGTCCAGGGCTGTGCCTAAAGGATAAACTATTTGCAGTTCACACACCTGGGGGGGAGTGGTTTCCCACTCAGACACCCATAATGTATGTCGTGTATGCAATACTCCACACACTTGTCCCCACAAACACTAATTTAGTATACCCTAAATGGAATCTGTTAAAACTTTAGGTGACAAACCTGTGAAAGATGTTTAAAGCCATGGTATTACTTACTTATCAGCAAATATTCTATAAAATATCAGATGCTACCAAAGCAGCAGTATCAATGGTTTACTTGGTTCACTTAACAAATCTTGTTTTGTGAATTCTGTTCCAAAAAGAATATGGATATCTTGGCTTGTTTATCATATGGAAAAGATATTTAGTAATGGTAAATTTATTATTATTTTTTTCCGATTAACAACCACTGTTAAAATCTGAGTGTCTGGTTAAACTGTGGCTGTAGACTTGATACTGCATAACAAATTCAGCTAAAAATCAAAAGGTAAAACAGTGCTGACATATGCAATATAATACAGTAATTTACACAACTAAGATGTTGTTTGATTCACAAGTATTTACATATATACACTCCCACTGCTGTGAAGTTAAAGCATGAAGATTGATTTCTATACAGTTTATAGAATGCATATTTTCCCCACTAAAACACAGGGCCCTTAGCATCTACAAATGTGCAAAGAACATCTCCATATTTGAAAATACAGTGAATTATGAAACTGAGTTCTCATTTAGCTTAAAATTTGAACTAAATATAATCACATGACAAAATCCCAAAATACTGAGGAAAGAAGCAAAGAGACCAGCATTAACAAAGGAATACTTGCCACTAAGTTTATAAGAATAAACATACACTATGCATTTTAACACAACAAAATGTTGGGCAGAGGATGCAGCACAGTGGTAGGCCAATTGTCCAGCATGTGTGAATCCCTGATTCAATACTCAACCCCACATACAAATAAATAAATAAAATAAAGGTCCACTGACAAGTACAACTAAAAAGATTATTCCTCAGCAAGGCAGGGTGGCACATGCCTACAATCCCAGCAGTTAGGGAGGATGAGGTGGGAGGATCACAAGTTCAAAGCCAGCCTCAGCAACAGCACAGCGCTAAGCAGCTCAGTGAGACCCTGTTTTTAAATAAAACACAAAACAGGGCTGGGAATGTGGCTCAGTGGCTGAGTGCTCCTGAGTTCAAACCCTATAACTCCCCCCAAAAAGTTTATCCTCATCTTCCAAAAAGCATACATTATGAAAAACCAATACTAAGTATAGTCTGAATTCTGCTCATAAAAATATGTAGAAATTAATTTTCCCTTGCTAAATAAGTATCTACAAGATATTCTTGATTTTGCTTAAAATACTGGCTATTCACACAGAAAGTTCTTAAATACCTATCACTGAAGAATTTTACTATAGTAACTGGTAAAACCTGAGGAAAGATGAAACTTGAATAAATTAGTGGATTTGATGGCAGAAATATATCAATTTAAGTTTACTATGTTTACAACAGTGTTATCTGAAAAACACACTTCTGAGTGAGGACATCAAACTAACAAAGTATTTTCATAGAGTTTAATGATGAGACTTGGTATTTTAATTTTTCTGTAATTTTGTAATTATTTCAATACAATAACACATGGATTGCTGATCAGAACATTTAAAACACAAATGTTATCAGGAACATTAAATATTGCTTAAAAAAAAAAAAAAAGACAACTGGGCTGGGGTTGTGGCTTAGCGATTGAGTGCTTAGCTCGCATGTGTGAGGCACTGGGTTCAATCCTCAGCACCACATAAAAATAAATAAACAAAATAAAGGTATCTGTTCATCTACAACTAAAAAAATTAAAAATTTTAAAAAATAGAAGCCAACTTTAAAAAAGAAAAAGTCTTGAAAATGATAGAATAAGGTGGTTATACATACATACAAAATCAACCAAGAGATCAGCCAAAGAAACTAAAAAGGAATAAAGAGAAGCAAAGAATAAAAAAATTAGGTTAATTTAACACTTCATTAAACAGCATATAAAAATCTCAAAAATACAAAGAAAGCAGTGAGAAAATGAACAACGCAAAATGTAAATCTCTCAAACTGAAGAAATCAATTGTTCAACTGGCAAAATCCACTGAGATCCTATTGTATATAAGACAATTAAAAAAATTCCAAAGTACACCATCACAAGATTCTATGACTCAAGGATTAATTGAAAACCAAACTTATTACCACGGTAAAAGAACTTGTTTGCATTTCAGCTAATATCTTAAAAAAAAAATAAAAACCTTTTATTTTATATACTTTTTTTTTTTGGAGAACAAGCTTCAGCAAAATTACTCAAGAAAATCTCAAGATTAAGAGCACATTGAAATAATCATATGACAAAACCCCAAAATATTGAGGAAAGAAGCAAAATGACCAGCATTAAGAGAAGGATTCTTGCAACTGACTTTGTAAGAATAAGAACTCTGAATCGTACTGTAGCAGAGAAGTAGAAAGTTCCAGAATGAGAGCTGTACCAAAGAAAATGACCAGAATGGGCCATGAATGAGCAAAATATTCCAAGATACCATAAATAACAGGTATCACCTTGTAGAAATTGTTTTAAGAAGTTATGGATGAAATTGGCAACAGGTAGTAATAATAACTACAGACAATCAAGGAAAGGGTCAATTTTAAAATCAAATTAGAAGTAAATAAGAAAACTGTATTTCATAGTTTTAAAAATGTGAACAATGAAAACACTAAGCAAAAGTGAGATAGATGAGAGCAAGATTGTATGAATTCATAAGAAACACACCTTTACCTACATATAAATAAGTCAGTACAAAATATTCAAATATGACACACAAAATAATAGTTTGGGTATATGCACTAATAAAAGTGAAGTTTTTTAAAAGTGTTTTTGAAATCATAATGGAGGATCAGAATGTCTAAAGACAAAGATTACTCTTCATTCTGAATGTTGAAGAACCCCAATTGTCTAAACTGCATTTAATATCACCTTGCTAAAAACATTAAATATTCTCCCTATCTGTAGAAAAAATTTCACCATATTTGTATGGAAGACTCATGATCAATATGATGCACTGTTCCACAAAGTATATCTGAACAGACTTTATTACCATTCCATGTTTGTTTATTGTTCACTGATCAGACTTTCTTAAGAGGACGGAGTTAGACAATTTACTAACCTGGTGGCATCAGTTTCATAAGTACTCTTGCACCATCTCTAAGAAGAGGCATATTCAGGCTGCAACCTAAGTCTGCAACTTGCCAAAGAAAAGATATGTATCTGGGATGCAGTGACATTATCTAGAACATAGAATATATAAAACACTAACTTGTAAATTATGCCCAGGAAGGTTTTTATTAGCAAAAATTATCGATTCACTATCCCCAAAATGTGTTTTCAACTGATCAATCACTCTTTGCATATATATATATATATACCATATATACTTCCTGAAATGATGTGCCTTCCTTCATCTTTTCACTTTTATAAATACACTTATTTTAATATTTTAAGATGCAAAATAGCACATCATTTATTGTTTCACAAAGCTTTGAGTAATTTCTTTTGTGACAGTCTATTCTATATTACAAACTATACCTTTACAAGGTATTCAGATGCTATTTAAACAGAACATACTTTGTCCTTCAGGAATTATATTCCTAATTCCAAGTTTTAGAGACCCAAATCTTAACACATATGTGGTTAGAGTAATTGAAATTTTATCAATACTTAAAAGAATGGAGGAGAGAAAAGTTAAGAAAGGCAAGAGTTGTTTTGTTTTTCTCCCAATTTTTTGTTATGTAATCCTATATTGCATATAACACAACAAAAATATAATTTGGCCAATGGAGTTAATTTTTAAGATGTAAAATACAATTATTAAGAGTCTGATAAAAACAGTAGATCACACACTTCTTTAACACAATTTCTTAAAAAAAGTAAAAATATAGTAGTATTTTCTGGGCTGGGGTTATGGCTCAGCAGTAGAGCGCTCGCTTCGAACACACGAGACCCTGGGTTCAATCCTCGGCACCACAAAAAATAAATAAGGAAATAAAGGTATTGTGTCCAACTACAGTTATAAATAAATATTCTTGTTATATATTTAATAGTGTAATCAAATTATAATAGCTAATTTGAGGCATGTCGTTTTATAAATTCCAACAATTTAGGAGTCCACTCATGAGTTAATAGCTAACTGTACACTTACTTGATACTTTTGACTAATCTATAAAACTATAAGCTTCTCAGAAACGTTCCACACATTTGTTCATATTTCCCCAAAAAGAGTATGATTCCTTTTATTCAGTTGTTACTCACCACCCCAGGCAAACAATTTTCTACTTCTGGATTGGGACTATTACTGTAGTGATTACAATGATTTCCAGGGGATCCAGTTGAAGAATCAGAAGAGCTATCAGGACTTGATGGTAGGTTCGAGTTTATTTGTGTAAGTTTGGCTGTAATTAGCTAAAAATGGTAATTACATAATAGTAAAAATGAGATAAAATACTTTACAACACTTAGAATCTAGAACTAAAAAAGACTACCCTTTAAAAATAATCTTTAATGATTTGAGGCTTTTCATTTCTTAAATATAAAAAAAAAAAACAACAAAAAACAAACCAAACCAAACAACCCACATTAAACCAATTTTAAAAGTACTATGTTGGGGCTGGGGTTATGGCTCAGCAGTACAATGTTTGCCTACCATATGCAAGACACTGGTTTCAATCCTCAGCACCATATAAAAATAAATAAATAATAAAGGTATTTTGTCCAACTACTGTTGAGAGCCACAGCCGAAGGGGCCCCAGCAAACTGCCAGTTGCCAGCTGATGATTGGCTCACAGCGGCCCCAGCAACATCTAGCTGCCAACTGATTGGCTCCTCTGTGGTGATGCTCATTGGGCTGTTTCCCCGCCCTTTCAGACCATGGAGCTGCTCATTGGGGGGCTTTTTTGGCTCCGCCCACACAACCCAGCCAATCAGCCTCAAGAGCAGGAGGAGTTGGGGAGGTCGAGAGGCTTGTGGGAAGCCGGTGGTGGCAGTTGGGCTCTGAGGGTTTTTCCTGAGTAGCTGTGTGGTGTGGTGTGTGTGTTCTAAAAATAAAGTTCATTTCTTTTGACAAGTGGCTCCTGAATTGTGCCCAGCCAGACTGTGGCATTTCGCCTAGTCGTCTCCTTGCAAAATTCCTCATTGGCAACCTTCCATTACAGGTATTGTCCTCCATTTAGCACAGCTTTACACATACTAGTCCAATCTGCTGGCGTCATGTTCAAGTTGGTAATGGATTCGACCATGCTTACAGTGAAGGGTGCTTGAGGACCATAGGTTGTTACAGCCTCTTTTAGCTGCTTCACTTTTTTGAAATTTAAAGCATGGTGAATTCGCTGCCCTCCTGCCTGCTCAAATACAGGGCATGTTAATATTTGAGATCCTGTCTCAGGATCCCAACTATCAACTGCGGGGGTTGGGAGCCTCCCAGCATATGGAGGTGGCGCTGTTGGTTGGACACTTACGCCCTCTGGTGATAGAAAGGTGTTAGTAGCAGTCTCCTGTAGAGGTGGCGCTGTTGGTTGGACACTTACACCCTCTGGTGATAGAAAGGTGTTAGTAGCAGTCTCCTGTTGTAACTTTTCCCCTGATGGCTTTTTCTGTTTTACGCTTTCTTTCTCTGTCTGACTAGCTCGAGAGACCTTCTCTTTTACTTGAATCTTTTCCTCTGTCTGACTAACTTGAGAGACCTTCTCTTTTACTTGAATCAATATGTCTTCTCCTTCCTCTACCATTGTCTGAACTGAAGGCTTTGGACTAAGCAAACAAGATACGAACGTCCACAATGGCAATGTGCCAACTGGCAGAGTCCCTGGGCTTTTCTTTTCTATTCTTTTTAAATCTTCACCATGATGGTTCCATTGTGATATATTTAACAACTCCTCCTTAAAAAGCCATGGGCTACATTTTTGTATTGTATCAACGTATGCCCTGACTGCTCTTGATTTTACTGGGATGCCTCCTTCCTCTAACAATTTACTTAACACTCTTTCAGTTTGTTTTTTGCTAATTTCTGATCCTATATTTCTACTATAATACAACCCAACAAGATGACGCCAAACAAAACCGAGTCAGAATGAAATAAAAAGGGAACAACAAAAAGTCATTATAGCCTTTCTATCCTCCTGACATGTGCATCCGTCCTTTCTCCCTATCTGTTCCTCAGACGTAAATAGTTTTTCCTCAGATGTGAGCGGTTTTTCTTCTGTCTCACTCATCTCCAGGGACAGGCAACTTAAAACAAAAGCGAAACCAAACAAAGAAAGAATCTTAAAATGGCTACCCATCCTCTTGCCCTGCCCTCAGGGGCTAGCAGTTTACCTTATTACTTACCCTCAGTCATTCCCTGTGTGGCCCACCAAATGCCACAGTCTGGCTGGGCACAATTGAGGAGCCACTTGTCAAAAGAAACGAACTTTATTTTTAGAACACACACGCTAAACCACACAGCTCTTCAGGAAAACCTTCAGATCCCAACTGTCACCACTGGCTTCCCACAAGCCTCTCAACCTCCCTGGTCCCTGTCGAACCCCGGTCTCCCGCGTGGCAGGAGGGGATATTCAAGTAAAAGAGAAGGTCTCTTGAGCTAGTCAGACAGAGGAAAAAATTCAAGTAAAAGAGAAGGTCTCTCCAGCTAGTCAGACAGAGGAAGAAAGTTTAGAGCAGAAAAAGATTTGCAATATAGTATATGATAGTTTACATGTACAGCTTAACAAAAGCTAACATTAGTCTCAGTATTCTGAAATAAATTATTGAACCTCCATTCTCGTACTAAATAAGAAAATACTAAAGTCTCAGCCCCAATGAGCAGCTCCATGGTCTGAAAGGGCGGGGAAACAGCCCAATGAGCATCACCACAGAGGAGCCAATCAGCTGGCAGCTGGAAGTTTGCTGGCAACTGGCAGTTTGCTGGGGCCCCTTTGGCTGTGGCTCTCAACAAACTACAACTAAAAATAAATAAATAAATAAAAATAAAAAATAAAAATGGTACTATTTAACATAACTCCCTGGATAATCCTCCTTTAACATCCTTGAAGGATTGGTTCTTGTTCCTCAAATTATGATATCAAGTTTCATAAATGCTAGTTCCTTATATATTTCAACTCATCTCTAATAAATTTCTTACAATATCTTATACAATGTAAATGATATGTAAGTTTTTATACCATTTAGAGAATAACGACAAAAAAGTTTGTACATATTCTTTTCAAAATAGGTGCCATTTTTTCTTAATTGCTTTCATTTATTATTGGACAAATGTGTAAAGATGCAACCCATATATATAGCAGGATACTATATTTCTACTGGAAATTCTGAGACATCTACCTTATTTGAAGTTATGCATAGATATCAATACAGAGACATGCAAATAACAGTTAAATGTGACACTTTTACTGATAATAAAAAAATAAATATTTTGGGTGAACATTCGAAAAGTTTATGTACTTACTGATTTATCTTTTAAGTTTAATTGTCCAATTAGCTTTCTGTCATCTTCAGAATCTATTAGCTCACCACCTACAAAGAGTTCAATTTTTGTATGGGCTACATTGGCCTTAATACGATTGAGAATACATCGACGTACTGAACCAACTGTATCATTTGTATGAGACAGTATATCCAAATCATCAACTTGTCTGCCTTGGTTTGGAAATCGAACTATGAGAGAGAGATGTTTACCACGAAATGCTCTAGAAAAAAAAAAATTAAGCAAAAAATTGAAAAATGAAGCATTTAGCTGACTGCCAAAAAAAATAAAGCTGAGACTTTAGTATTTTCTTATTTAGTACGAGAATGGAGGTTCAATAATTTATTTCAGAATACTGAGACTAATGTTAGCTTTTGTTAAGCTGTACATGTAAACTATCATATACTATATTGCAAATCTTATCTCTATAGATAAGAATAAAATATTTCTAACTTGTGACACAAATAATATTTGTTATTTTTGACCTACAAAAACTCAAATCATTAAAGATTATTTTTAAAGGTGAAAATACAAGCTGCCTTATCCAAAATAACAGACTCCAGAGAGTCACAGAATGGGGCTTTTAATATTTTTATTTTTAAATATCTGCACACACATAATGATGTATCTGGGTAATGGGACACGAATCTAACCGCATAATTCATTTAGGTTTCACAGAACTTATTTACAAATATTTTAATGTAGTATTTTTAGTGTATCTGTGTTTTTTGACCTCATATATATAAATTCATATATAATTTTCCTCTTATGCACATGTCACAGTCAAAAAGTTTTGGATTTTGAAGCACTCTGAATTTGGGGTTTGGTACTCAATCTATATCAACAAAAAAGTTAAAATGCATGTTTTCATTAAACAGGTCTTAAAAAATTCCATCACATTATAATTATAATCCCTTCTAACTAGTAATTATACAAAATTTAAAAATAACATTCAAAAATCAATCTTCCCTTTTATATATGTTAAATGTGCTCAAAACTAGAAAGGCTTAATTATTAAGAAATTTGCTTAATGAAAATGTATAATATAAATTTATATCACATGGCACAGAAATTGTACTTCTTCAATTTATGATGTCAAAAATACAACTATCAATATCAAATTTACTTTACAGAATTTTTTCCTTTTGGTACTTGGCGACTGAACCCAGGGGTACTTTAATTACTTGAGCTGCATCCCTACCCTTTTGAGATAGTTTTGAACTTTTGATCCTCTTAAAGAAATTTCAACAAAGATAATTTAAACTACTGTTTGTATTATCCGCTGCATAAGTAGCTCTTAATAATTTTTCCTACTTTCCTTTCTTTTTTTGTTGTACAGGAGATTGAATTCAGAGCCTTAAGCATGCTAGGCAAGCATTCAACCCATCAGCTATATCTTAGCCTTTTCTCATTTTTATTTTGAGACTGGCTTTAAGTTGCCCTTGCTGGCCCTTGAACTTGCCATCCTCTTGCCTCATTTTCTAGATAGCTAGGATTACAAGTTAAATTTGACCACACCTGACAAAAATTTAATTTTCACAGTGTCAATGTAAAAATAAAACAAATTGAAAAATTAATGGCATACTGAATGGATTAAAACAATTTGAAAAAATAAGGAGAAAACTAACTAATAAATAATAATGCTTGTCCAAATTATACATAAAAATAAAAGCAGACCATTTTGACATGCATCCTAAAATAATATATTATTGCATTTCTAAGTAAAGTCTAAGAAAAATATAAAATAATTGCAAATTAGCAATAGACCAGTTTCTCACAAACCTTGACATAGGCAGAATCATTCTTTCCCCATGATAATCGCTGTCACATTCATTTATGTATTCCCTTAGAACAGTTAATACTCGAACCATTCGGATGGCTTCCTGTCTTGTACAATTAATACTGTTTTTGTCACCATCCAAAACACATAATGTATCATATGAGGCTTTCAATCGATCAAAACAAGATTGAATGAAGTCTTCATGTATAACCACCTTTAAATAATGAGCCAAATAAAGATAGTTCAAGTTGCTCACAATGTAATCTAATTAAAGACAGTGAAATTTTAATATAAAGATAACTCTCAACTGTGATCATTTCTAACTATAATGAAATCTAAGATTCCTAAAAAAAAAACCAAAACTCAATAATATTAAAAAAACAATTATTTTCTAAACTAAACAAAACAAACCCCAAAGCCCATCTGAGTCCAGATGCAAATTTAAATTTTGGCAGTTTCAACATATTACAACTAATAATACATTCAAACAATTCTAATCATCTAAGATTAATTATGATGACACTATCTTTTATTGGCACTGTACAGGAAAAAATGTGGGTTATATATACTTGGCAACTTAGTTAAAATTGGCAACAAGTTAAAGAGGTTAACACACTAACCACATAATTATTTTAACCTAATAGCAGTGAAGGTTTTACTTTATTTCTCACCTGATTGACCTGTAATCTGGGGCCAAGGTTTGTGTATATCTCTTTAAGAAGACCTATAGCTCTGTTGGCAATGTCATCATTACTCTGAATTACAACCTAATTCCAAAAAAAGATTTCAGCATTAAAACTACTGAGATACTTTAATTTGGCACTTAAATTTAAATCACACTCAATTATTATAAATATAACCTTCAATAATTTAAGGATATCGATTTTAAACAAACTAAAGTAATGTAAAATTCAGTTTTCTGAATAATAAAGAAAACAAAAGGACACAAAGTACTTTGACCAACACCACTTGGCAATTTGTTTGCCAACTTGTGAAGTTTATAAGCAGTAATACAAATAAAAATGTTTAAGAAATTTTGTTTAACATAAAACACTATTACACTACTTTGCAACTTAAAACCTCCTGAAACTTTTGTAAATACATATCAATTCTAATAAACGAGTAGTATTCTTAAACTATGTTTTGAATCCTTGGTATTTTTCAAGGATGATCTAGTAAGAATTCGATAAGGGTAAAATGGGAAATTAAGGGAAAAAAGCAATTTAATAGACAATTTTAAAAAACTTTTACTAACTTGTTATCATTTATTCATAGTTATTTTCAAGTTAAAACAACTTGAAAATGGAACATGATAAAAAATATCTTAGTCTAGCTAAAGTTCGCTTATAGAACACATAAATTCCCAAAGTCATGTCAGCTAAAATAAAACAGATTAGATGTTAAGAGAAGGCAATGAGAAAATACATCCATGTATTTATTCTATCAAAGTGAGAAAGTTAATTTTAAGTAGCATATAATATTTATTCTGTAGCTTTTTAAATAAATCAAGTTAAATTGTCAATAAATATCTTTAAACACTTCCTAATAATAGTCATCTCATCTATTTGTTTACTGTGGCATTAAATGAATTTTAAAAACTTTAAGATGTATTTATCATATTAAATAAAAGTAGGAGAGATAATTTTTCATGGGGGAAGATAAAAGATGGTTCTAAAGTGAACAGAAAGATCCCAAGTGGTTAACAGAAGAAAGAACAAAGAAAAAAAAAGTGGGCAGGGATATGCATGACAAATAGTAGGTACATAACAAGAAGCTAAAGATAAATAACTGCATCCTTCTTGAATTTCTCTGTAAGCATCAAAATCACATAAAGACGTAATAAAAATGAGAGTCTATGACTAAAAAAAAAAACTACTTTGGGTACAATGTTTACAAACAAAAGTTATTATTTTTTACTTACCCTCCAAAGGTAGTCCAATCCTATTAATTCTAAGTCATCCATCATATAGGTTCTTCTTTTTGCTACTAGTTTCCCTTCTCGACAATTAACTGCTTTGAAGAATCTTTCAAAACACTTTATTCCATTTTTCGTTAATAGAGAAGGGTCAAGCTGAAGTATATTGCTTTCAAAAAAGTCCTTATTAATATCAGGATCTAGGTCTGGTTCATCCCCCATTAACATGGAATACCACTTAAAACAGGCTTCACGATCACTAAGATAAACTGCATTCTGTGCTAAGCACTTCCATATTTGCTTTGTCTGGGGAGCACAGAGCCACAGCTGGCCATCCTTTAATAAAAATCTTGGGAAAAGATAAATAAGCTGATTAGGATTCACAAAACTTTACCTTCAAAAGTATGTTATTCTTATATGCATAAAATAACATACATCAAATTTTAACCACATCATAAAAAGTAATAATTCTTGGGGCTGGAGTCATGGCTCAGTGGTACAGTGCTTGTCTACTATGTATGAGGAACTGAGTTCAATTCTCAGAACTACATATAAACAAATAAAGGTCCATCAATAACTACTAAAAAAAAAAAAAAAAAAATATATATATATATATATATATATATATATATATATATTGAGAGTGAGAGAGAGAGAGAGAGAATTTTAATATTTATTTTTTAGTTATCGGTGGACACAACATCTGTGTTTGTATGTGGTGCTGAGGATCAAACCCGGGCTGCACGCATGCCAGGCGAGTGCGCTACTGCTTGAGCCACATCCCCAGTCCAACTAAAAATATTTTTAAAGAGTAATAATTCTTCCAAAAGAACTAATTTCCAGATAGGTGGTTAAACCTATCTGGAACCAAATAACAAATATTAATTTATTTTAGGTCACCACAAAGTGCCAGCAACTTTGTTAGGTTGTTAGCTAACTTTGTTAGCACTTTTGCTGTCTTCAGAAACCTCAAATTTTTAAAACAAGATAGTGATTTATTTCCCTGTTTGTACAGTTTCCTTGGAAAATGAGGGATTGATTACACAAGCAACTATGAGAAATAACTCTTAAGATTTTAAGAATTAAACCTGCTTAAAATTTCTACATTTCTAAAAATATTTCCTTCATGTCTATTCATATTTAACAAAAATAACCTACACATAATTTAAACTTATTTCTATATCAGTAATTATTTAGTATGTTATCAGTATTCAATGACATCCTTTAGAAGATTTGTCACACAGCTGCAAAATAATCAAGGAATGATTCTACTTTAAGTAGTCTTTCCCTAATTAATATCCATATCATTCCTGTATTCTTTCACTCACTGTGCTTACTTCTTTGAATGAAAAGTGAAAGATATACTTATTTCAATCACAATCCTAATTTTATATTTAAAATTAACAAAGTAATGGTAGAGTCTTATCTAAACAAGTATGCATATTTATTTAATGTTTTTTGTTTTTTTTTTTAATTTTGGGTCCCTAATTAGAGTGTTCTAAATCTGAAAGGGGCCTCTAGCTTTTAGTTCTACTTTATTTCTCCAACCTAGTTTGCAAGCTAAGATGCAAAGGGAAAAAATAAGAAAAATCACTTATAAAAAGAAACTTTAAATTCAGATAGATGAAATGGGTAGTCTCAATATGACATACCAGATGCATTTCAAACATATATTCTCCCCAACCTGATTACCAGTTTCCTTATTAATCAAATTAAAATAATGCCTAGTTCACAAGATTGCCATGGTGTGTACAAAGATACCTCTTAGGTTTTTTCTCTTTAAAATACTGTACTAAATTAAAAAAAAAATGGGAATTACGGAAGATCTTCGGTTTCTAAATTTTACTAACAAGAATAGATAAATTCTAATTCTCTTTTTCTTTGCTTGTTTCAATAAACTTAAGGGAAACAATACATTGTCATCAAAAACAATGGATCAGTAGCTGGGGATGTAGGTCAGTAACAGAGCACTTGTGTAGCATGTGTAAAGCCCTGGGTTCAATTCCCAGTACTTAAAAAACAAACAAATAAACAAACAAAAAAACCCCACATAAACAATGAATCACTTTGGGAGATATTTTCAATATGGAGAAGCAAGCCTTTTTTTCCTAAGTTGTTAATAAAAAAATTTCAATATCAGAAGAAAATGACATCGTATTTTATTTCAAACTGAAATAAAATATCTGTCAACCTGGCAGAACATAATATTCTTTAAAGTTGCCAATGTCATTCTTAATAAAAAAAAATAGGTTACATGGTCAAATAAATATTTGTTCATAAATTATAACCTGATTCATGAGTAAAAAGAAACAGCTTAAAGAAAAATTCCCCAGAATTAATATATATAAAAACAAAAGGCTTTATCAAAGATTAATAGTTTGGGCATTTTTCTTTAGCACACTTATGGTTCAAATACAGTCTGTTTTGTTATGGTAACTGCATTCCTAAGAAATCTTCATCATTCAAGGCAAACACACATATGCAAACCATGGCAGTAAAATCTAAGGATCACTGAGCAAATTCTGCTTGGATTATATTTAGCTTTCACTTAAAATATAGATAAGCCTTATATATATCATGTTACTGTATACAGCTTTCAAACTGCCTTTTTTAGCCACTGATAGAATATATAACATTGAGGTGCATACATTAGCTATCAATAGCAAACATTAACTAATTATTTTATCTATTTTAATATATGTAAATATATTAAGAATAAATGTGCCAGGTGAGGTGGAGCAGCCTGCAATCCCAGTGGCTTGGGAGGCTGAGGCAGGAAGATCATGAGTTCAAAGCCAGCCTCAGCAAAAGTGAGGCGCTATAAGCACTCAGTGCTACCCTGTCTCTAAATAAAATACAAAATAGGGCTGGGGATATGGCTCAGTGGTCAAGTGCCCCTGAGTTCAATCCTCAGTATGTAAAAAAAAAAAGAAAGAATAAACATGATTCTCACACAACTAAATACAAACTATATATAAAAATTTTAAATATGTCTTCCAAAATTCCTAAAACAACAAAAAACAGATAAATTCAACCAGATAATTTATAAAAACACATAGAAAAATACAAAATTTTTCATACAAACACATAGAAAAACTGTATGCAAACATTTTGATGTGAATAAACATTCCCTTTCAGGGTGAATAGCCATTAATAAAGAGTTAAGTCAACTGCACTGTTTATCTGTGCCTTAAAGAGAACATTACTAATTCCTTGAAAACAAACCTAAGGAAGTTAAGCCGTTCTTGGACTTCTTGAACATGACTGTATCTACTGCCAAGTCTCACAGTTTGTGGGTCATAGTTTTCATGGTCTGCAAATAAATAAAAATATGAATTATATGATATGTATATGTACATCTAGTTAACTTTAGCCAAAAGAAATGTCAATAATTACTTATGGTCAGAAAGTATGTAATAGGGAAATCTACATAGTCAATATATTCAATTTTTATCCTCAAAAAGATAATATAATCTTCTGAATGTCTGTTACAAAAGTCTATGATTTCACTTCAATGAATTTTTTTATTGAATTAAAATCTATCATTTATCTTATTTATTTTTTGTTCTTATTAGTTATACATTTCAGAAGTATTTTGACATATTTCCCTTTAGGTGTATAACTTCCCATTCTTCTGATTGAATATGATGAGGAATTGCACAATTGTGTATTCATATATGCGTATAGTAGAATTTACTATCTTTCCTATTCCAATTTGTTTTCTTCCCTTGGCTAATTTTTGAAGTTACTCAACAATGAAGCTCAATTTAGCAGGCTTAGATATAGATACAGATCAAAAATTCTCCTTTTGAGCCTGGCAGTAGTGGCCTGTGATCCTAGCAGTTCAGGAGGCTGCTGCAGGAGGATCTAGAGTTCAAAGCCAGCCTCATAAACGTAGAGGTAATAAGCGACTCAGTAAGACCCTGTCTCTAATTAAATACAAAATAGGGCTGGGGATGTGGCTCAGTGATCCAGTGCCCCTGAGTTCAAACCCTGGTACCCTGGTACAAAAAAAAAAACAAAAACAAATCTGTTTTTGAAGTATTGAATCCGTTAGTGTTTCATCTCATAGTGGGTAGAAAAAGTCCTGTTTTTTGATTTTAAAAAGCCAGAGGAAAAAAATTAAAAGCAATTACTGTCATTAAAGTAGTGGACAGTTAATTGTTTTGTAGATGTGTGTGACATGCTTTATTAAAATAGGTAGAACAGGGGCTGGGGATGTGGCTCAAGCGGTAGCGCGCTCGCCTGGCATGCATGCGGCCCGGGTTCGATCCTCAGCACCACATACAAACAAAGATGTTGTGTCCGCCGAGAACTAAAAAAAATAAATAAATATTAAAAAATAAATAAAAATTGAGTCTTTAAAAAAAAAATAAAATAGGTAGAACAGAACTAAAAGATCTACCCCAACACAAAGTTTTGTTTTAAAAGACTTTTATTCCCAAACTATGAAGCAAGGGTGAAAGAATAAAAATCATGTAACTCCTCTTCAGTAATAGATTCTGATACTTATAATACAGAACCTGGTATTATCTCCATCCTGAACCAAAGAATCATGTGTTGAATACCTTCTGAAATTGGTGAAAGTATCCAAGTTTTCAAAATGCCCAACTTTTTTGTATGTGGAAATCTTGACTTGCAATAAAAGTGGAATAGCATATTTAGTATATTTTTTCATGCTCCCAAATATTTCAACTCACTGCTTCTTACTTCCACATACATAAGCATATGCCAAAAACCCTAAAAACTTCACTGTATGCTTCCATAAAATTCATCAATTGCACCAAATCTCAGGACGTCAAGAGGTTTTAAGACAATAATAAAATTTTGTTGTAAGCTTTCTGTTTTTCTCAGAGAAATAATCTTGAAAAACATTTGGACAAACTTTAAACTGGAACACATTAGCTGCTTTTCATTCTTTTTGAAGAGTTTATATAGAAGCCCCCCAACTGTGATTACTGTGTTTCTGAAGGAAATGTGAAAGAGATGTGAATAACTTTATATTTTTATATAACTTCAAACTTGTAAGACAAAAATAATAAAAGTGTTCTTTATCCAGATCCATTTATATTTATCTACTCACTAACCCTCCTACCTACCTCTTATATTATTTACTAATCTTTAGTATTAGGAATAAGAACAGGAGTGCTCTACATTGAATAACATTCCCAGCCCTTTTGAAGAGAATGGCCTTGAATTTGTGATCCTCCTGCTCAACCTTCTGATCAGTAAGGCATGCACGTGTCATGGTTAGCCTGACAATTTAAAAAACATTAAATCATTTATCTAATGCCATACAACTACCATGTTTCCCTCATTAAATAGTGGAATACATTAGATTTAGAAATACATTTTTTTTAAGATACATTTTTTTTTAGTTGTCAATGGATCTTTATTTATATGTAGTGCTGAGGATTGAGCCCAGGGCTTCATACATGCCAGGTAAGTGTTCTACCACAGAGCCACGACTCCAGTCCCTGAAATACATTTTTAAAAATGATAATTCCACTGACTGGGTAGCTAAAGAAGGAAGATTTCAGGCTTGTGGTCAACCAAAGGTGGGGGGAAAAATTAAAAAGTCAGAATGTCAGTTTGTTTCATCAAATATGCATTACTTGATATCAAATATTTAGGGTGTAACTATAACTTCATTAAATGGGCTGGGTGCCATGACACACGCCTATAATCCCTGCATCTTGGGAGGTTGAAGCAGGAGGACCATAAGTTCAAAGGCAGCTCAGCAAGAAGTCAGGTGTTAAGCAACTCAGTGAGAACCTGTCTCTAAATACAATACAAAATAGGGCTGGGGATGTGGCTCAGTGGTCCAGTGTCCCTGAGTTCAATGCCTGATACCTCGAAAAAGAAAAAAACCTTCATTAAAAGAGACAGAGGATCATATGAGGTTAAAATGCACATATGCTGATTATCCAGACTACCTTATCAGCAAATGGTCTTTATTTATTGATGATATCATTCAAAGTAGAGACGAAATGAAGAAAAAAATTATCATTGGAGTTGATATGTAGCAGGCTCCACTTCTTGAAAAAACCTTGAAGGTTTTTTTATCTTCCAGAAGGCATGAGTTTATAAAGAACTAAGAAGTAAAACACCTGGTGACAAAAATTGTCCTGATTATGTATAGACTTTTAAAATATAATTTCCTAACCAACAGACCATAGTATTTACATAGCATTTATATTGTAATAGGTATTATAAATGAACTAAAGATGATTTAAAGTATGATGTGTGTCGGTAAACTGCAAATTCTGTTATTTTGTATAAGAAACTGAGTATTCAGAATTTTGTTATTGGTAGTGGATACAGGCACCAAGTTATTCAGATACCAGACAACTGTACAATTATAAAAACCAACTCATTTCCGTTTTTCTCCTTTATAAATAAATATGTTGTCATTTGAGCTAATTAATATTAGAATAAAACAAAAAAAAATCAGGAAATCTATGTTGATTCTCCAATTAATTTCATCTTATCATACATACCTCTAGCATATAGTTCTATGTGCTTCATGTAAGCTGCAAGATTCTCTGCTACTAAAGTAACTAAGGCATGATTGTGCTGAAGTTGGCTGATTAAATCATGACGATAAAAAACATGAGGACTTCGCTGAGTTTGACTGAAATGAGAAGAACTCAACAGTATAATTAGGCAAATAAATATTGTGGAAATGGAGTTTTCAAAGTAAATTCTACTTACCACATGAATATTATATTTATAACACAATATGGTCAATACCTTCTCTTTGATAATAAAATATAATGTTAGCAAGAATAATCCAAAAAAAAAAAAAAAAAAAACTATTTTAAGGGCCTGGGTTGTGGCTCTGTGATGGAGTACGTGCCTAGCATGTGTGAAGCCCTGGGTTCAATTCTCAGCACTGCATATAAATAAAAATAAAGACCTTCCTCCCCAAACTGAATTTTGATATTTTTATTCTACATGACAGTAATTACTCAGTAATATTCAATTTACTGTTGTTCAAGCAAATGTGTTATGTGAATAAGAATATCAAGGAGTCAGGGATTTAGTTCAATGCTATAATGCTTGCCTATAATGCACAGAGCTCTGGGTTTCATTCTTAGCACCACACACACACATAAAACAAAAATGAATAATAGCCATTCAATGCGCATTATGAAAAATATTTGGTATGCAAACAGTTTTGACTGTGGATGCTACAAGAAAAATTCTTTTCTATTTTATCATTTCCAATTAAACCAATCAACTCCTCACAATTATTACTCTTCTACTAGTGATGAAGCCACCAGCCTTGAAAGAGTATCATTACTGCAAACAAAAAATAAATGTTTGATAAATACAAAAACAAATAAAAAAACAGAGCATATAGGGTGGGTGAAATATAACCAAAATATGTCCTTCCTAAGTAAACACTGTATTTTCTATAGTAATTATCTCCATGAAATTTCCTTATTTTTATCAAATATTATCATAAAATTTGTACTTTGAATTCAAACAGAAACTCTATTTAAAGACATAATCATATCAATTTAGAACTCAAGAGAATCTTGGCAATCATTACCTTAAACAGAAGAAAATGTTTTTACAAGATTAAAGAATCTGATATACCTAGTTAAACAATCTTTGAACTGATTCGTTAACTAGGCATCTTAATTGTACTTATGATATTCTTGTGATAACATGTAGTTTCCTCCATGTTAATTTTCCATTCATGTAATTAATTCCAAATACATGAAAAGAAAATAAAAAGAATAAATCATTCCAATAACCACAAATTAGCAACTGAGATTGGTCATTTAAATTATCTACAAAATAATTTCAGAGTAAACAAATTATTTAAATAAAATTTTGTCATCTTTCATAATTTAAATTCATTATGTAGTTGAAATTGTGTAGTTTAACTTTAAAATTCAAAAAAGGTTTTAATCTCACTTTGGAAAATGGTATTCCTTAGTATGACATATAAAGTTAATAATAGCATTGAAAATGTTTGATAAATCAATTAGGCAAATAACAATGATTGTATAAAATATTATTATGTGGGATCTACAATAAATTGTTAGTTATGGGTAGAAAAAGAGCCAAAAGGGCAGAATAAAATTAAGAAGTGAGATAAAATACCAAGTATCATAAGGCCAATTGTTGAATGTCAAAGACACTTTTGAAAGAAGAAGCAGGACTTTGGCTCCAGTACTTAATTGCTTAAAGATTATTGGAACTATCACATAATTGATCTGTGTTATAAAATATAAAGTACTGAATATAATCAAAGACCCTTCTTCTGTTCCAAATACACCTTTCTCTAAGCTTTGTTTTTCAATATCGTTTTCTTTCTTTAAAACTTGTTTTTATTGATATCCTATTTTCAATAAAATACTTACAAAAATAAGGAAGTTCTTGGTATTAAAAAACCTTACCTCAAATTTTGAGGAGCTTCACCAAACAGACTGCAAATCTCTCTTATTTGTTTCAGGGCAGGAATTACCCACTTGTCATTTGTGCGGAGTTCTTCTATAAATCGATCTATCCATTGAATCTTTTGTGTGTCTCGATCCTTACATATATTAAAAAAAAATTGTTTTAAATGGACGAGTGTTCTACATAATTCTAACCTCAAATGTTTTTGAGAATTATCAGAAAAGCACTTAAACTCAGCAGATAAATTTTATGATGAAGGCTTAATAGTTTAATCAAACAAAAGGTACATTCTTTTTTTGAAATTATCATTAAAACTATGACATGTAAAGCACTATTATGAACTCAATGTTTCATGGCTTTAGCTATCTGGATCAACATATATAAACAGTTCCTAAGTATAGGAACATTAATAAAGTATGAATGTGGGCACTGTATTAAATATTTTGTTAGGTTCTCATTTTGTAAAATGTAGCAAAAACACAAAATTCCAATTATTTACATGTGTTTGGTACTGCTATGCTTTCTTTTTTTTTTTTAAGATTTATTTTTTAGTTGTAGTTGGACACAATACCTTTATTTTACTTATTTATTTTTAGGTGGTACAGAGGATGGAATCCTCTGAACTGTGCTAGGCAAGCGCTCTGCTGCTGAGCCACCACCCCAGCCCCTGCTGTACTTTTTTAATCAGCAAGAAACACAATATTTGTATTTCAGAAATACTTATAAAAAAATAATCAAATAAAAAAAATGAACATTGTAAAATTTAAAATTCCTTTAAGTATCCACTTAAAAGAAAATTAGAAATACTGAACAATAGGTTTATTTCAGTTATTCACTCTTTGTTTATTTGCTTAACCTTGTTAACTACAGTGATTAAAAAGTTAGATGCAGATACTTAACAGATTTTCAGTTAAATAATCCTGTTTCTGTACATATTTGGGAAAGAATAGGCAATACTTCAGTGATTATATTAAGGACTTTAAAATATTTACAGTACATGAATATTAAATTTGTCACTGCTTTTCAAAGCACTTTGAGTAACAGACTTATTAGTTTCCCATAATGATAACAAATGAAACCTTAAATTGATAAAAGCCAAACACTTTTTGCTAAATTTAGTGAAATCCAATACTTATTAATGTGGCAAGGTATAAGACGGAGTGCCTATGATAAATAAGAATAAATAATAAACCCTGGTTGAGCCTTTATGATAAATGTACTATTTTGATTTTCTACAACATTCCTTTTATTTGTAAAATATCACTTATATACAAGATCCTCTTAGCCATTTTAGATAAATATAAAACATTTAATGAACAATGAGAAGGAAACATAACATCATTTGATCATATAACCCAACTAGATTATTTTCTTTTTATTACATCTGAAGATTTAAATGCATCAATACAAATTTACTGTATTACTAATTACTGGAATTGGAAAAAGCTACTTGAGACTTTATCTGTCTATAGAGAACAAACATGATAATTTTTTTTGTATCTTTTTCAGAATATGAAAAAACTCAGTTTCTGAGGACAACTGTGAATACATAGAACTAAATAGTTCACAACATAACTTAATTTTCATTTTTAAAGTACCACTGTTTAAAATGTTCTCGTACATATAAATAATCATAATTATAGTTAATTATATGTATGAATATTTATGACAATACTTTTTTTAATGAAGGCAATCAGTTCAGTGTTTATTTCTGAACCATCACAATCCTGGTTTTTCACAAATCAGAAGTAATCTTGGGCTTACCTGACTTGTTAAATAAAACTCAAGTACAAGCGAAACAAAAATGCCTGCCCTCCAAATACTAAAGACATTCTTTATCAGTCCTTAGTTACTACTTCTGCTTTTTTTTTTTTAAGGAAAAAACATCATTATCATTAAATTTATGAACTATTATAAATTCACCACTATAACTGACAAAAGTCCACATAATCGAAGCTAACAGATAAAATTTGTATAAAATTGAATACTTAACAACTAGTAAACATCAAAGACATAAGTTAAAAGTGGGGAAGAGTGAGCTATAATGATTTGCTCATAGGGAAGCCAATATTTACATTAACATCTACTTTTATGCTTCCAAAGTCCCTATTCAGCTTAAATTATATGTGACCTTAGTGCCTTGTATTTTATATAGTACAATTATAATAATAAATTATTTAGCTATAAAACTATTTATCTAAAGTTGTTAAAAATGCATAATGGATAACAGATAAAACTTATTGAAAAATACCAAATAAGGTAGAAAGCCATATTTATATGACAAAAACAAACTAATTCTTCAGGCTTATTTTAAAACCAAAGTAATTAAATAAACTAAAACTATCCTACAAGTATATTATCTTAAATGTTAAAGGAAAAAAGTTAGAAATGGTAGGCAAATAAGCACTTCTGTACCTGGGAACAACTATAATCTAGTATTTTTATGTGGGCACTGAGAGCTAGGTCCATGATATCTACAGGTACATCATCACTATGAGCCAGATTCCAAAGAAGATTCAAAACTTTGTGAGCCATCACACCATCTTTATCATCTTCTGCAAGACGGCGTATTAGCTCAAGTAGCTTTTCACGTTGCTTTTTACTTGCATTTGTCCAACTTGCCTAGAAGAAAAATTAAAAGATTAATATCTCATAACTTTATACCTTTATTTGTATTACATCATCACTACTTTAATCTATTTGGATAAACTAGGCATTTTCTTCAATACACATCCACAGATGGGTGCATATACATACCCACCACCAAATTACCAAACTATTGGTATTCAGATTGAGAAAATAAAATAGAACTCATAAAACAGACTCTCTAAATTCTAGGAAAAAAAAAAATCTCCATTTACAACTTTAAGCTGTTTGATGCTTTTCATTAAGAAATTACATAATTATGAGGCTGGGGTTGTGACTCTAAATGGTAGAGTGCTGCTTAGCACGTGCAGAGGCCTGGGTTTGATCCTCAGCACCACAAAAAAATAAAAAATTAAAAGGTATTGTGTCCAACCACAACTAAAAAATAAAATATTAAAAGAAAAATCACATAATTTACAACAGAAAGAAATACTTACTTTAAAATACTTGCTACAAACAAAAAAATCAGTCATGAAGTAAAATGTATTACACTTTCAAACAAAAAAAAGCAGAGAAAAAGTTAAGAATATTAAGATAAAAAACAAACAAAACCCCTCCTACTTACAAAAAGATAAAAAATGTGACCTGTATTTAGATTAAAAAATTCTACATTTACTAGGTGAGATACTTGTATAAAGATGGAATATATTTTTCATTATTCATCCTACTGAGCACACCTAAAGTTTCTAGACATACCATAAAAATAAGCATGAATCTAAAAAATGGAGAGCATAAAAAGCAGAATAGAAAATGGCGCAAAGATTCCAGACCAGCTAGAGACTCAAATCTGAGGATGACAGATGTCATCTTTAAAAGCAATGATACAAAATACTATAATATATTATTAAAAATATTTAAATAACAATTCAGAAAGCAGGAATACAGAATCAAAAAGAATAGGACACAAAAACAGAAGTTTAATCTGTAACATCAATAATTCCATTAAGTATAGTAGTCTAAATAGAACAGTTATAATGCCAAAATTAACAGGAACTACTTACAGTATAAAAAAAGAAAGAAAAAAAACAAGCTTGGAGGCAAATGGTTGCCAAAAATATTCAAAAATTAAAGGAAAGCAGAGTCGATGAGTTTTCGTATTAGATAAAAAATAAGACTTCAGATTTTGGGAAAATGAAGCTAAGTAGTGAGTCCTGATCTCAAAACACAGAAAGGAGTACTTAGTAAGAAAAAGTAGAATTGAAAAAAATTGACAAAATAATGCATTGATAATGCAAAATACAGGAAGTGAAAGATCAAATTAAGAATCAAACAGACCACATTATGCTAATACTGGGTAACTTTAACAGTTCTCACAGCCAAATAGGTCATATAAAACTGATGAAAGAATTCTGCGATTAAAAATATAATCAATAATATGGACCAAATACACATTAAAGAATATTATTGGATCGAATTCACTTTCTTCTCAGCAGCACATACAACACATACAACTATATGTTATATCACCAAGAATTCTTAGCAAATAAAAAAATAAAAGAGAATTACTTGTATTCTATCAGAATGAAATTGGATATCAATGCTAAGATTAAAAAAAAGGATAATAATCACCTGGAGATCAAATAATACGTTTAAAAATCATGAATAAAAGAAATCAGGAAAGAAATAAAATATTTAGAAGTAAATGAGAATAAAGATAAAAACTGACAAATGACTTGACCTTTATTTAGAATAAAGGCCTCAGGAAACACAATTAGATAAATACAAAATGAACACAATTAAAAACAGATCTTATGGCTTCAATCATAGGATGATTAATTATTAAGAGTAAAATCCAAGAGGAAATACAGAAAGTCAAAGATCAGTTCAATACAGAATTAGAAATTCTAAAAAACAAAGCAAAAACAAAACAAAACAAAAACCCAAACAACCAAGCAGAAATCCTTGAAATGAAATAATCAACAAACCAAATTATAAATTTAATGGGAAGCATCATCAACAGAATAGACTACCTGGAAGACAGAATCTCAGGCAATGAAGACAAAATACATAATCTTGAAAATAAAATTTACCATTTGGAGAAGATGGTAACAATCCTTAAACAGAACTTCCAAGAAGTATGGGATAACATGAAAAGACCAAACTTAAGAAGGAGCAGAGGTATAAACCAAAGGAATGTTCAATCATTTCAAAGACACAATATTAGAAAATCCCTAAATCTAAAATGCAATGAAAAAATCAACTACAAGAGGCTTACAGGATCCCAAATGTACAAAATTATAGCAGACCTACACTAAGACATAATGCAAATGACTAAAATACAGAATATAAGGATAAAATCTTAAAGCCTGTGAAAGAAAAAAAAAAAGACATTGCATATAGGGCGAAACCAATTCAGATCTCAATTGATTTCTCAAGCAAGAACCACCTAAGCTAGGAGGTCCTGGATTAATATATTCTAAACTATCCTAGTTGTGGAAAAATTTCATATCCAGCAAAATTAAGTTTCAGATTTGGAGATGAAAATAAAAACCTTCCATGATAAACAAGAGTTAAAAAAAATCCACAACTAGAAAGCCTGTATGTACTACAGAATATTCAACCAAATATTCCATGACAAAGTGTGGGGAGGGGAATGATAAAAACTAAGAAAAAATGATAAAAACTAGAAACAGTCTAATTTAAAACCAAAAATTAATCAAAAACCAAAATTTAATCAAAACAACAGAGAATACAAACCAGATCAATAATAACCTTGAATATTAATGCCATAAATTCATTAATCGAAAAACATAGCCTGGTAGATTGAATTAAAAAATAAGACACAACAAGATGCTGTCTCCAAGAGACTTACTTCGTAGAAAAAGATATCAAAAGACTGAAGGTGAAAGGATGGGAAAAAACATGACTCATATGGATTGTGTAAACAAGTTCCCTCGTGATATAAAATGAAGTGAACTTCAAGCTAAGATTAATCAGAAGATACAAAGAAAGACATTTTATATTACTTAAGAGAATTATATATTAGGATGAAATAAGAATAGTAAATATTTATGCCCCAAATGATGGAGCATCTAACCCTTCCCCAAATCAAACAAACCCTTCCCAACTTCATGAATCAAATAAATAACATATAATACTGGGTGACTTTAACATACCTCTCTCACTCCAGGATAGGTATTCGAAATAAAAACCTAATAAATAAACTAATACAACTAAGTAATACACTCAGTAATTTAGACTTAATGAACATACATAGACTATTTCATTAATCTCAGCAGCACATGGATCCTTCTCAAAAATAGACCATATGTTGTGCCCAAAGTAATTCTTAGTAAATAAAAAAAAAATAGAGATAATACCCTGCATTTGATTAGATCATAATGGAATGAAACTAGAAATCAATGATAAAATAAAAAATAAAAGCTACTCTATGGACAGTAGGAAAAAAAAATCAAGGATGAGAATATCGATATAACATCAAAATTTCTGGGACACTATGAAGTCAGTACTAAAAGGAAAATTCATTACATTAAGTTCATTTAATAAAATAATTAAAAAATCAAATAAATGACCTAACATTACCTCTCACAATCTTCAAAAAAGAACATAACACCCCCAAAAACAGAACAGTAGAAAATACAAAAAATTAAAATCAAAGCTGAAATCAATGAAACTGAAAACAAAAAAGAAACAAGACAAAATTAAAAGTTGATTCTTTGAACTAATTAAAAAAATTGATAAGTCCCTAGTCACAATAATAAAGAGAAAAAGAGAGAAAACTCAAATTACTAAAATAAGTGATGAAAAAGGAAATATGATGATGATATCACTGAAATTTAAGAAATAATCAGAAAGATTTTGAAAATTTATACTCAAATAAAATATAAAATCTTGAAGACACAGATAAATTTCTGGAAGCATATGATCTATCCAAACTGAACAAGAAGGACATACATAATTTAAACAGACCAATTTCAAGTAATGATATAGATTATGCCATCAAAAGCTTACCAACCAAGATTCTCAGTCAAGTTCTACAAGACCTTCAAAGAAAAATCAACACCAATATTCCTTAAGGTATTCCATGAAATAGAAAAGGAGGAAACCTTAGCAAAACCAGACAAAGATATGTCAAGGAAGGAAAACTTTAGACCGAATCCTTGATAGATGTATGTGCAAAAATTAAATAAAAATTTGGGTAAATCCCATACAAAACTATATTAAAAAGACATCACACCATGATCAAGCAGTGTTCATACCAGGGATTTAGGGTTGGTTCAATAAATGTGAATCATTGCATCAATAGGCTTTTTAAAGAAAGAATCAGGAAAAGCATTTGACAAATACGACACCTCTTTGTGTTCATAACACTAGAAAAACTAGGGAGAGTAGAAACATTGCAAAATTTCAACACTGTACATTACCCAAAGCCAGCTTAATTCTAGACAAAGAAATATGGAGAGTTACTGGAACAAGACAAGGATGTCTCTTCTTACCACTTCTAATCAATATCCTTTAAACTCAGCCAGATCAATTAGAGATAAGAAATTAAAGGGATACAAACAGGTAAAGAAGAACTCAAACTAGCACTACTTGACGATGACATGATTCTATATTCAGAAGATCAAAAAAAATTCCACCAGGAACCTTTATAGACTAGTAAGTAAATTCACCAAAGTAGCACATTATAAAATCAGCACCCACAAATCAAATGCATTCCAATATATATGTGATAAATCCACTGAAAGAGAAATTAGGAAAACTATCCTGTTCATAATAGCCTCAAAAACAAAACCAAAAACAAAACCTTGAGAAATCTAAATGAGGTGAAAGGCCTCTACAATGAAAACTATAAAACAGTAAAGGAAGAAATTGAAGAAGTTCTCAGGAGATGAAAAGACCATGCTGCTGGACAGGCAGAATTAATATTATCAAAACAGCCATGTTACACAATTTAATGCAATTCCAAATAGAAGACAAAAAAGAGACATGCCCACATAAATATAGTTATCTCATAAATAAAGGCACCAAAACATACTTTTGGAGAAAAGATAGCCTTTTCAACAAATAGTGCTGGGAAAAATGGAAAGCCAGCTATAACAAAATGAAATTAACCAGTATTTCTCACCTGTACGAAGCTCAACTAAAGTTGCTCAAAGACTTAACCACTAGAATAGAGACCCTGTGCCTACTAGAAAAAGTAGGCCCAAATCTTCACCATATCAGCCTAGAATCTGACTTTCTTACAAGACCCCTAAAGTGCAAATAGTAAAATCAAGATTCAATAAATGGGATGGAATAAAACTAAAATGTTCATGTTATTTCCTTTGCTTGAAGAAGCAAACAGCCTACAGAGTAGAAGAAAATCTTTATCACATGCACTTCAGATAGTGCATTAATTGATCTCTAGGATATATAAAGAACCCAAACAACTTAACACCAAGAAAACTAATAACCCAACCAATAAATGGGCTAAGGAACTAAAGATATTTCACAGAAGAACAAACATAATCGATCAATAAATATATGAAAAATGTTCACCTTTACCAATTATAGAAATACAATTCAAAACTATGATAAGATTTCATCTTCAGTCAGAATGGCAATCATTAAGAATACAGATAGCAATAAATGTTGGCAAGGATGTGGAGGAAAGGCACACTTACACATTGCTGGTGGGACTGCAAATTGGTACAACCACTCTGGAAAGCAGTATAGAGATTCTTCAGAAACTTGTAATGGAACCACCATTTGACCCAGCTATCCCACTCCTCAGTTTATATCCAAAAGACTTAAAATCAGCACACTACAGTGATGCAGCCACATCAATGTTTACAGTAATTCAATTCACAATAGCTAAACTATGGAATCAACCTGGGTGCCCTTCAACAGATGAACCGATAAAGAAAATGTGGTATATATACACAAGTATTACTCAGCTTTAATGAAATGATGTCATTTGATGGTAAATGAACAGAGTTGGAGAATAATAAGCCAATCCTAAAAAACCAAAGGCCAAATGCTTTCTCTGATACACAGATGCTCAATTACACAGGGATTAGGAGGGTGGGCTAGGGAAGAATAAAAGATTAGGCAGAGGGAACTTAAGAGAGGGAAGGGATATAAGGTTAGAAAGAACAGTAGAATGAATTCTTATTGAATTCTTATTCTATATGTATATATGACTGACCAGTGTAATTCCACATTATGTACAGTATGACCAGTGTAATTCCGTATTATGTACAAATGAGAAGTTATTCTCCATTTATGTATTATGTGTCAAAAAGTATTCTACTACTTTGTGTAACTAATTAGAACTAATCAAAAAAAGAAAGTAAATATATTAACAATTTATTGGAGACACATACATATACGAAACAGATATACAAGTATGCAAATTATAATGATACATCACGTCTTATATGTATAGAAAAACTTAGTATCAGAATACTATCATTAAATGTAAAAAGAGACTTTCAAAAACAAATCGTAGTTTCTATGCTTAGTTATTTCTAGTTTAATACAGCTGGGGTAGAAGTTAAATCAAAAACACTTGAGAAACTATCTTTAAGTCAATATTTAGATATGTTCTGTGTATTTCTTCCTAAAAATATACCAATCTTCTTTTCCAAAATACAACTGGATTCTCAATTTTAGGATATCTTTTCCTTCCTAGTTTCTTTATATTAGGAAGATTCATCTGTGAGCTAGGTTGTTCTAACTTGTTAATTTTCACTGCTATAAACTTAAAAGTAATTTCAGTTCATCTACTATGTATTTTATACATCAAAGGCATCTAATTTTCAGTTTGAGGTTAATACAAATAAATTTGCTAAAATAGTGTACACATCCCAGATTTCCTCTAGGGTTTATTCAGAAACTTAATTGTTAGGTCAGAGGATGAGAAACAAAGGACAAATATCAAAACTATTTTCTAATATGGTCAGAATTAACCAAACTTTCTCCAAAAATGTAATCATGATTTTGAACCAAAAATCTTATTTTTAATTAATGGGTTAATGAAAATATTTGTCTAAGAACATATGGCTTTACTTTCATGATTACAAGTTTTCCAATCAACCTTATAAACTAGAAAGAGACTCATATACCACAGTGTCTTAAATAGTCATAACTTCAATGATAATATGATAATGCAGATATGACACCAGGAACTGTTGGTCTAATTTCATGTCATTTTTCATATGCCTTTTTGTTGAGAGCCACAGCCAAGGGGCCCCAGCAAACTTCCAGCTGCCAGCAAACTTCCAGCTGCCGGCTGATGATTGGCTCACAGTGGCCCCAGCAACATCTAGCTGATTGGCTCCTCGGCCCCAGCAACATCTAGCTGATTGGCTCCTCTGCGGTGATGCTCATTGGACTGTTTCCCTGCCCTTTCAGACCACGGAGCTGCTCATTGGGGGACTTTTTTGGCTCCGCCCACGTGACCCAGCCAATCGGCCTCAAGAGCAGGAGGATTGTGGGAGGTGGAGAGAAGCTTGAGTGGGAGAGAGAGGCTTGTGGAAAGCCGGTGGTGGCAGTTGAGGCTCTGAGGGTTTTTCCTGAGAGGCTGTTTTGTTTGGCGTGTGTGGTTCTAAAAATAAAGTTAGTTTCTTTTGACAAGTGGCTCCTGATTGTGCCCAGCCAGACTGCGGCACCTTTTACCCCAAAGAACTAGTGTTTTCTTAAATCTATTTTCTCAATACCTATTCTTTCCTTGGTTTCTACAGTTATTTAAACCTAAATCAAAATTAAAACTGCTAGAGTAAACTAACTAAAAAAACAACAGAATAAAAACTCTCAAGAGGCTGCAAGTATAAGAAAAATTATAAACCACTTGTGACTCAGTAGCAGAGTGCTTGCCTTACAAACGTGAGGCACAGGGTTTGATCCTCAGCTCCATATAAAAAATAAATAAATAATAAAGATATTCTGTACATCCACAACTGGGGGAAAAAAAAAAAGATATGGTTGAGGGGGCTGGGGCTGTGAGTTAGTGGCAGAGCGCTCACTTAACACTGGGTTCCATCCTTAGTACCTTATATAAGCACATAAAAATAAAGACATGCTGTCCATCTATAATTACAAAAAAAAAAAAATGATTGCAGGGGCTGGAGATATGACTCTGTAGTAGAGTACTTGTGTGGTTATATATGAGTCACTGGATTCAATTTCTAGAACCACACAAGAAGTTATGACTGCTTTTGTACATCTCCGCAGTGAGCAGTTCTTCATCAGCGAGCCTTCAACAATATTTGTTAGGAACTGTGTTGATTTAAGAATAAACTAACTTATTAATTATTTAATTCCATGTAAAATGAAATGGCAATAACTAAAACTATTACCTTAAAGCAATCAAAAAGATGATCAAGCTGTTCAGGCGAAAAATCCCAAGCCAACTTTGCTAGTAGATCATGTACATTCTTCACAATGGCTTCATGTTTTCCTGCCTACAGCAAAAACAAAAGCAAATTAAAATCTTAGTTCATTATCTGATGAACATTCCTACCTTCTTCATCCGAGGTTAGAACAGAATTTTCAATACTTTAAATGCCTTAGAACTGCCATTTAAATAAATGATTAATAAACTTAAGAAATTCATGTGAAAATTTTTAGTTAAACTTACATAAAATCAAGAGAAAATAAAGTAAAAATAATGGATTACTTTAAAATTAAAAACAAATGTTCACTTGGTAAAGGTAAGAAAGAATATTTTCTTGGTTTGCTTTATTTAAAAAAAACAAAAAATTTTTAGTGCCCAATGATACTCAAGAGATCCATGAATAGACACCCACCTTTTTAGATAATACAAAAATTATACATTAGTACTTCTGAAATCAGTTATTCTTATGAAAAGTTATAATTGCTACATATAACACCCAGGTATTTTAAAGTAATAGATTAATGTAACTCTTCTTGTGACATTAGCTTCTTTATATATTTCATAGAAAAAACTTCCAATTACAGATTTTTTTGTTTCATTACTTTATCATAGGTCTACTGTTTTATAAGATATTTAAACTTGATGAGAAATTTGTATTAAAAAGTTCCTGGCAGGATGTATGAATACATAAAGAAAGTAAATTACAAGTCAAGCAATACATATTTGCACGTCATTAAATAAAGACTGCCACATATTGTGTGTCTTAGAAAATTTCTTACCTGTGCTGCCCAGATATTATCAAGATCCTGTAATGTAAGAGCTTTTTCTTTAATCACAAAACGAAGAATCTTCTCTAGCTTTTCTACATACTGTGGTTGATGAAGACTATCTCGTAAGACTATGGATAGGATATTGTTTTGCTGTATCCATTCCTAAATGTAAGACATTCATTCATTCCGATACAGAAAGTGAAAATATTTTTAAAAGCGAAATAAAAACATGGTTCAGATTTCTAGGTAATTTGAAAAGAAACCCAAAAGCCCAATTTTGTACATGTTCATAAATTAAAATATATTAATAGGTTTAAGCATGGTTTTCATGAAAAATTGTTAAACATGAAAGATGATTTTGTAGAATTCAATTATGCACATAAAATGCTCACAAAGATGTGCTAAATTCACCAATTATAACTAACTTTACTGAATGTGCTTTTTTTAATGCTCAATTAAGCAATTTTATAATGAAATTTAATTCTTCACATAATGATCCCATAAATTAACTAATATATTACATCTCTCACACTATCTGAAAACAACCACTTTAAAATATTCAATCCCAGATTACCTGTAAAAATCACAATAAAAACACTACAGCAATGTCAAATTGCTTAAAACATTTTCTAAATACTCACTTTAGTATCCTTCAAGTATTAATAAAGTAGAATTCTGTTTGATAAAGCAAACAAATTGTACACACACATAAAACCTCATCGAATCACAGCCCATGTTAGTAAGTTAGATACTAATTTCTCATTGTCAGCATACCTTTTATCACATTCACAATGGTTAACTGTCAGTTACCCTGTTAACTGAACACTATTTAAGATAAATTTTGTTCTTTATAAATGGATCTATGGTACTGGCACATGACATACACTAAAAAATATGCTATATATACATGATTCATCTCAAAACTAAAATATAAATATCTGTATTACATAGTTTATTTTCAGTAAGTGACAGATATAATTTAAAAAATAAATTTAAAAATAAAATTAATTTTTCTTAAAATCAGGATAAAATATTAATTAATAAAGATTTATTCCACTCATTAAATTCTGAATTTTAAAACTTATGAATTGGGAATTCATTGCCAGGCCAACTCATTGATTAGATTCTGGATTACTCAAACCATTAAAGATCACCTCTATTTCAATTCAACTAAATAACTACATTACAAATGCACACAAACTTATTAGAAACACTCTTATTCAGCAATAAGTAAGTCTTCCAAATGTCCAATTACCCCTAACATTTCAAAAAGACAAATCATTTGTTAATATAAAGAAGTTTTAGGATTAAATAATCTTTACTCAAGTTTTGCTTTTGTTCATTTGAACAGAATTAGGTAATAACCTAGTTTTCTATAAGCAGATTGTTATTTACAAAAGAATAGACAGAAGCTTACTGCCATTCGATCAGCTGTCAACCACTCTTCCTCTTCAGAATTACCATGTCGATGTGTGTAATATGATACACTTGATATCACCTTATTAATTTCATTCAGTGCATTCATTTTTCCATTAAAAGAAGAAATTTGTAATAATCTGTAAGAGAAATCTGTAGTAAGTATCATTCTAAGAGTTAGAGAAATAATATATATTTTTTTAACATTTATTTTTTAAGTTTTTTTTTTTTTTTTTTTTTTTAAGGTGGACACAATATCTTCATTTTACATTCATGTGATGCTGAAGATTGAACCCAGTGCTTCGTGAATGCTAGGCAAGCACTCTACTGCTGAGCCACAACTCCAGCCCCTGAGAAATAATAATTTAAGGCAGGAAATATCTTACCTAAGTATCATTTTTAATCTAAAAATTTCTAAATGTTTTACAGTTTCTTCTTGTCCTGGGATTCTTGAAGCTAAATTCTTCAGAGACTTAATAATCATCGAAAGGGCATCATTTTTTGCTTCATTCTTTGCTTCTTTTTTCAGTTCTTCATCAGTTAAATTTTCTAATAACTGGGGAACTATTTCTATAATTGGAATGAAGTATTTTTTCAATGTAGGTTGACTAAGAAACTCATAACATTGCCCAAATGGTCTGAAATAAGGAAAACACAAACTTCACTATTTAATTTCTTTAGTTTAAAAACTTAAAAGCAAAAACAAGTTACAATCTAAAAATGTATCAAAAATCCATCTTAGAAAACTGAAATTTCAATCATTTTCAAGGCAACATGAAAGCATTCTAGGCATTATATTGAAAATGTCTCAAAATAAAACTTACTTAATAAGAGCTGCAATTATTTGAATGTTTAATGCAGATCCATTAATAAAACGATCATGCAATATCTGGAACCCATTTATTGTGCCAAATTTATTAATGAGATCCACTAGCCAACCCTGTAACAAAGTTAATAATAGTTAATTCCCTTCTAATAAACAGTTACTACCTGAAATGCATGTCTAAAACAAACTAGAAAGACAATTTAATAAATCAGTTATATAAATTTTATCTTTAATACGCACTCAAAAATTTGTAATATGGTCATACACATATTTATATAATCTTAACTTTATTATTTTGTCCTCTGCATCCTGTGAGTCAGAAGCAGAAGGCAATTATAGAGTAGTTCATACAGGCAAAACTTGTACTAATTTTATCAGATGTATCTGTTGACCATAAATTAAGCAGCTTAGATCTCTGAATTAAGATGCAAAATGAACTTTAAAGTTAATAAATTAAAAAACAAACATAGTTTGTATTACAAGCTATCTTAAGCAGAAATAATTTTGTTATTTAAAACAAAAACATTTAAAACATCTGGAAAATACCAAATTAAAGGTAACATTTAAAGGACACACTGATTTAACTAAGGTAGGCTTGATATGATGAAAATCCAAATAATCTTTTTATTTAGTTTTGAAAAACCAAAATAGTAAGACAGCAGCTAAAGACAGATTAGGAAGCTCCTAAACCTCATTCCTGTAAAAAAGGTCTAAGAACTTTTAGAAATTAATAAAAAATGTATGGCAACCAAAAAAAAAAAAAAAACACAACCAAGAAAAAGTCATTCAAAAAGAACAGGGAATATTGTGGAAAAAAAAAACGATTACTATGGAGTGTTTTTACTTAATCTTGTTTTTCCCATTTTCCACAGAATTCATAGAAAGCAGTAGTTTGATCCCAGTTCCTTAACATGTAATAGAGAGAGCAGAGGAGACTGAATCTGCAACATTCTAAGCTGTGGGATGCCTGAGCAACTTGCCTTTGCTTCATGTAGGAAGTTAAAAAATTAGGCAAGGAGAATCTAGTCAGGAACCACCCCGCCCCCCAAAAAATACTCCAGAACCCTGGGAATGTACAGATTGACAAACACAAAAGTCAAGGCACAAAGAACAATTAGAGGTCAAGCTCTTACAGAAATTACAAAATTTAAAACAGCCATGAATATGATGACAGAGAAAAAATAACACAGAGCAAAGGCTTAAGACTCATGCCCAAAAATGTTGAAGAAAATCTTGAGCTTTCATTCTGGGCTGATTCAAAAGATTTCCCTGTACTAAACAAAGTTAAATCTCTATCTGGCAACAGACTTATTTGACACTTTAAATGACAGATATTTTCAAAGAGTTACAGGAAAACATGAGCCAAAGAACAAAAAATAATCAGGGAAAGTGACATAAACCAGCAACACAGACAGAATTAAAGAACTAAACAAATTCTGTGGACTAAAGTACTGTAAATGAATTCAAATTCAACCAGTGTGTTCAACAGAAAAGTCGAACAGTTAGAAATTAAAGACAAATCACTAATATCATTGAGGTTAATGAGTAAAAAGGCAATAGAATGAATAAAATGAAGAAATAACAAGCAATTTCCAAACATCTCAAAGAGGAAAAAAACCTTGAAGAGAACCTAAGAAGGTAAATGAAGAAAAAGAGCTAATATAATGTCAAAAATTTTGCCAAATTTGAGAAGACAAAGGTCTTTCTCTCCCCCCGCCCCACATGCACACACACACACACACACACACCATGAACTCCACAAAGGACACACCAAAGATTCACATCAAGATAGATAACAATCAAGTCATCTAAAGAAAAAGAAAAAAGAAAGAAGTAACTCTTCACATAATGTAATCTCAGTAAAATAACAACAGATTTCTAGCAGGAACCATATAGGGCGAGAAGAATCATGGATTAACATTAAAAATGAATTTGATATTTTAGGGACCAAGCATGAGGTGCTCATCAAATGTAGTCATTCTATCCTTCATTCTCAGCCTCCAGAACCTTAAGCCAAAATAAATCTCTTCTTTAAAAATCACCCAATCTCCCATATTCTGGCATAGCAGAAAGTAGACGAAAACATATCATCAAAATTCACATCTACTAAAGGGAGAAACTATTCTATTTATATTAGTCAGAGACTTTAATACCCTACATTAATGGGTAGACCCTAGAGGGAAGATCAGTTTAAAAAGAAAGAGATCTTGAGATCTTGCACATACTATAGAATTAATGACTCTAATGACTCTCTCTCTCTACACACACACACACACACACACACACACACACACTACTATCATCCTTCTACAGCAGATTCTCATCAGGTCAATCTTTTTTTTTTTCCCCCTTCGGTACCAGGGATTAAACTCAGGGGCACTCGGACATAGAGCCACAGTCCCAGCCCTTTGGTATTATATTTAGAGACAAGCCTCACTAAGTCACTTAGTGTCGCACAGTTGCTGGGGCTGGTTTTGAACTGGTGATCCTCTTGTCTCAGCCTCCTCAGCCACTGGAATTACAGGTGTCTGCCAATGTGCCCAGCATACCAGATTAATCTACAGAATACACTGTGCCACAAAACAAGTATTAATAAACTTGTTCTTGCTTTTTTTGTGACACTAGGGATTGGACATAGGGCCTAGTACACACTAATCAAGTACTCTGCTTTTGAACTACAGACCAAACCCAAAGGTCTTAATAAATTAAAAATGACTTAAGTCACAGAATGTGTTTTTTTTCAGAACACAATAGAGGGAAACAGAAATCATGAGAAGGAAAACTGGCGAATCTACAGATTAGCAAAAATTAAAACGACCCATATTAAATAATACATGGACCAAAGTGGAAATATACAGAAACTGAGACATCTGAGAAAAAAAAAAAGAAAACTGTTTATTAAAACTTATGGAATGCAGCAAAGGCAGTATGAAGAGGAAAGCTGAGACATTAACACGCTTTTTAAAATAAAGACCTTGAATGAACAACTGAACTTTACACTTTAAGTAAATTTACATTGAAGGGGTAACGAAAGTTAAAGTGGCGGAAAAAAATAAAATAACACAGACAGGTGGAGAGACTAGAAAAGCAACACAGAAAAAAGTTAAGACCAAAATTTGATTCTTGAAAAAAGGTAAGAAAAATGGTCAAAGTTTTAGGTTAGAAAAATAACAAAGAAAATAAGAATAAAATTAAAATTTGGTACTGAAAAAAGGTAGAAAAAAGGCCAAATTTTTAATCTAAGAAAAAGGAGATTCAAATAAATAATTTCAGAATTAAGAGAAAAGCAGTACTAGAGATTCTATGGAAAGAAAAACGATTACTACCGAGTATCATGATCTATTGTATTCAACTAAACTGGATTACCTAGAGTGGAAGAAGAATCTTTTAGAAATATACAACCCACAGAAAGCCTCATAAACAAACAAACAGAACATCTGAATAGACCCTCCATTATTGGGATAGAGACAAAATCCAATAATTATCAGACCAGAGGTCTTCAGTAGCAAATTCTACTGTAAATTTAAAGAACTGACAAAATTCCCTCATGTTCTCTTCTCAAAAATTGAACTCATGCTCAATGTTCAGTACAAACTGATATAGAAAAAAGACACAAGTAAAGACTAATTCCTCTTATGCACACTGACATAAAATTCTTAATTAAATGCTAGTAATACCATTCAAAGCACATTAAAACAATTACATACCTAACCAGGTGGGTTTTTTTTTTTTTTCTGACTACAATGAATCTCCAACATGCAACTACCAGTGTGATATATCATGTTAACACAATGAAAAAAAAAAAAAAAAAAAACACCTATATCATCTCTCTGACAAAGAAAAAGCAAATGATAAAACTCAACCCCTTGGTAATAAAAACACTAAACAGGAATGGTAGAAACTACCAAATATAATAATACCTGTATTTTAAAAAGTTCATAGCTAACATATTCAAAGGAAGATTAAAAAAAGCATTCTGCTCTATGATTAAGTATCAGCAAGAATACCCGCTTTCATTATATCTATTCAATATAATAGCGAACTTCTTAGACATGAAAATTACACAAGAAAAGATAAGGTATCTAGATTGGAAAGGAAAAATGATCTCTGTTCCTAGAATTTTCTTTAAAAGGATTCTGTATCAATTTGTTTTCCTTTATGGCTTCTATTTGTGTGTGCATAATTGTTTACATGCTAAAACTAACCCCCTTAAGTTTTTTTTTTTTAATGTTTATTAATTAAACAATCTAGTCAATTTGGCTTTGAGACACTAAAAAGCCTTTTAGTTTAGACATTAAAAAGTGACATTTTAACCACTGAGACACTGAAAGGAACAACTACAAACCTGGAAGCTTCTTTTATATTCTTTCAGGATAGTTCAGTTCTTTTGGCTATTTTCCTTAATTTTGTAATGTAAAATAGTTCCTACTTTCTACTCTCCTTCTTTAAAATAAGCTAAAATTTTGGTTATTAAAAGCAGACTTATCTTCTATCTGAAGTAAGATTACTTACTTAACATTCAGATGATGATCAACACTAAGATTTACTCTTAAGAAATCAAGTGCACTGAAAGAAATGCCTAATGGAAAATTCAAGAAAAACAATAAAAATACTTTTTAAAAAATCTCGGTTATTTTTAAAAAATAGCAACAAACCAAAAACACTTAACCACTGAATGATATTCCCAGCCCTTTATTATTTTTTTTTCATTTGAAGACAAGGTCTTGCTATGTTGCTAAGATTAGCTTTGAACTTGTGATCCTCCTGCCTCAGCCTCCCAAGCTGTTGAGGTTACTGGCTTTCATCACGATGCCTGGCAAAATGGTAAAATTTTTATATTATTTTTAAAATTTAAATTTTTGGTACCAGGTATTGAATGAGGGGCACTCAACCACTGAGAAACATCCCAGGCTCCACCCCCTTAAAAAAAAAATAGAGTCAGGGTTCTCACTGAGTTGCTTAGTGTCTCACTGGTTGTTGAGGCTGGCTTTGATCTTGTGATCCTCCTACCTCAACATCCTGAGCCACTGGGATTATAGGCATGCACCACCGCACTAATTTATTATGTTGTGTAAATAAATATCTTCTGCTCTTTTAAAAATGCACACCAACACACACAAAACACAGTGAACACAATATACAGTCAATGCTTGCTATTTACAATAGTTATATTCGTATAGTCAGTATGAATAATTAATTAACAAAATAATGAAATATTTCTCTTGCATAAAAACAAGGTCAGGATCCATCAACCTATCAATACATAATAAGCTTTTTTTAGCATGAATTATAATGTTACTAATCAGGAGTTCAATGTGATTAAATAAATCAAAAAGCATATTTTAAGATAGAAACCTACATAAAACAAGGTTATATACTGACTGGTTCATCATTATGTTAATGGAAGTTTTTATCACTAATGGTCCATGGCAAGTGCAAAAAAAGTGTTTAGTATTTAAATTTGAAAAACAAAACAAAACGAAAACAAACCAACACACTTTTGGTGATCGTGGATCTGGAGAATGGGCAAAGAGTTCATCTTCAGGCAACTGAACACTTGAGGAAACTGATTCACATGGAAGTGTACCATTGTAGATATGAAATTTGCAATGAGGATTTAAAGCCAGGGCAAGAAGTTCTAGAAGTGGAAACCAGTCTTGGGACAACTTGGCCACACAGAGCTCCACAAGGCGATGGGTATTGTTAATAATACATCTCTGTTAAGTGGTGAGAGAAGGAGATATGATTTATATGATATGATTTATAATGAGGTAACTCTGCAATTTTAAGCACAGAAATTATTCTATCTTGTTAATAATCATCTTTCTTCAACTTCTGTATTAATCATCTAACTTCTACTTAAATATGATCAAAACAATATATAGTAAAAATAAATTTTATTACAAAATTTTAAAGCTAATTTCTTTTTTTAATATTTATTTTTTAAATTGTAGTTGGACACAATATCTTTATTTATCTTTTTATATGATGCTGAAGATTGAACCCAGGGCCTCACACATGCTAGGCGAGCACTCTACCACTGAGCCATAAACCCAGCCCAAAGCTAAACTTCAAGGGCTTTTTGTATCACAGCTTGTCTGTCTACTTTATTTTCATAGGTTACAACTTATAAGCAGTATCATCTCTTCCTTAAATTTTCTACAGGCAATAATTCTAAAATCTCAACATTTAAGGTTGTCAAATATCCATGATAAAGAAAATCTGCAACACAATTCTCCATTCAATCGTCACTGATCATCTTATTTCTGTATCTTAAAAGTTATGCATCAATTTGGAATAAGTCAGCATTTATATAGAGATCATGGTCATTTTATAGAAAATGTTCACGTTAAAGTATATAAGATGAGCTAATATAGGTATACATATAAGTTTCATAACTTTTGATTAATTGCTTTTATAAGTAAGAATCAGACCTGGAGTAATTACAGCAATTCATTAAAACCCCACATTTTCCACCTTTAAAATCTGGAATGTAAATGCAATCTTATCTGGAATGTGAAGAAAATCTCAAAATCTATGGTAATTTGCATTATATTTGTTGTAGACAAAAGGAAATACTTTATCACTTATAGTTCCATTAGAAAATATTACCCACCTAAGAATTCTTAAATTTTATTTCACATTTTTGGTATGAAGCTGTAGCTTCAATCCACACTAAAAACTTGTGTGAGTACCAGTTTGTGGTCTAAATTTCTAAGGGATACTATCTTTTCCCTTTCTACCAAGTGTCATATTTCCTTGACACTTCTGCATATTGCACTACATTTGCAACAAAGATTATACATTTTGCTGTCCCAGCTATACTAAGTTTCTACTATTTTATTTGCCATCTTGGATATTCTTTCTGCTGCATGACTAACAAGCCTTATAATCTACACCACTCTATTTTGAAAAAAATATATTGTGTTGTGTATAAGATTACAAGGCACCTGGAATTCCAGATGACAGTTTAAACAAGGTATCTAACTCAAAATCTCAAGCTTATTCTAATTATACATATCAGAAGACCAATATGTCTATCAAGCCTAGGAATATGTATAACATAAAGGTAATCAACAGTAATATTTTCCATAGACAAATGCACAGGGATTCATGTAAATCTGAATCTCAAAAAACATGTACAAAAACTCACATGAATTTCAAACTTCCATCCACTCACTGCCTCATCCATAAGGATTTTAGTGAACGATATTGTTAGCCCATCTCGAAAGAAACGCTGACATGCTTCACTTTTAACATCAAGCCCTAAGAAAAGGTTAAAACATTAAAGTACATTTAACATAAAAAAAAAGCGCCTGACCAATTACATGATTAAACATAATAAACAGAAGCTTCCAATTCATAATTAGCATTATAGCTTTTGAAATAAGGTATTACATTATCATAAAGAGATTTACTAGAAAGGAGAAAACTGGGATTTAGAAAAAGAAATATTACATTTAATGAACTGTGTAGGACCTCATGAAATCAAGTATTATGATAATGAAGGATGTTTCAAAATGATACTAGACACATTAAAAAAGGTTACTTGTAGATAATCAGAATGATTTAAGAGATGACTTCTTTACTATTTTAAATTTCATTTGATGCAAGAAAAGCCAAGTATCATTTACAGTTTCTGTTCACTTTTATTATTTAGGACCTAGCAAATACTGAGGACATATATCCTTAATATTTGCTGAATTAGTGAATTCAAGCACACATTAGGTAAAAAGAAATCTGAGCGGTAAGAAAACATTACTAATCACGTAAAATATTTTCATAGGTCACAATTTTTATAAGATCAAAAGTAAAATATAGGCCAGGCACAACAGCAAACATATGTTATTCTCAACTCCAAAGACTGAGGCAGGAGGATGGTTATGTAAGTTCAAGGCCAGCCTCCTAAAGCCTTGGGCAATTTTGTGGTAAAGTGCCCTGAGTTTAATTCTCAGTACTAAAATAATGAAAATGATAATAAACACAACAGTCCCTAAGTGACTCAAAAACAATCATTAGTTAAAATAATACCATTTAACTTTGCTTTAGTCAAATTTAGCAACATATGAACTTCAACAAACTTCCAGAGACTAAATATTACTGATGTTTCTTTTAGTTTTTAAGGCTTCAAAACAGTAAGGGTTATTATAAAACTGGTCATCTGATTACAAAAATACCTAATATTAGAAAAAGTCATCAAAAATTGTCCATTCTAAAAAATTGCTTTTACTTCTGGCTAACAATAATAAAAAAAAATACTGCATTTTTTCTTTCTTTGACTGCTTTACCTTTCAGTAAATTTTCTTAGTGAAAAAAATATCTAAAAACCCTTTTTCTTTGTTTTTAAAAAGGGAATGTTTATGTAATTTATTACGCATAAAAATGCAACACTAGTGAAATTGCAATTCTCACCAAAAAATTTATGGGTTCTCTACTAGTACATGTCCTTTGATTAACTAGCAATCCAGAAAGCCATTAAATGTCAAATTTTGGCAATTTCTACTGAAACTATTTGCAAACTAATATTTTTTCAACTTTCTTACATGCAAGTTGCTGAAGATACATGAATCACACAACAACCCTTAGGTAACACATGAAAATCGTGAAATAATCTTTGATACATTAATTCACATAATAGATTTTTAAAAATCCACTATGTTCTAGAATACTTAACTTGTGAATATACTCATCACCCCCCCTTTGAAAATCGATGAAATAATAATCTTTGTAAAAATATAAAAATTTGTATAAAATTCTACATAAAAATTTAAATGATTGAGATTATGAGGGGCAGGGGATGTAGCTCAGTAGTACAGTGTCTGTACATTGTATATGAGACCCTGACTTTGGGTTCAATCCCCAGAACAGGAATCATTAAAAAAATAATAATAATAATAAATAAATACAAACCACATATTCTAAGGGTTTTCTAAAGGTTTTTCCTCAATTCTTGCTTCCAGTAAGTGACTGTATATAACCATATGTAAAATAAGTCTTATCAAAAAGCCTAACGATATACCATAGGTGAGGAATAAATAATACCATAAGTTTATAATAAAAATAATACAATAACTTTATAATAAAAAAGCAAAGCTTTTGAAAATAATGTTGAAGTACATACAATAGCACATGTTATGAATAATATAACATCTAACACTCACCTTTTTTACTAAGCTCAATAGCAGCTTCTAAAAGCACTTCTAATTCCCCTTTAGGCAAAACAGGAACCACCCATCGAGGCCTAAGAATTATTACAAAATAAAAAGATGCTTTACAGGTTTAGTACTAATCAAACACTATAAGTAAGTTACTATGAAAGGAAAAACCTATCTATATTATACTCACCATAGTATTTTTTTTTCCCTTTTTATCTACACATGGAATTATCTTCTTTTTATCTACACATGAAATTTTTTATGGCATCACACCCCTCCAGAAATACACTGAAAAGGGCCACAATATCCAATTTGAAATTTTACAATTATCATTATCATTCAGTTTTTCAAATTCAAAGGAATGTCTGCTTTACGAAGTATTTGGCTATGATCAAAACATTAAATCAATTAAGAAAATAGCCAAGACTTTTAAAATTCTGCCATGTTTCCTTTTAATTCTGGTTGCAAAGATGATAGCAAGTAGTTTGTGCTTCTAGTGCATCCATTATCAAAAAAATATCAAAACAAATGCACCTGTTGATCATGTCATCCAACTTTGCTAAGTCAGTGTGTGGAAATGCAGGTTCCTCCTCTTCATGCTGTGGGGGAGCATCACCTTGACCTTGTTCATCTGGAGGAGTTGCTGGGGAATTCTCATTGGAATAATCAGGTGATGAAATCTTAATTAAAAGTTAAATAATCCACTCAATTTCTAAAACATTTCAACATTATACAATTCAGAAATCATAGATTAAGTAAAATATTATCTGTTTTTAATTTTCTAATATGTCTTTCTGAATGTATAATACAAATGGGATAACACTGTTTACTCCCCATGCCCTACCTATTTCTGGTCATCACAGAATCTTTCCACATGATTATTAGTGGCTATGTAGTATACTATATGAATTAACCCAATTAAAAATTGAGAACATTGTTTTTATAATGACTCTATTGATATAAACACAACAGTACTTGCCTTTCTTAATAACAAGTCTTTGAGATAAATCTCAATTTTGTCTTCTTAAGCATAGCATTCTAAAAATATAAACATTAAATTGATAGGATAAACAATTCCTGGGGACAGATCATATAGATCAAAAGTTAATTGCTTGTAAATTTAAGCATCTAGGTTTGGTCCCCAGCATTTCCCAAACAAAACAAACTTTATTTCACAACTTTGTAGTATTTTCTCAATTTATTTTGATTTATAATTGAGTTTGACTTGGCAGTGTAATCAATTTATTCTGTAGGCACATACTTGCTTTTATTATTGTAGACTTTTAACAAATTTCTTTCAAAATTCTACACCCCTTAATTATAATCAAGAGTTTTTACACAAAATGTTGTAAGTATGGATTACAAGTTCTTTTGGCCATAACTTTGTTCTTTGTCAGTGATCTCTTTCAGAAATCCACAAGTAAAAGCAACTGACAAAAATTAACAAAAGCAACAGCATTAACTAACACATCAGTGTTGGAGAAACCAAAATACTCAATGTTAAGAACAAATGCCCTTTTTTACAAATATTATTTTCAAAAAACAGTGAATTGAAATGTGTCTGGAGGAGACAACACAGAAGCAGCTTTATTTCTTCTAAAATGTTTTGTAGAGTTTGCCTGTGAAGGAATCTGGGCTTAATTTTTTTTTTTTTTTTTTTTTTTTAACTAACAAATTTTAAAAGTGTTCTAAGTTAGTTTTCTTATACAAGTTATATATTTCTTTTTTGTGAGCTTTTTTGATAATTTGAATCTTTTAATCACTCAATGTTCTTTAATAGGCAAACAGACAAACTATGGTACAAATCACTACTCAGCAATAAAAAGTAGTTAAATATATATAATAAGTTGCTGTATTCAAACAAAAAAAGTTTGACTTAGATGGAAGGAGAAATGTGTAGAAATATTTAATCTTCACTAAGTTAAGAAACAGGAGCAACCTGACAAAATCTGAACCTTTGTAAATCCTGAGGGTAGGACTTGTGGAGGAAGGAAAGGCTGATGATATAAAGCTAAGTGATAAAGGGCAAGGCATACTTAAGACCTAGAAGTTAACCCAGATTATGCAAACAAAAACAAAAACAAAAAAGTCACTTAGGTATCTAGATGGGCATGAACATAATTTTTTGTTTTTACTCCAGGAGTCTAACTGAATTCTCACAGTGAGATAAGAAAAGTCCTTTCATTTCCAGTTGGGTGAGATACAATATGTAGACATTCAGTAATATGAAGTGCATTTTGTTCTCTTAATAAGCTTGCCCTCCAGAGAAATGAACCTTCTAAGGTTTTATCAGAGCCTAAGTGACCTGGATATTGAGAAAAACAAAACTATAATATTCAGCTTGAGAAAAAGAAAATTCCCAGTTCTAGCTCCCTTAAGGCACTTGGGATGGGAAACCTGAAAAATATCTGTGAATACACAAGGACACAGGCTTAGACTGTGCTAAGCCTTAATCACGGAATTATGTACTGGTTCCTTCTCTTTTCCCCAAATCTTATATTATAGTGGTAAAGATCTTGTTACTAAAGTTCCTTTTTTTGGTGGTAGTGGCGCAGGTGGGGGTTTTATGGGGACTGAACTCAGGGGCACTTGTCCACTGAGCCACATCCCCATCTTATTTTGTAGTTTTTTACAGACAGGATCTCACTGACTTGCTTATTAGTGTCTTGATTTTGCTGAGGCTGGCTTTGAACTCGAGACTTTCCTGTCTCAGCTTCCCAAGCTGCTGAGATTTACAGGTGTGTGCCATCACGCCCAGCACCAAAGGTTCTTTTTACACATTATTATATTAAGTCACTTTTTGCCCAAATGTCATGGCATACTGAAGGACAAATATAGTTGAAAAACACAGCAACATCAAAATCAGTCTCAAAATGACAGGGATTTTAAAATTTACCAGAATGGGAATTTGAAATAACTAGTTTTTAATATAAGGGATCTAATGAATAAAGTAGACAACAAGAGGAAATATATATAGGGAAAATAAGAAGAGAAATTCTAAAAAAGAATTTAGATCAAATGATAGAGATAAGAAATACTGTAATGGGAATACGCTCCCTTTTATGGGCTGGACTTCTAATACTGAAAAGCAGAGGAAAAAAGCGAATACAAATGTAAGAGAATATCCAAAAACATGGGATAACTATAGCTACCAAAGGTACAACATGTAATAGGAAGAACAGAAGGAAAAGAGAATCCAATGAAGAAATAATTATGGAAAATTTCTGAAAGTTAATGTCATAAAAAACCCTCAAAGATTCAGGAAGCTCAGAAAACACTAAGCATTTTGTTTTCTTAATAGGCTTTAAGCAAGCACAGAAGCTTTCTATGGTTTCACTTTCTCAAAGTCAACAGTGAAAAAAATGAAAAATTCCAGAAATAAAGAACCCATCAGCTTGAATCACAAGCCCTCTGACAGGATTAAATCTTGCAATCATTAGTCTCCTTCTCAACTAGAAAGAGGATTAATGCAAGAAGGATGGGAATGTTGTAAAATACTCTTGACATGAAATAAAAATCAAATCATATTGAAAAATATCCCTTTCAGTAGCAAATAAATGCCTGGCATTTGTGCGGCCTGGGTTCGATCCTCAGCACCACATACAAACAAAGATGTTGTGTCTGCCGAAAACTAAAAATAAATATTGAAATTCTCTCTCTCTCTCTCTCTCTTAAAAAAAAAAAAAAAAAGAAAAGAAAAAGAAAAATTCCAGCAAATTATTTTGTGGATTATCAAATAAACTCATTTTTTAGTTTATTTGGTGACACTGAATAACCAACATAATGTTCAAAGGGAAAAACAAAAAATCAGAGGGACAACAACTTCTGCACTGTAAGATTTACTATAAAGCAATAGTATTTAAAATAGTGTAATATTTGTGTAAAAAATAGCAGACTTCATTAAAAATTAAAAAAAAACTTGTGCTATGAGAGATACTGCCAAGAGAATGAGAAAACTAATGTCTGCAATCATCAAAAAGTGTTATCTAAAATATACAAGAACTATTTTGTGGTACCAAGCATTGAACATTATAATGCTCTGCCAATTAGCTACATCTCCAGCTCTTTTTGTTTATTTTGAGAAAGAGTAAGTTGTTTGAACTTGTAATCCTCCTGCTTCAACCTGGCTTACACAGAACTCTTAAAATTAGTAAACAGGTCTTTTGTTGTTGTTTTAAAATAAACAAAAGAGCTGAACAAATAAATCCCCAAAGAAAGCATAAAATATGACAAATAACTATATTAGGAGATGTTTAGCACCATGTTACACAAAACACGTTATAGCAAATCGCCATCTGTGACAATAAAGTTAACATACACAACTATTAGAATGGCCAAAATTAAAAGCAGTAAAAAGAGATATTACAATTTTGAGAAATAGAAATTCTTTCATTCCTTGAGTGAATGAAAAAAGATAGAGCCCTCTGGGGACACAGTTCCGAAGTTTTTTAAAATAAAACTCAATATACTCTTACCCTAAGATCTAGCAATCATGACCATTAGTAATCAATCAAGTGAACAAAAAATTAAGTTCACAAATATCTTACATTCAGAGCTTTAAAACAGCATTATTTAAAATGGCCCAAAGAGGGAGATTACCAAAATGTACTTCAATAAGTAAATGGATAAATTGGAAGGCTACATATTGTATATCTGTAAATACAAAACATTCTGAAAAAGGCCAAACTAGAGAACATAATAAAAAAAATTAGTGATTAGGATTTAGAGAATAGAGGGAATAAAAAAGAAAGAGAAACTAGGTATATGACAAAACTCAGAATATGTAATACACAAAGTAAAACATGATGAAACATAGACTTAGGGTGATAATGATGTGACAATGTGTCACTGTGACAACTGTCCTACTTTTTTTAATATTTAAAATGGCATCATGGATTTCACAGGTATTAGCAACAGGAAACAACAAAAATGAATGCATAAAAAAACCAATAGGAGACATATCACACTATATTAAGGCACCCCCACACATCCAAAATGTGGTATATATTTGTACCAATATGTGAAAGGTACTTTTCTACTCTGTGGGTAGAAGAATCAGAAGGAAATTAACATATCTCTACATAAACATTAATGGAAAATTATCAAGAAAGGAGCCTTATTAAAAAAAAAAAAGTTTTTTAGCTATAGATGGACATAATACTTTTATTTTATTTGTGTGGGACTGAGCATCAAATCTAGTGCCTCCTACATGCCAGACAAGCACTCGACCACTGAGACACAATCCCAGCCAAGGAGCCTTATTGTTGATTTAGGTACATTTTATAGGTTCAAAATAATACCCATCTGACTGAACAACAAAATGAAATGGGCAAGTTCACAACTATCAGTGATTCTCAACAAGTTAAAGAAAACAACAACAAAAAAAATTAGCAGACTTAAAGCAAAATAAGACAAAACCACACATCTACCTTGACAAAGGTGCCAAAAACATACTTGGAGAAAAGACAGACATTTTAAAAATTGTGCTGGGAAAACTAGTTATCCATATGTATAAAAATGAAAGTTGAGCCTTATCTCTTTGCCTGTACAAAAATCAACAAAAAGATCAAAGAGCTAAGAATTAAATCACAAACTACGCAACTCTCAGAAGAAAATGTAGCACACAGACATAGGTAATGACTTTGTCAAGAGACTCTCAAAGCTCAGGAAATAATGCCAAGAGTTAATAAGTGGAATGGCATCAAATTAAAAACTTCTACACAGCAAAGGAAACAGAACCTACAGAACAGGAGAATGTCTTTGCTAGTTACTCTTTTGGCAAAAGATCAATATCTAGAATATGTAAAGAACTCAAAATGTTTTCTCGGACTATACCTAAAGGACTTAAAAACACCATACTACAAAGACACAGCCACATCAGTGTTTATAGCAGCACAATTCACAAGAGCTAAACTGTGGAGCCAACCTAGATGTCCCTCAGTGGATGAATGGATAAAAAAATGTGGCATTTATATACAATGGAATATTACGCAGCACTGAAAATGAACAAAATCATGGCATTTGCAGGTAAATGGATGGCTTTAGAGAAGATAATACTAAGTGAAGTTAGCCAATCCCCAAAAAACAAATGCCGAATGTTTTCTCTGATATAAGAATGTTTTCTCTGATATAAGCGAGGGTGACTCATTTTGGGTAGGGAAGGAGAGCATGGGAAGATTAGATTAATTCTAGATAGGGAAGAGGGGTGGAAGGGAAAGGGAGGGGGAAGGGGATTAACAAGGGTGGTGGAATGTGATGGTGATTGGGGCCAACATACCTTACATACAAACAGAGATGAAAAATTGTGGTATATAGGTATATTAAGAATTGTAATAAAAAAAGAGTACATGTATAATGGCATAAGTTAGCATGAACATACTGTATGTACAGAGATACGAAAAATAGTGCTCTATACGTGTAGTAAGGATTGTAATAAAAAATAAAGAACTCAAAAACTATACCAAAAAAAATAATAATGCTGGGGAGCACATGGAGAAAGAGGAATACTTTTATACTGTGGTTGGAGTGTAAGTTAGTACAATTACTGTGGAAATCAGTAAAAGGCACCTCAAAAGACTAGGCATGGAATTATATATGACCCACATACCACCAAATACCACTTCTTGGGAGAATCTTACTACAGTGATACATGAATACCTATGTTATAGCAGCACAATTCATAATAGCCAAATTATGGAACTAGCCTAGCTGTCCATCAATGGCTGAATGAAGGAAGAAAATGTGATGTTGTACATGATGGAGTTTTACTTAACTATAAAGAAAAATGAAATTATGACATTTGCTGGAAAATGGACAGAACCATACACTTAAAAGGTTAAGCTCGTATGTTTTCTCTTATAAGCAGAAGCTAGAGAGGAAAAAGAAAGATAGGTGGAGAAGATCTCATGAAAATGAAAAAAAAAGATCAGTAGAGGAAAGGTACCAAGGGGTGGGGAAGAGGAAGTGCTAGGGAATGACTGTGGCCAAATCATACAGTTATGTGTTGTGGTATGCACAAATACTTAACAACAAATCCCATCAGTATGTTCAATTATAATGCACCAATTAAAAAATGTGGAGAAAAAAGTTCAGTATACTTTAAGCAAAACAACACATCAAAAAAGCATATACAGGGTCGAGTTACTGCTCAGTAGTAAGAGTGCTTGACTAGCATGTGTGATTCGATCCCTAGCACCACACGAAAATAAATACAATAAAGGCATTTTGTCCACCTACAACTAAAAAAAAAAATTTAAAGCACATACAGCAAATTGTTAATGACATAAATGAATGCATGTCATTATACTTTTTTGGAGACTCATGAAACTGTATTAATTATATATGCTATATCATGCCACAAGTCTCAACAAATTGTCTAAGTATAACATAACACTGTATTCTATCAACAAAGGAATTAACCCATAAGACAGTAACAAAAGAAATATCCTAAAAAACCCTCAAATGGGGCTAGGTTTGTGGCTCAGTGATAGAGTGCTTGCCTCACACGTGTGAGGCATTAGATTTGATCCTCAGCACCACATAAAATAAATAAAACAGAGTCCATCTACAACAAAAAATATACTATTAAAAAAAAGAAAATCCTCAACCCTCAAAATGAAACATGTTTTATCTAAAAATATTCTTAAATCCCAAATTAGAAAATTTTAATAATAAATGTATCTATTAATAAATAAAAAGGGGCTGGGGATGTGGCTCAAGCGGTAGCACGTTTGCCTGGCATGCGTGCGGCCCGGGTTTGATCCTCAGCACCACATACAAACAAAGATGTTGTGTCTGCCAAGAACTAAAAAATAAATATTAAAATTCTCTCTCTCTAAAAAATAAATAAATAAATAAAAACTGATACAAACAAAATTGTTAAATGTGGGTTGATGAAATTTATAGTCTTAAAAAAAATAAAGGCATTGTGTTGTGTCCATCCACACTTAAAAAATAAATATTAAAAAAATAAAAATAAAAAAGCATCTTTTAAAAAGAATTTGGAATCAATTATCTAAATTATACCTCAAGATTTAGACAAAGTAAACCAAACCCAAAGAAAGCAGAAGGAACAAACCATTAAAAAACAGCAATAAAAAAGTTAAACAGGAAAAAAAAAAATGCAAAAACACTTTTTTATAAATTCTAAATAACTGAGTAACATTCTTGGAATAACATAATAAAGATAAATCACCAATATTAGAAATGAAATTACATTAAACCTTTTATAACTATTCCACTTATTTATATAATCCTTAATACTTCTATTCCAAAGACAGAAAAAACAGTAATTTTTTGCCAACTAATTCAAAACAAAATTCTGGTAACTACAATCTGTGCTAATCCTGTTGCAAATATTATTCAGTTATTCTCATTTAGAAATAGAAAAACTGAGGTATACATTTAGTACTTAACCACAGATTCAAGGTCACTTTCATGGGTTCACAAAGATGGGATTTGAACAAAAATAGCTTATTTCCATTTATGCTTTTAATCAAAGTAATAATGACAATATGTTTACGCTCAGATTTACATAGATGCAGGAAAACAGGGCTAAACACTCAAGCATGAATAATAACTAGAATTTCCTGTTACTAATGACATAGTCAATTTTAAGTGCAACTGAAAATCACAACAGCTTTTCTGATTACTCTACAAATTATTCAGAATATGTTCCAAGGTTTCATATTTCCTTATATCCAAACAACACAACCTTAATCATACCTGGTTCTGTTGGAAAGGAGGCTGAGACTGTCCATCAGGAGCCTGGACCTGGCTGTCATTCCCTCCCACTGGAGAGCCACGAGTTGTGGCTGTCATACTCATCAAAGAATAGATCTTTGCTATTTTGTCTGTTTATGTAGTTGTCCTAAGAAATTATAGTCCACTTATAGGAGATGAAGTACCAGCATATGCCAGTCCTAAAAATCTCCAATTCAAAGACAAACTATTCTGCAGAAACCATTTCATAACCTAAAAGTAGAAGGGGAAAAAAAGGGTAGAATTTTTTAGCATCTTAAAAAGATAAATAAGAAACCAGCCCATTTTAAATTTGATATCACCAGAGTCTTTACAGTCAGTAACAGAGGATTATAAAAACAGAAGACAAGTAAAACAAGCTAAAATTTTATTAAAACTTGTACTCACCTCAATAAATTCACATTTTTACCAAGAAAACAAGTCCTATTACCAGTTCTTTTAGGGGAGTCACCTATACATTCTAGGAATCCAAATAGAATACAGGCCCTTGTAGTTTTATAGTAGGAATTCTTCATAATCTAAATAGCAGAGGACAGAATTTCTTGAGGTCCTTTAAAAATGCTGTAATTCAAACTCTATAGTCTATATCAAATCTATAAAAAGATCTTAAGCCCAGAAATTGATATGTCTTTAAAATCTCCAAAGTTGATCAAGGCTGAGAACTAGATTTATCTGCCTAAAAAAAAATCAAAATTTCAAAGCCAAGCCAGAAGAAAATAATCTATGTCATCTCTGTATCTACAACATTATACTCCCCTCTCCACCCTATTCAGAAAGGGAATGGAAAGGTGGGGGGAACAGAAATCAAGCAAAGAACATAACCTAAAAAGTCAAAGAAATATATGTATGTACTAAAGACATAGGTGAAGTAATAATCAATTTAATAACTACTTCTTAAGAAGTCATGTATTCTGTGAAGAATTTTTCTTCTCCTTATAAATCTATGAAGTAGAATTATCATTTACCTTTATAGACAGCAAAATCGGTGAGCTATTGAGATAAGTACAAAGTCATAAAAAGTGATTTTAACTTAGTCACATTAAACTACTATAACCTCATTAAGTCATAGCAAATCAAATTCTAAAAATTACATGATTTTTTTCCTTTAATAAGACTCAAAAGAAAAATTAAGAGTGATAATAAACATTATTGAGGCAAAGGTCAGAGACAGACTTTTCTTAAAAAATAAAATGAAAAATCTACATAAGAGACAATTAGCTAACTGTGTGGTGGTGCAACTCTGTAATCAGATATTCAGAGGTGAAGGCAGGATGATTACAAATATGTGAGTAGACTGAGCCAATTTGGCAAGACCCTATCTCAAAGTAAAAGGGCTAAGGATATAGTTCACTGGTAGAGTATACCTGGGTTCAGTCCCCATTACAAAAAAAAGAAAACAGGAGAGAAAGAAAATCATGTTTCCATAATAAGACTAGAGGGAAAATGAACAAAACCCTGACATGTGTGTGTGTATCTTTATAACGTACCCTACTAAAACCCACCAATATCTATGATGCCTCTCAGTAAATTCTTGAATTCTGTCTTTCCTTTTTTTGCAATATTGTTTGTGTTCAAACTATAAGTCAGGATTGTCAATGATGACTTTAAAAAAAAATCAATCAATTCCTCTATAACTTTAGCAAACATCTTTGTAGAGTTTTTTTGTTGTTGTTTTTTAACGAAGGATAGAAATGAAGCATGTTTCAGTATCAAAGTTCTACAAAGCTTTGTCAGGTCATACATATTTCATCACAATTTAACTATAAGCAAAATATCTAATAGAATTTAAATGAAAAGGAAATCCAATGTATATCCCCCACCAATCAACAATCTATAGGGAATGAAGTAAGAAGTGAAAAACAAAATAAAACAAAAAAGCCACAACAATTACAGAAAAGAAGTTATTCCCAATAAAAATACAGGTGAAAACCGAAAAAAAAAGGCCTACTCTTTCATATTCTAAATTAAACAAAAATCCTCACCTCAAATCCAGGAACTTCCATATGACGAAAAACTAACAAAACAAAATAATTCCTTTTTAACCCTGATTTAATCTACTTAAACAACTGAAGAAGAAGAAAAATCTGTTGACTACCATATCCAAAATATTATCCTTTCACTGCTTGTAGGAATAAAAAGAAGGCAGCCTACATATTGGAAGACAATTTGATATTTTCTTACAATGCTAAAAATAGTCTTAATATATAACCTAGCAATTATATATCTAGAAATTTACCAAAATGAATTACAAGCTATGTATACACAACAACCTACATACAAAGGACAACAGCTTTAATTATTAATAAATTAAGTGACCCAAATTAGAAACTATATAACCTTCCATATAAAGATAAACTATCCCACACATCCACAAAAGTAATATTACTCATTTGCTGAAAACAGCAAGTGAAATGCCCTAGTTTTAATGCCCAGCCAACAACAAAAATAAATAAAACACAAGCAGGACAGGCTCAGCTCAGACCACAAAAGACACAAAAAATTTTAAATAAATACTGTTAAGAATCTAACCTAAGGGGCTAGGGTTGTGGCTCAGTAGTAGAGTTCTTGCCTATCACACGTGAAGCCCTGGGTTCGATCCTCAGCACCACATAAAAATAAATAAATTATTGTGTCCAACTACAATTAAAAAAAAAAAAATCTAACCCTAACCTAAAAGATCAGTATGTATAGACACACACACAAAAAATGCCTGCCAGCATCACAGGAAAGAACCAAGTTGATAAATAGGTTGCAGGAACAGATTTTAGAGCCCTGAAACTACTTTTAAGGATATTATACTGATGAACATAAGAACTTACCCGTTTGTAGAAGACCTTACCCATTTGTCAGAACCAAAAAAACCAAAAAACAAAACAATTTGTTATACTCAGTTAGCTGCTTATAATCCTTGAAAAAACTGTGTATCAAATGGGACTCACTTTAGAATTATTCCAAAACTGTCACAAAACATAAATAACACAAGAATCTTTAGGGAAAGGAGATAAAAAGAACTCTCTGGGTTTCTATAAGGTAAAACTACTCTAAAAACTAAAATCCACTATTTTTCAGAAACGTTGACATGTAATTAAACTATAGTTAGTTCAGTGAGATCCTCAAAATTTTGCCCAATGGAAGTAGCCTCCAAATCAAAATGCTTGAGAACTTATCTCCTAAGAAATACAACAAAAACAGTAAATCCCTTTTCCTGATACTGCAATTAAAATGAATCAACATCAATTTTACCTGAAACCATCTGTACCAACTTTTAATCAATGTATCTCTTTAATCAATGTATCTTCTTCAAATCAAAATAAATAAATAAAAAAATTTAACTCGATATTATTTTCTCTAATAAGTTAATACATGTAAGCATCATTAATGTTCTTAAAGCTGATTAGGAGTACCCTTAACATACCAGCTAACACTTGCTCCCAACTTTAGGGCTACTTCAGTGTTGTTCATATGGTAAACACTCTGCCAATGGTGGTTAAAGAAATAAGGTCTCCTTATTAGTGAACCATCTTAGATATAGATACTATTGCCATAGACCATAGCTTTGGATAGTTCACAGAAACTCACAAAAACTTTAAATTACAGATATCTAATAGAGAAGTACCTTGCCTCTTACCTTAGTATGTAATGGACAGAAAAGTCAAAATCACATTAAGCAATCTCTCTACTTCTATACTATGGTATTTCAATTCATAAAGCATTTTCCCCCCTAAACACTTTTCATTCAAATTGTTATAAATATTGTTTTAATTCTTCAGTTCTAACAAATCTATAAAACCACACAGAATCATCTCCCAACCCCTCTACAAAACACAAATTTTATCATGTCACTTTCATAGCCCCTCCTTCAAAGCCATACTTCATTGCTTAAAAATAAAATAAAGTACCTTAACTTGACAACTGAAATCACTCATTTTCTAATCTAATTCACACTAGTTTTCTAATCTCATGTCTCATATTTTCCTGGTATGGATTATTTTAGCCTTGGTACAGGTTGAGTATACTACTACTGTTATCTATAACCAAAGCTTCCATTTTTCCATTTCGGAATGTTTCTCTGGAAGTACTTGCCCCAATTCACGCAGTTACCAAAATCTTACAGCTTTGAAGATCAACATATATTATTCAATCTCAAACTAGAATGATTTTCTTCACTTCTTCTATCGAATATTCCACAACTACATATTGAGTCTTTAAACTATACAATTAAAAATTTTCATATCTCCCTGTGTCTAGGATGATATTAAGAAGTACAAAAGTTGTAGTAAAATAAGTCCAAACCTCAATAAGGTTAAATAACTGGTTTACTAGTTAGCTGAAAAGCTAAAACTGAAAAACAAAGTCCCTTGGCTGATACTATTTCTCTCATTAACAAACACTCCCTTAGTCAGAAATGTTAATCATACACAAAAGTCAGTTATATCCCTTAGGAGACAGCCCAGAAAAATCTTCACACAGCATGTATAATAGTTTCTTTAGACTCTATCATGGAGCATATATCATTGTGCAAGTACGGAAAAGCCAACAAAACAAGTGCTGAATTCTATCAACTGAACCAGATACTATGCTATAGACATAAACTCAAACTCTCAAAGGGAAGACAAAACCTAAAATGGTAAGAGAAAGGAGTTAATTTTACTTCAGAATTCAAAGAAAAAATAAATCATTATCTCCTGGAGATAAAAAGACAATACCTTCAATAAGACAAATGAGGCAGTGTAGATCACACAATGATAAGGAAACACAGGACAGGCAAATAGAATAAAAAGATTAAAAAAGAATAAAAAGGAATAACAACAACAACATATAATAAGAATGAAGGAAAAAGACCACAAAATTACATAAATTGTGGATGGTCCAAACCACAACTGGAAAACAGTAAACAACTACAGAAAGGTGCTCTGGAGTTATGTCAAAATAACTTCATTCCAGTAGAATTAGCATAAGAGTTTTATATAGTAAAAGGAACCAAAAAAGCCTTCTGTGATTTTTCTGGTTCATATTTCAACCTGTTCCAAGGCTAAAATAATTCAGTAAAAAGTAATTCAATTTTAGTCATCTGATATTTATGTGGCTCAGAAAATGAGAGCCTCATATATCAAGTTAAGGAATGTATTAATGGACATTACTACCTTAGAATTCTCCTCCAACCTTTGTTTTCTCCTTTAATTAAGCAAATCAATAACAATCTCCAAGCTAAAATTCAAATCTATGAAGAGAAATATAACTTTGAACAAAGAAATAATAATAACCTTGTAGACTTGGATATCTCAATCTCAGCATGTTGCTACTTGGGGCCTTAGGGAATGGTAACAGAACACTACAAGATGTTTAGGAGTATTCCTGGATACTACCCACTAGAACTCAACCACGATCTACCCATCATGACTACAAAAAAAAGTCTCAAGACATTGTGGAATGTTCAAAGCTTCGGCAGATTCAGTCTTTGTTGAGAAACACTGTTTTAGATACTGATAGTTGTGTACTATTAGCAAAATTCACATTATCTCTTGTTGTATCATTTATTATGATTCTGCTTACTGTATTCCTATAAAATGTTATGAAGAATATAATAAATATATTAATTAAGGGTGATTAAGTAAGTCCTGCCTATAATTATTTCCTTGAAGGTCTGGACAATCACTCCAAGTAGAAAGTATTCTAAATTAGCAGATAATGCATTACTGAAAACATGATGAAATTCAAATAAATCAAGAGAAAATAACACAACATTTTTAGAAGAGTCTCTCATTCAAACATTTTTACACAATAAAACATCATAAAGTCCCCAATAATAACTGTGGCAAGCTTCTAATATCAGTCACAATTATGCTGCCTCTTGATAGTCCTGTCATGTTTCCATTAGTTTAGGCCCCCACCTACTGGTTTGAACTTAACTACTTTAACCCTGAGATTGTACTCTCTTTCTCTTCTTGCCTGTTTGTTTATTCTTGATGTATGTAGCAAGACACTATGCTGTGACCTGTTTATGTCATAAAGAGAATCACATGACAAGAAAGAAAGAAGGCCCTATAGTTAACAATGAGTAAGGAATTGTGGCCAGCAAACACTCCCCCACCACTCTGCCCCTGCCAAACTGTATTCTGTTCATGACTATCTAAGTTTGGAAACAAGAGCCATTCTCAACCTACTCTTTAGAGACTACAATCTCAAGCATAACCAAACTACAGCCTGAGACCCTGAGCCAAACAACTAAGACATGTCTATATTTCTCATCAACAGATACTATAAGATTAAAAATTGTTATTTCAAGTCGTTATAATAGGATATTACATAGCAAGAACTAATAAAACACCTTTTAAAATAAGCTTTACATAAATTTTCTGCATTGTTTTTTTTTTTTCCATTTTAATCATTCTATACACCACTGAACGAGGTCAACTAATATAATCAGGAAGAAAAGCTCAGCTAAAATTAATGAGTCATGGTTTCCACATTCCTTAGCAGTTCCCTTAGTTTATATTAAGCTCTCGTTTGTCACTTCAATCAAAACTTTCAATTGTGTTTTTCTTTCATTTTATAAAATCAACTGATATTACAAATAATTATGCAAAATACTCCTTCATAAATATAACAATTCCCAAACTGAATTGTTGTTAGGCAGATCATATCACCATGAAAAAAAAAACAAAACCAAGAAATCTTTCTTATCAGCTACTTCATGGTCTGAAAGAACAGGTTTGCAGTTGTCAACACCTTAATGCACATAATGCACAATGAGCTCTATAAAAAGTCAAATATATCACAGCTAAGGACACACTGGTATTTAAAAACAAATTTGTTTTAACTGGTTTTTTTTTTTTTTTAAGAGAATGAGCCCTGAAATTCAAACTATTCAAAAAATTGTAGTACAAGGAAATAGCTCTAATATCTTCAATTGTTATACAGATTTAATATAATAAACTTAATATTAATGAGTTTCTCTTATTTTACACACAAGTCTAATTCTCTTCCCAGTATGCTTCAGATAAAAAGGCAGCTAAATCTAGAATTGAATAGCAATACAAACTAGATAGCTCAAAAAAAAAAAAAAAAAAAAATTAACAGCCCAAAGCTATTGTAATGTTTATGTGAAGCATTCCTTAACTCCCAACAACCAGTGAAGTTGAAAGGCAACACTGTCAAGTTTCAGTCTCAGATCTACAATTAGAATCTCCTAGTATAGAATCTCCTAGTATTTATTGTAGAATAAGATCTAGATAATCACATATTTCAAATAGCTTCACAGGTAACTGAAACACAGTGAAGTTAGAAAATCACGATTATTTAATGCCTTTAAGAAGAATAAAGACGTGCTGTCAAACATAAGTAGCATACCTTTGTAAATGCATAATAAAAACTAAAATAGAAAAAATAAGTGTAAGAATAAATTCAGGTAAAATTTCACATCAAGATAACATTTTACATCCTTAAAACTACATTATAATGGTTATCATTTTATAATTAACATCAAAAATAAAACCTGCCTGGAACATGATAAATCTACCTTACTATATATAAAGTACTCCAGATTTTATGTTGTTTTTCTTCTTATAACAGAAATAAGATTTTAGCTATTACAGTAGTCCTAATTTTCCATGTTATTTCCCCAAATGTGTCTATGATGGTTCCTGTGCCTTATTAAGAATTCTCACAGATTATACCATTTAGGGACTTTCTTTCTTTCTGAAGGGAACTTAGCACAGGAAACTAAGAAAAAAGAAATACAAATGAATGTCTGTTTTTTTCTATTTCAATTATTTCAAAAATATACTGTAAGTTAAAATTCACTCAGCACATTCACAAACAGTTTTAAAAAACTTTTGTGGAAATCAAACTGATTTTAAACATTAATAAAAGCTAAAATTCTTAAATTGAGATAAAACATTTTCATATTAAACCAAATATTCATTTAGGGAATAATACAAGTAAAAAAAAGGCTGGGTTTGTGGCTTGGTGGTAGAGTGCCCACCTAGCATGTGTGAGGCTCTGGGTTTGATCCTCATTTCCACATAAAAAACAAAGATACTGTGTCCATTTACAACTAAAAAAAGATATATGTTTAAATAAAAAAAAAAGTAAATGTCAGAAAAACAAATGCCTCAATTTTTCATCTTTTAGAGACAATAATTTAACTAAATACATTTTAAGAATAAATCCATCAAATCCCAGTGACATGGGAAGCTGAGACAGGAGGATAGAAAGTTTGAGGCCAGCCTAAGCAACCTAATGCAACCATCTCAAAAATAAAAAAAGGGCTGGTAACATGGCTCAGTGGTTAAGAACTGTGAGTTAAATACCTGGTACCAAAAATTAATTATTAAAAATAAAAATAATATTGTTAAATTATATCACATCACAGCAATAACTGCCACAATGGTTAGAATTATTAAGCTTATCAAACCTCAATTTATTCTCTTTTTATAAAAATAAGATATGCCCATGAGATGATAATACAAAATGCTTACTCAGTGCTAGATTAGTAACATTCAAATGACCATTCTGTTGTAAATTTTTAAAGTCCTCAGTTCAAAAAAGCATTTTCTTTCCAGGTTCAAGCCTGTAAGCCTGTATCTGCAATGACCAAGGAGAACAGTAAGAGAATAATAAATTCAAGGCCAGCCTGGGTCACATAGTATGACCTGTTTCAAAAATACAGCTTAAAAGGGGGCTTGGCATATAGCTCAGAAGTACAGCATTCCTAGATTGTTTTCACCACCAAAAAACTAATAAAATATAAATAAGATTCCACTGTACAGCCACAACAGGTATAAGAGATATAATTAGCAGCCTCAAAAATTGCTGTTAGGAATATAAAATGAAGCAGTCCCTTTGAAAAACAATTTTGCAACTGTTTAAATTATATACAAATTTAGAGTACAATGGGAATTTTGCTCTACATATTCTATACAAAATGATTAAAACATTAACGGTTCACAAAAAGACTTATACATTAATGTTCTAGTCAATTTATTTTTCATAGTCCCCAAATGTTTAACAACTAATAAAAGGGTAACTGAAATGTGACACAGCCATACAATGAAATATAATTAGAATTAAAAAATGCAATACTGATTCATATTACAATATGAAGGAATCTCAAAAGTATTATCCAGTTGAAAAAAGCTAGACCCCCCCAAAATAATATTTCATATGAAACATCCACAAATGGCAAGTTTATGAAGGATACTGAATTAGAGATTGTCTTTGGATGATGGCAGGATTAGAATGACTAAAAAGAAGCCAGAAACATCTGCTAGAGTGATGGGTTAAGTTTTAAAACTGCATTGAGATGTTAGTTTCAGAACTCTGTAAGTACTATTGTATATGTTATTTGTACTTAATAATGCTGTTTAAACAAACTTATCCAAAAATCAAAGGATACAGTTTATTAACTATAAAAACCCATAAAATTTAAAGTCCCAATACTTGAAGGTACACACACACACACACACACACACACAAAAGGCCTACTCTGAAGGTTGTATATGCTTAGCATGCTTGAGGTTATAGTTCAAATCTCAGCACACTTTGAAAAATTATTTTTAACTCAGATTAAACAAAAATTATCTCCACATCAAAACTGCTAAAATATTTATCAGAACTTTCTATAATTTAAAGTTGATTTTATAAAATGATGTATTTGTGCAATTAACCAAGAAGTGATTTTTAATCTCAAGGGACATTTATTTCAAAACAATAACTTGCATTAAAAACCCCTTATCAAAGAAAAATTATTAGGAGATATCTCCTGAAATTATTTCTTTAAGATACTGAAAAAAATGCATTTCAAGGTCCTAGAATTAAATCCCAGAGAATCCTTCCTTTATCAGTTCTACTGACAAGATGAAGTAAACATTTAAGAAACCAAAACTAGGTTTCAATAATATCAGATAAAAAAACTAGTCTTAAAAAATGCTTTTAGAGGGCTGGGTTTGTAGCTCAGTGGTACAGCTCTTGCCTAACAGGTGGTAAGGCACTAGGTTCAATTCTCATCGCTGCATATAAATAGATGATCAGGATGACATTAAACATTCATGTAAATATTGCATAAGAAAAATGAAGAATGGGTAAATCTAACAATATTATTTTTAAGCCAGTGAATTAAAAAATATCTGAGCTCACCCTTGAAACTCCAACTGCAAATACTTCAGGCTTTCATTCTTCCCACACACTGGAACAATAAAGTTTAAAATGTGAAAGTTAAAACAATATGAATACACTCTGAATTGAAAAAAATATATATTTCCTTTTATACAGTATGCAAACACTTCATATTTGGAGAAGTCAAAATGTCATTTAATTAGCAACTAAGAAAATTTTATAGTCTGCTTAGATTTTTAAGGTCAGGATTTTACATTACCATGCTAGTAGAGTTAACTAGTATTTAATTACCACTTAACTATTACTGCTAATGAACCCGAAGAAAAGACTTGTGGCAAGTTTTCTAACTTAAAAAAAAAAAAACAACCAGAAAAACACAAATTCTTTTTTAAAAGCAAACTATACAAATATTCCTTGGATTTAGAAAGATGAATAATTTTCCTTATAAGCAACGTCCTGTTAAAAATTGCAGCATGTCATCTATAAATCTTAAATTAAAAATCTTTGAACAAATTATCCAAATACCTGTAGGGGGAATCACACAGCAAAAAATAAGTAACGATATAACAGAATTGTATAAAATCCTTTAAATGCGAATTTTCTTAAAACTCTTAATTCTAGTTTCCACAAAATTTCATACAAATCAGACACATGCTCAATGTTATTTTGCAGTCACTGAAATAAAAACACACCTGAGCTCACCCTTGGAACACCAACTGTGTTTTATGAATATGAAAAATTCTATTTCCGAAATTTAATGTCTGTTCCAAAAATATCTTTTGTCACTAATAAACTCAGACAAGTTTCTGTACAAATAGAGAAAACAAACAGAAAGGTGGTAGATACTAAGCTAGTTTGGAAAGAATTCCTTCATGAAAATATTTTTCCGTTAGCAAAGTGGAAGGAATAGAATAAGAGGGCACACACGGTTCAGATTCTTAGGTCGAAGGTCCGAGAAGCTGAGGGTTACATTAGGGGGTGCGTGAGAAGTCCCTGCTGATGGCCAGATACAGGTGAGGCCTAGTTCTATTTTAAAACACTTCGTCTTCGTAATGGCGTTTTGGTTTCAAGAGCCTTCGTTCCGCGGAGAACCCAGCTGCAAGGCTGAAGACCCCAGGCGGTTGCTCCCTGGCGTAGATTTAAGATTCAGATACAGTTTTGCTCATTGCCTTACCAGAAAACTCAATACAACGACTTTACCTCACGCACTACAGAAAGGGGAACCCGGGAGGGGGAGGAGAGGATGAAGGGACCGGCCATTTTTCCTTACAGTCCATAATACACCAACATTAGCGTCAACCAAGCCCACCAAACCGTCTCATCCCAGAAGCTCCGAAGCCTGGCGAAAGGAAGAAACCCGCACTCACACCGGTGCCGCTACTTAGCCCTCCTACTCCCTCGGATTCCGTTTTTGGCCGGGAGGTGTGAGTTAACGCACCACACGACACCGCGCGGATCCTCTGAATCAGGCCACTGAGTAGCGTGAGGTTTGACGGCCGAGGTTTTGACCACCGAGGATAAACTAGCTTAGACGCCGCACTTTGGCCCACGGGTGCCTCGTCACAAAAGTGATCGCGGCCACTGCCTCCCACTCTTCCTTAGTAGGCGGCGGCCCTCTTACCTCTTCTCGTGCTAGAGCTGGGGCTTTCGCTAAGCTCCGACTGACTCTCGGTGGCAAGTCAATCTGAGTCACGTTCTCTGGCTCCCCCAGCCGCTAGAGTTTCACTTTCCGTCCTCTTTTAGCTGTTCTGGGCTTGGAGTCTTCGTTATTACTTCCTTCCAAATCCCGGGGCCGACGCTAATACCAGGCACTAAAGAGGTCGCCTCCTATGAGGGAAAAGCAACTGTGAGGGCAAACCCGACCAAGGGTTGTTAGTCGTGTGGAGTGTGGGCGGGGCTCAGTTCAAGAAAGCCGGAAATGCGCGAGCTACCGGGAGGTGGTTAAAGACACACGACTAGGCCTGTCCAGTCATTCCGGAGGATAAGACAAACGAAAAACAACAAATAATAAAAGGCTTAACCAGTGGGGTATTGTAGCGGCGCCAACAAGAGCCTGGAGGAATACCACCAAGCACAAAGCTCCGCTCCTCTGCCCTCCCCCACTTTCAACCCAATTCTTCCTATTCACATCTTCCTTTTCGTCCCTTCTCTCTCCCACTCTCCAGGTTACGTAGTTTCTGCTCCACAAGAGAATATCTCTGTATGTGCGGCAGAAATCTAAACTTCTGCTGAAGCGTTTCAATCGTGGAAGGTGTAAGGGTGCCGAACATCAGACAGGACTCCATCCCGAGGGACAAATTACAGCAGGGCCCTAAATAACTCAAAAACAAGAATTTTTGTTTTTGAGTTATTTAGAGCAAAAGCAGGCTCAAAGGTCAGCTGCAGTAGTAGAAGGAGCTATTAGACTGCAAAGTTGGTGTGATTTGGGGACTAGTAGAGTGTATGACCTGGATGGAAAAGGCAGTATTGCCCCACGAAGAACTACGCGGGGGTTGGGAGACCGAAGAATTAATCTTGCTTTGACGGCTTAGTTTGCATGTCGAGGTTTTGCTACGTTGTGAATCTCCGCCAAACTATACTGTTAATATCACCAGGCTTCCTTTTTTTCTAGGATGGGCAGTAAGGAGAGAAAAAAAAAAAAAATTGGGGAGGGAACTATTGAAGAGATCTTGACTGATCTGCTGCGTCTTCGTGGTGCACCCTAATGGAGCTGTTTTGGCGCAACTTTCTTAAGGCTACTTGGGCAGCGTCAGACATCCTGACATAGTCTGTGCTAAGGGGTGGGAGGACGTCGTGGTGGGGGATCGTGGCCTATCGGCAAATGTAAGGAAACCTTGTTTGTTATTTCCTGTACGACACATTAGTTGATCTGTGCAGTTTGTTCCTAAATCTATTAATATGATTAATTAATTAATATTTTATAATAATATTAACTAATTAATATTAACATTTTATTAATTAACTTCGTATGTTAAAACGATTCTGGAATAGTCTTTTTTTGGGTCATGATGTAGAATTTTGTTATATATTGCTGATGTAGGATGATTCTTATATGTTACTGGATTCAGTTTTTAGTTATTAATTGTGCTTTGTGTCTGCTTTATAGCATTTCAATTACAATTGCAGGTATCAAAAGATAAAAATTAGAAATTCGGTCGTAGATACAGTTGACTTTTACTCACGATGCCGAATTTAGACAGTCTGCATTTTACAAAGTGAAATGAAAGCTCCAACTGGGTTGGACCAAACCAGTAGTTTTTTTTTTCCTAAGACAAAAACATGGACACCAAACAAAAGGAAAAATGCTGATTGAGTAACACCAAATTTTTAAAATTTTTCTTATAGGGTTAAACAATGATCGTCTTTATTACAAATGCTGACTAAGGTGCTGGAACATATTTTCAAGGAAAAAGTATTCTGTTTTAGGGTCTCTTATTGAAGTTTCAGTTTGAATAGTAGCATTTAGTATGAATGACACATTTTTGTTTCCTTAGGAAACAGGAAAAAGTTTAAACAATAGTTTAAATGGCTCAGTATGACAAACTAAAACTTATAAAGTTCAGAGCCTTTTCCCCATCTTTTGTCTTTGTTCTTTTTAGTAACTACTGACTTTACCTTTAATACTTTTTGTTTTATTTTTTTTTTTTATTTATTTTTTTTTAAAATATTTATTTATTTTAGTTTTAGGCGGACACAACATCTTTGTTTGTATGTGGTGCTGAGGATCGAACCCGGGCCGCACGCATGCCAGGCGAGCGTGCTACCACTTGAGCCACATCCCCAGCCCTACTTTTTGTTTTAAATGTAACATGGCTTGAACCCAGGGTCACTGTACCACCAACCTACATCCCCAAGTTTTTAAAAAAGAATTTAGGTGGAATTACATGCTTGTATCACAGTACTTGGCATAGCTCTCTTATTAGTGCAAAATTCACTATTATATTATGTCCTAATCTTAAATTTTTCTGTATTCTTTTTCTTTTCTAGACAGGTTTGAAAATAATATACTTGGCCTTCTTCCAATTCCTTTTTCTTTTTATTCATATTAGCGTATTTGATAAATTGCAGAACAAAAATATTGACAAAAATTCAACTGAACTGCAAATGAACATTTTTTTGTCTTTTTTCTTAAGCAATATAGCATACCTAGGTGGATCACACACACCAGTAATCCCAGCCACTGAGGCAGCAGAATCACATGTTCAAAGTTAAGCTGGGAAATCATGATTTAGACATAATTAATTAATATTTTATTAATTTTTGCATTTTATTTAACATTTTATTAATTTTAAACATTTTTGTATCTCATGTATGAGATGCAAGAAAGATTTCAGGAGAAATGATTGGATTACACAAGTCTTTACCTAATCAGTGCTTTAATCCACTTAATTAACTAGATGGTAACTGTAGGCAGACGGGGTATGGCTGGAGGAAGTAGGTCCTTGGGGATATGCCTTTAGGATATGTATTTTGTCCTTGTTGATCAGAGCCCTACATCTGCTTCCTGGTGGTCTTGTCCTGCCAGGTCATCAGTTTTACCCTTCCATTATGAGGTTCAAACTTACCCTGACCACAGCAATGAAATCATCTATCTATGGACTGAGATTTATGAAACTGTGAGCCCCAAATAAGTGTTTCCTCCTTTAATCACAGAGATTAAAAAAAAAAAAAAAAAAAAACTGACTAAAACAAATTTAGCAAGACCCTTTCTCAAAGTTTAAAATTTAAAGAGGGCTGGGTTGTAGCTTTGCAGTAATGCACTTGCCTGGTGTGTGTGTGTGTGTGTGTGTGTGTGTGTAATCTAGAGATGATTTAAGTGTACAGGAGAATGTACAAATACTGATTTTTAATTCAGATAAATGCAGTTTAGACCACATTGATTCTTTACTTCACAGTTTCTACACTAGAGTTACTATTTTTCTATAAGAGGGGCTAGACATCTTTATTTTCCATTATGCTATCATATTTTCAGAAGCAGAGCCAGGTAAGCATAGACAAGAAGTTTAGAACTCATCATTCCAACATCCCTTTAAAGAGAGGAGTTTAGAATTGAGTGTGGTGGTATATGTCTCTAATCTCTGTCTCAAAATAAAACCTAGAAAGGAATGAGGATGTTGCTTAGATTGTTGTTTACCTAAAATACAGAAACCCCTGGGTTCATTCCCTAGTACCATACTACATACACAAAAGTGGAAGTGTTGGCAAAAAAACAGACATGCAAATGAACAAGCTATGCAATGTTCAGACAAAAAAAAACCCAAATTATTATTAAAGATGTAATTTTTTAAAGGTTCAATTTATCAGGAAGCTTTACACTTACAGAGGAGGAAAAGGAAGGCCAGGCAAGGTTAAGGTGCAGAGAGAGTAGAAAGTAAACTATAGGCCAACATGTGTTACAAATTTAGACATAAAAGTCCTCAACAAAATATTAGGAAACTAAAATCTAGCAGTATACAAAAATATTGTTTATTATTCTGAGGAGAATAATGTCCCTCAAATATGTTCACTTTTATGATTACGATCATCTCTAAAGATGTTATTTTACATGGCAAGAAAGACTGGATGTTTTTGATGTTGAAGATCTCAAAATGGTCTTCTAGTGTAATCATAAATCCTTAAAAGTGCATAATATTTCTGATGTGTAGTGAGATAAATGACAATGGTAGGAGAGTCTGAAAGATGGAAAGATAATGGCTTTGAGGATACAGGAAGTTAGCTGTGAGCCAAAGGCAAATGGTTTCTAAAACTAAAAGGCAAAGTAATGAATACTTAGAAATATGGCCTTTGACTTAGCCCTGGAAGACCTATGTCAGATTTCTGACCTATGTAGTAAATAAATATATGTCATCCTAAATCATGAAATATGTGTTAATTTGTTGCAGAGCAATAGAGAATTTATGGACCAAATAAAATATTTCAGGAATTTGGGGTGGGCTTCACATCTGAAAATCAATTAACATAATATATACTTTAATAGTCACAAAAATAATTCAACTTAAAAGAATCTAACACTTGAGATTGAAGGTGAAATTCAGTGATGGAACACAATGTACTTAGCTTACATGAGGCCGTAGACTCATCCTTACCGAAAATAAAAGGGGGAAAAAAAGTTCAACAAAAGATGAAAGAAATAAAATAAAACTTTGTGTAATAATTGTTACATAAAAATTCCACAGATAATATCATGGCAATGATAAAAACCTCTAGTAATTTCTGCCTGAAATCAGGAGTAAGACAAAGATGTCTATAAAAATATCTATTCTTGCCACTTTATCATGTTGTAAGAATGATCAGGTAAATATGAGGAGTATAAAGACTGGAAAATGGCATCCATATTAGAAAAATAAAAATTACATGCATCCATGGCATGGTTTTGTATATTATGATATAGTAAACTTCAAAGAAATTCATTAAAACCCTACTGTATCTGATAAATTAGTTCAGCAAAATTGTAGTTCAGTATATAAAACAACTGTATTTCTTTACACTAACAATGAAAACCCCTGAAATTAAGAAACACAATCCCACTATAGCAGATCTTTATAAATTGAATGGATTCCTATATTTCTGAGTTGAAGAACTTTGAAGTGTTAAGATTCCAATACTCCTCACCTTAGTGAATATTCACATCATGTACAAATATAAGACTGGGATCCTAATTGGAATAAGATGTGCTTCATATTTGTATAAATATGTCATGTATAACTAAAAAGAACAAATTAAAAAAAAAAAAAAGATTGTGCTGGGCATGGTGTCACACCTGTAATCCTAGCAGATCGAGAGGCTGAGGCAGAAGGATCTTAATTTCAAAGCCAGCCTCAGCAAAAGTGAGGCAATAAGCAAGTTAGTGAGACCCTGTCTCTAAATAAAATACAAAATAGAGTGGGGGACATGGCTCAGTGGTCAAGTGACCCTGAGTTCAATCCCAGGTACTATCCCCCCTCCCCAAAGAAAAAATATTGTAATACTCAGCAAATTGATCTAAGGATTTAGGGACATGAACTTGTCAGAGGATATCTATCAATGGAAAAATT